AAATCTAATTCCTTGAAAGTGTGCTGTGGCGTGCATAAGTCCGTTAGGGCAGTGGTCGTTCATTGGGTGGTGAACGCCTCAGCGGTTACAGATATTTATATTTTTTTATCGTGCTGATCGGACGATTTTGATTCGTCGAAGGAAAGTGGAATTTACTATCATTAGAAATACTGAATAGTAGTTAATTTGACGGTTTTCCATGTTAAGACTTGAAGAGATGCGGGGGGAATTGATTCCTTCTCCTGAGCTGGTCCCTATATCAGGGTCTGGCAGCCGAGCATCTGGATTCTTCAACTTCCAGATCTTCAACCAAAGAAAGTTCTTAAATTCCTTGTCAATCACATCATGGGTGCCATGCGTCTCCCCCGCCCAATGGGCATCTATGTCCCCAGTTCACCAAGAACCCTCACCGGCGACATGATCTCTCCACCACTCTCTCCAGAATTCAGCTTCGATTCCGAGACTGTCACACCCTCTCTAATCCCAGCTCTGGAATACATCTCTGCCAAACTACAACAAAGAATGATGCACGTCACCCTCCTCATCGGCCGCGGAAAGCCCTACCCGACCGGTCAAGCCTCCGACTTGATGATCATCCCAATCCATTCAATCGAGCCACAAGCATGGCGAGTACTTGAACGCGCCATTGCCAAAGGCTCGAGGAAGTTCTCACTCGGCCCTAGCTGGACCGACGCCCTCAGCCGCAGCCAGTATGAGCGCCAGGCTAACGATCACCTCGTCAAGCAATCCATTCTGCAGAACGAAGTCATCTTCAGTCAGGAGGGCCTAACTCTCCTAAACATGGACCGCATCTATACCTTCAAGCGCCGTATGTGCATTCTCTCTACTCGACCGTTCTCCTGCAACGGCGGACAGTCAATGTCATCCTGCGTTCGGCTACTCCACCGCATCGTCGCAGATTTCGCCGGTCGCCCCTTCAGCAAGGCTTTCTTCTACCGCGTCTATGAGCAGCTCGATGTCCCAGACGAGCAGCTCACTGCCGTCGCAGTTGCTTATAAAAACGTCCACAACCAAGATGCAATCATTCTTCCCGTCCAGGCAAAAGCTCCTGCTCCTGCCCTTACTACTGCTTCTACTGCTCCTAGTACTGCTGCTGCTCTTGTTTCTGTTCCGGTTCCTGCTTCTGTTTCTGCTCCAGTTCAGGCCAAAGTCGAGGCCACTATTCCAGCGAAAGTTACAGCGAAGGTCCAGCCCAAAGTGCAGGCAGAAGTTCAAGCAAAAGCTCAGCTAAAAGCTGCCGAGCGAGTCATCTTGAAACCCAAGACCGACCCTATCCCTATCCGGGTAAGAGCCGAACGTCCCCGTGAAGTCAAAAGATCGCCCATCCAGACTGTGCGCGGTCGGAGACAGCCTCCATCGTCGAGGATGCGAGGGCACAATAAGCGTGGACCTAAGACGCCTCTTTCTGCGTCGGATGTTACTCCCATCACGCGGAATGAGTGGAATATTCTTGTCAGCCAGGATATTCGTGTGCAGCCTAAGGTTACACAGTGGACTCCGTCGCCGAATGTCTTGGCCGCTGCTTGAACCGGATTTCCAGTTCTGTTGGTGCACAGAACAATTCGCTGTTAGATCCATGATAAACCGCCAGACCGTTGGGTCTCACTCACGGCTCACATGCCATCCCCCAGGCGTATTGGGGCTTGCTTGAGGTGGAATATAGATACATATACGAGAACCAAATCTAGCCCATGGTGCTGGGTCATCTCTGTGTCTTCCCCATACCTGATTCCACCGATACTGGACCTTTATAGGCCATTTTGGTGGAGGACAGATTGGCCAGTCTTGACATACCGGGCACAAAAACGAGTTCAGGACTGGCGCTGAAAATTGCTCGGTACCCTACGATGATATGATAATGATTTCGAACATTTTCAAACGCTTTTAATGACGGATTGGAGTCTTGAATATTGAAAATCAATTCACAGTGTACGGAGTATATAGTTCTCTTTTTGGAAGACATACAAAACTTTTAATGAAATCGGGCAATATCCCAAATACATATTCAAGTAGAATTATGACCATCCAAGAATCTCAAAAATAATCAAATCATACACCTTATTAGATGCTGTGATGAATCGGCATCCTCCGGGCTAGTTTGTCGAGCAGCCAGCATGGCCCCGCTTAAGCTCGGCGACCGGCGAACTGAGACAGCTACCCACCCAATCACAGGCACGGGAAAAGATTTACAGTGGATGTCAAACACCAAAATTCAAGTATTGAAGCTATTAGCACATGGGAATGCAAGCTGTGAATAATCCAAGACATTTCCTATCGGCGGAACTCGCCGCTATTGTACTATAGCACACAACACTGTTGGCGTTTTGGATGGGATTGTAGACATTCATACTGAAATCCTGAGCACTCCGGGATTCGCGCAGATCTTGCAGAATCCTACATGTACACATACACGAAGGGGAGGTTGTCTGAAAGATGTCGGCTTGGCGGAATCGGGCTTGGCGGGGTTATCTAAAGTTTAAGCGCGGGCATATAGCCCTGGAGGAACCCCTCTTCGGTGTTTCCAACGTCAATTGAAGCTTTTGGATATCTCTCCAAGAGACATTGTAGACATCGTGACAGAAATTTAGTCTGATATCCACCATGTCGGAATTCAATGAGCCCGCAGATACAGACTCACGCAGTCTAGACAGCGACCGCAAATGGAGTCTGCAGCCTCTTCTTCGAAGTGCCGAGCGCTCGCATAGCAAAATGCCGGGCATTAGGAAGATTCCTCTTCCCGCCATTGGAATTATTGCATTTATTGCGTTGTTGAATATCATAGTCTGGATTGCGGCAGCTATTGTGCTGGTAAGTTCGAATAGGTTGTTTGACATTGGATGGATTTGCTAATGCTTTCTAGAGTTACCATCCGTGAGTCTTCATTACTGGATGTCCCATAGCTCAAATCTCATTTCATTTACTAATTGAGCGGAATACAGTTCGCTGGTTTCTACAGCTGCCCTAGCCTATTCGCTTGGATTAAGACATGCATTCGATGCAGACCACATATCGGTATGTCGAAGTCGGCCTGGAAATAGACCGAATGATTAACAGTGAGATCTATAGGCTATCGATTTGATGACCAGAAGACTCCTGGCAACAGGACAAAAGCCCGTTACCGTGGGCACGTTCTTCTCGCTTGGTCACTCAACGTGAGTACAGTCACCTCATTCTATATCAAATCAAACCTGACCCAGTCTAGCATCGTGATTATCACATCAGTTGTCGTCGCAGCCACAGCAGCAGCTGTCTCCGACCGCTTCGACGGCTTCAGCACGGTCGGTGGAATCATTGGCACCTCCGTCAGCGCTGCCTTCCTGATCCTGCTTGGTCTTATGAATGCGTATATCCTGTATAAACTCGTGAAGCAGATGCAAAAGGTCTTCGGTCTCCCCGAGGGCCATGAAGATGAAGCGTGGAAGATCGAGGGTGGTGGAATCCTTTTCTCGGTTTTGAAGAAAATGTTCAAGCTGATTGATCGGTATGTTTTTTGGTCAAGCTGTTGATGCTCCGCATTATCTGACAAATGTGTCTATTTTTTGTCTAGTCCGTGGAAGATGTATCCCCTCGGGATTCTTTTCGGTCTTGGCTTCGACACCTCCTCCGAGATCGCTCTACTTGGAATCTCATCCATCGAAGCCGCGAAGGGAACATCCTTCTGGGTGATTCTCATTCTACCGGCTTTATTCACAGGTCAGTACCCTCACATGCAAGCTCATCAATCCCCTGCTTCAGCTCTAACCAATGTCTCCCAGCCGGTATGTGTCTTCTCGACACAATTGACGGAGCCTTGATGTTCGCCCTCTACATCCAACCAGCGACCAACTTCCTCCCTCAAAAGCCAACAAGCACTGTCTCAGACACCTCATCAATAGCTACCGATCCAGACCAGCTCCCGCAATCACATAACAACCACCGCGACCCAGTCGCATTCCTGTACTACTCAATCGTGCTAACCACACTCACTGTCATCGTGGCGATTGTGATTGGCGTGATCCAGCTGCTCAGTCTCATCTTGAATGTTACAGACGCCAAAGGCAAATTCTGGGACGGCGTCCAGGTCGCTGGTGACTACTATGATGCTATTGGCGGTGGTATCTGCGGTTGCTTTATTGTCTTTGGTCTGTTGAGCGTTCTAGTTTATAAACCATGGCGCAGGTGGATGGATCAGCGACATGGGAAACATGTCGTTAATGACATCGAGAGGTATAGAGATGACGATGATTCTCCGGGGGATGCTCCCGGTTGTGGTATCATTGTGACTGAGAACCCCAGCGGTACTGCTACTGAGGTTTCTGGGAAGGGGGCTTCGTCTCGGGTTGCTATTAAGGAGACTGGTGAGCCGAGACTTGAAGACCACATCGTGTAGGCGTTGCTACATCCTAGCAAGTATAAGCCAGTTGCTATTCTTCGAAGGCAAGTGTTTTAATATCCATATATCCTCCGTCGTGTAGAAGTAAGCATCTTCCAATGGAAAATGAATACCACCAAAAGTTTAAGGTGCACGAGGCTCTGCGGGTTTACCCTAGCTCCTTCCCTTCTGGTCAAAAATCGTCACCCACCCTAGTTCCTCCTTGACCTTAAGCCACTGGACAGGTATAAATACCCCCTCCCCCTCACTTCATTATGACCAAGTGACCATCCAGCAACTAGAAACCGTTCCGGGCGACAGGCTTGCAGTGAAAGCACTCCGGCCGGTAGTTTAAATGCTACTTACTGCAAGTTTCCAGCAACTGGGCGTGGCCTCGCAAAGCGACTCAGTCGACACGCTTATGGTGGAAGCACTCCGGCCGGTAGTTTAAATGCTACCCACCATAAGTTGCCTCGGGGCAAACCGACAACCGGGCGTGGCTTCGCAAAGCGACTCGGACGGCAACAGCTTCTTGTCAGCTATTATAAACACAATTCGATTATGGTCAATAACCTCTTTTTACCCCTCATGTTCCCCTTCCCTTCAATCACTACCTTCTTCGATCACCATGTTCTCCATCAGCCCCCGCGTCAATGCTCGTGCTCAAACCTACAACTGGCTTCATCAATTTTCTTGGTCAAACTACGTCTCGTCGGTGTCTACCTCATATTCCGTGCCAACAACCATCAATGCGGCGTCTGATCCTTTCTATCTCAATGCCAATGGCAACCAAAACATCGATTACCATTTCGGTCCCGAAGCTACTTCAAACAACAAGAAGCCCAGGTCAAAGCATCATTGCTTGTTCCAAATCCCAGTGGCTCGGTTTACAAATGATCATTCTCTCCAGCCAAAGACCAAAAGCCAACTGCCACATATCCACTACAGGCTCGGCTGATATTCAGGATGCACATAAAATTGGACTCCTCGGGATTTATATATATGCGCAGCAGGGTTTGACGTGGGGGCTACTAATTTTCCTACATTTTCGCATTCTTTTGCCAGGTTCCAAAGTCGTTGGGGTGTGTTCGCAAAAAAGAAAAACATTCCATGTCTCATACATACCACCATAGTATTCTTGTTCTCACAGGACACTTCATGTAAAGCAAATCAATGGAACTTTCATGATCATCTTTCAATTTCATTTTAACAACTTAATCTTCCAAGTAAGTCGAGTTGCAACTACTGTCTTCTATATAGTAGCTTTTTATTTCATTATGCTACGTTCACTCTTGTATCTCTGGTTTTTTGGCGAAGCGAAGCAATTAAATCATAACCTCTCGTGTATGCATGTCACGTGACCAGGTGGTTTGTCCTATGGGCTCCAAAATCAGTAGAAATAATGCGGTGAAGAAGTAGTCTGCTGACTTTGGCAGAATAACCTAGAGAATGAACCATCATATCTTCCCCAGAGCTTCTACAGTCACACTTTACGTAGTATTAGAAGTTAGAATCAGTCGTTTTGCTCTGCAACGACTATCGGGCGGCCGTCCAGATCCCTCGTAACTTTATAAACTTCATTGATGCCTCAGGCGTCACACTAGTGACGTCAATACCATCTACATAACCCCGAGCTGTCGCAATCCCAAATTAAGGAGAGCCATCCCTACATAATTTTCCTCTACAAAATTGGACGTTCGATGTTGTTGTCTCATTTGCTCGCCTTGAAAATCAATCTTTTTCTAAAGCATCAACGCGAACAAAAGAATGAGCACGCTCCTTGAAAGACTCTTCCTTGCGTATATGATGATTGCTTATTGTAGTTCTATCAAAATTTCAATTTCTTGGAACTATCAGCGAGCATGATCGCAGATAAGAGCTCTTCTTCAAAAGACAAGACAGAACATGTCTCCCTCTTCTCAACCCAACCTCCCATCTTCATTTTGCCAATGCATCTCTCCCTAGAGGAGCTGGACGAGATTGAAGGCCGATTGATAGATTATGGCGGAAGACTTACCTATGATATTGCCGAAGCTGGTCTCGTTTTGGGAAAAGTCGGGCGCGTGAAGCGTGCAGCGCTGGAACTGCGCACCCGCGGTGTCTGGACAGAGGAGCTCATACCCAGCTCAACTCCAAAATCAATTGGCGGTGGCGGCGAGCCCCCTCTCAAGCGCAGGCGCACAGATCAGTACGACGGAATCAATGATGTCCCGGTTGAGATTATCGATCTCAGTACCGAGTCTGAAGGCGAGGATGGAGCTACGAATCAACATGATCCATCAAAGCAGCAGATCGCAGAGAAAAAGGCAGAAGCAATTGAAAATTCAATCACAGTACTGAAGCTCGAGTGGCTGGATACCTCTATCACATCCGGCAGATGTGTTTCCCAAGACCCATTCGTTGTCTACCGTGGGCGAAAGATCCCTTCTCCCCCAACGACAGTGTCAGAAAATAAGCAAGACTTACTTAAACAGAAATCAAATCAAATAATCCAGCGTGCAAAGGAAGATGCTGGTGTACCAACGCCACGAGCTCCTCCTCCGGACCACATTCATGCACGGCGCTCAAAAGAACCCCCTGACAGATCTTCCCAGCACCCCCGACCGACGCTATACCGAAAGACAACCTCGGAACATGAAATGGATGAATCTAACGCACCCTCACAACCAGACTGGGTCCGTGACCAAGTCATATTCGCATGCCTGCGCTCAGCACCCTTACACCCTCCAAACGAAGATTTTATCTTGCAACTCGTGAAAATAAGACGTATTCGCGAACTCACCATCGACAAGATCGGCGTGCGCGCATATAGTACCGCCATCGCAGCATTGGCAGCATACCCATATCCCATCCAACGGCCGAGCGAGATCCTCGCTTTACCCGGGTGCAACGCCAAGATTGCGGACTTGTTCGCGCAGTTCCAACAACATGGTGGCTGCGAGCATACCGACGACGACGGGAACGTTGCCGCTGCCGACTCGCTGGAGAAAGATCCTATTCTCCGGGTTCTGAACTCGTTCTTTCAGATATGGGGTGTTGGGGCTAAGACAGCACGCGAGTTTTACCAGCGTGGGTGGCGCGACCTCGATGATATTGTCGAGCATGGGTGGGATACGCTCTCGCGTGTACAGCAGATTGGAGTGAAATTCTACGAGGAGTTCCAGGAAGGTATTCCCCGTGCTGAGAGCGAGGGTATTGCTACTGTGATTCAGGATCATGCTGCTCGGGTTCGGGCGGAAGATGCAAATGGAATTGAGTGTGTGATTGTTGGCGGATACCGGCGTGGGAAGCAAGTTAGTGGTGATGTTGATGTTATCTTGAGTCATCGTGATGATGCGGTGACTCGGAATCTGATTGTTGATCTTGTTGCGAGTCTTGAAGCTGAACGATATATCACTCATACGCTCTCGTTGCATTTGACTTCTTCGCTGCGCGAGCAACAGACGTTGCCTTTTCATGGTGATGATACAAGGAAATTCGATACTTTGGACAAGGCACTGGTTGTCTGGCAAGACCCACACTTCGATGCTACAGCTGTTGAACATAATGACCGTCAGGTGAAAAATCCAAACATCCATCGTCGTGTCGATATCATTATATCGCCTTGGCGCACGGTCGGTTGCGCGATACTCGGCTGGTCTGGTGATCTGACTTTTCAGCGAGATCTACGGCGGTATGCGAAGAAAGCACGCTTCTTGAAGTTCGATTCGAGTGGTGTGAGAGACCGAGGTACTGGAAGACAAGTTGACCTCGAAGAAGATGGAGAGACATGGGAGGAGAGGGAGAAACTTGTGATGGAGGGACTGGGAATAGGCTGGAGACCACCAGAAGAACGCTGCTCGAGATAGAAACCGATCAGATCTCAGGAGAAAGAGATGGACGTAAAAACATACATATATTAGCGATGTGTACATCGCAGACTCAGATATTATTTCATGAGATACGCTAAAGTGCCCACTAGTGACGACAATAGCGTACAAAGCTCCAAATCACGCAACCCGACTAAGAGTTGAATACCACCAGACCAGTTCCCACATCCACACACATGCTAGGAATTATGGTTATCGAATAGATTGGAAACGGGGGTTACTGCATCTGCCATGTTCAAGTTTCGCAAGACTCAGCTACAACCACATCAGGTAAACAGGAAAAAAGTGATATGTCACAGCCTCCACGCCAATCGTATGGCCATAAGGACGACCCAGAAAAAAGGAAAACATAAGGTACACAAGATACAAATCTACCGACCTTCGGTATGGATGCATAGGAGCGAAGAAAAAGAAGAGCGCAACAAACACTGCAAATGCACAATGCATAATCGACCTACAGCGAATCAATCATCACACCATAGGCCTTGAGCTAGCCATCTCACCATAGCGTCCACGACTCCTGGTAGTGTCGTAAGCACTGAGAACACGCATCTGGCCGCCATCGTCGGCCTGGGAGAAGGCGTAGCCGCGCTGCTTACGCATGCGCTGGACCTGGCGGACTTTCCGGATGGCTTTTTGGAACTGTTCCATGCGTGGACGGTAGTCCTGGACATTGTATTTCTGAATTTCCTGGACATGGTGGTATTGTTGTGGGTAGTACATGCGCTTGGCGTACTTCCAGGCATAATCACGTAGGAGGCATATACAGGGTAGGACGATAGCCATCAAGTAGAAGATAGGGGACTTGAAGACCACGGGAATGGTGCCGTAGTATTCTCGCGAGAAACCCAAGGCTGGGGCGGCGTAACCGTATGCCGGGAGGAAGATGAGCCACAGGGCCATTGATCCTGGGATAGCAATGAAGGTGTACTTGGTCCAAATGTTGGTTATCAGAGCAGCTTTGCCGAGAACGGTACCTAGCACGGCGGTGTAAAGAGCTTCACCCCAGACCCAGTGGCCGGCAACCTGGCCATCTGCCATAGGAAGGTCCCAGTAGAAGAGCAACTGAGAGACAATGTAGAGGATGAGAGAGTGGAAGAATCCATTCAGAATCCAGGCCCAAAAGCTGTGCTTCTGGAAGAATACACCTCTCTGACCTAGCTGGTATAGCTGTGGGTAGCGGTCGAGCAATCGGGCGGAGATGAACTGGTCAAAGATTCCCATCGCGAATGGAGGCAGGACAGTGAAGAGGACGTTGTAGAAGGAGAGCGTCCACGATTCGTAGATAACCTCTCCGGAGAATGCGTTTTGGAAAGAATACTGTAACAAGTCAGGTACCACTCCAAATGACTCCTCAAGTTTGGACTTACCCAGAACTGAGTCATATACAGCGTAATGTTCTTATAGTATGAGTACAGAATGACTCGACTGATACGAGAATAGCTCCACGCTCCGTGAACCAAAAGCAACTTTCGAAGGAACCTGAACTGGCCAATTGCGACATCAGCAGATCGTGCGGCCTGAAGGCCTTCGACACCGCTGATACCGACTCCGACATGAGCGGCTTGAATCATGGACACATCATTGGCACCGTCGCCAATGGCCAAGAGGAGAGCCTTCTTGTGGCGCTTGACAAGCTTGACGACCAAAGCCTTTTGAAGGGGAGAGACCCGACTAAAGAGCATGTTAGAACAAAAATATAATCCTCCAAAAATTCAACGGCGCACTTACCAACAAACAACGGCTTTGCAAATGACAGCCAAATCCAGGAATAGCTTCTCCATGTCTTTCTCCAATGCAAAAGTCAACGACCGCCCGTCAATTACCAAAGCTAAAGGTTCGGAGTCCCCAGAGACAATTTGACTCTGTACGGCGTCCATTTTCTTTTGCAAGCTGTCACGGGTGGCTTCTGACGACTCCTCGTTGATGATGAGAAGCGTCATGTCTTCCGAAATAAGTTTGCAAGACATGCCGATGTTGATTGCAGTCTCCTGTCGGTCACCAGTCAAGACCCAAATCTTGATACCTGCAGTCTGGAGGGTGTGGATAGTATCCGGAACACCATCCTGCAAGCGATCCTCAATAGCCGTGGCGCCAAGAAGATAGAAATCCTTTTCAATCAGTTCGGCCGCTTTGTCCAGTTCATCCGCGCGGCTGCCGTCGACAGTTGTAGAAGCCTTGTCATAGATCTGGTACCATTGCTGGAACTCGTTTTCTGGAACTTCCCGCATAGCCAGACACAAGGTCCGTAGACCATCTGAGGCGTACTCCTCCAGGTGCTGGAGAGTTGCTTCCACGGTAGGGTTATCGGGATGCAGCCGCTCAATAATAACCGTGTCAGCACCCTTACAGTAGACGCGGACCTTTCCATCTGGACACCGGAAAATAGTGGACATTCGTTTTCTAGTAGAGTTGAACTCGCACACTGCTAGCAGTTCGTATTCAAGCTCCTGTCCACCAGCCTCAAAGATCACCGATCTTGGTCTTCTGTTGGTGAATCGGAAACCCAGCGAGGCGGCCCCATCTACCAAGGCTCCCTCATCCGGCGACGCTGCTTGGTACTTGATCACATTTGGGTCATCGCTGTTTCGCTCAGGAATAACAGTGTGACAGGTGGCAAGGAGAGTGAGAAATTCGCGAATAGCGTTCTGGCTTGGGTGCGATTGAAGGTTCTCTCTGAGTTTCTTGAAATCATAAATCCCAACTTCAGCATCATCCTCCATGGCAGCACGTCGGTCTTCGGGAACATCATCGCCATATTGGATACCGGCAATGCTAACTTGCTTAAACTCCATCATGTTGCAGGTAAGGGTGCCTGTTTTGTCGGAGAAGATGTACTCAATCTGACCAAGCTCTTCGACAAGGGAGGATGTGCGGCATATGGCCGGGGTGTCAGTTTTATCGTAGTAAATGTCGAGGTCGGAGTTGATGAGGAAGGCTTGGAAGTATTTGACGATTTCAATGGTGACGAAGAGGGAAATCGGAACCAAATTCGAATAGAGCACCCAGTACGTGAAAATGTCCATAAAAAACTGCTTTACCACTTTGACCGACCCATAGTCGAGGTATGCAAGCGATGAAGATCTGGTCCTCCGAATAGCAAGATCACCGACAGAACTGATGACACTCAGAACGATGAGAATGCTAACAAGCATCAAAATTTGAATGTTGACTGTTCGCTCCACGGCTGTTCGCTTGATCGGGGTTGCTGTCGCATTTCGCATCAGTTTTGTCTCGTGGCCACTAAAAACCACGATTCCATGAATCCAGGGAGTGTTGCGCAGCGTTGCACCACGAAGTAGGAGTTGATCCGGAGCCAAGGGTAACTCTTTCTCGCCACCTCCAGCATTCATAGTCAAGGTGGCTTCGTAAGTATACAGACTGCTATTTGGCTGTTCCGATCGAACGCGTCCGCTCAGACGACTCAGATCACTGGGGCTGACCAGATGCGCAGTCTCCGGAATGGCTTGCTTGATTTTAAGATTGGTCTCACCATCCAGGTTTGCCGTTTCAATGTAGCATAGACCTTCAGGCTCAGATGACGCCAATAGTACCAAGTCGGCCGGAAAAGGCTGCTCGGACTCAACCCTAACTATATCCCCGACCACAACATCCACCCATTTTGCATCGTGGAACGAAGATCCCTTAAGAACTTGTGTTTTCGAGTAATTCAGTCCTCTGTCCGACATTCTCCGTTTGTAGTCCTCTACCAATTCTTTGATCGCCGACACTGCCAAGACGATGGCCAGCGGAACGATAGTCGTGAACTTATTTGTCGGCGACACATTGGGGATTTGTTGCAGAACAGCGGTAAACAAGAAGAACAAGTTGGCATATTTGGAGAATTGCTCGAAGAGGAATTTCGGAATGAAGGTAAAGATGTTGTACTTGGCCGTCGATACGAAGTTGTTGACGAACCTGTGAGTGGCATTGGCAGGCGGGTTGTTGAGCTGAATCATGCGCGGGCCCAGTGTCGAGGGATCAACCTTGCGTGCAAAGATATTAAGGTCTGACACGTGGAACTTCTTGCGTTGCTTCGGGGGTGGCGCTGGAGAAGCATCGCTCCCAACTGTTCCCCTTCTTGCGCCTGACTCGGTCAACGGAAGATCCATTTCCGAATATTGCGATGACCCCATGCCAAACATGTATTTCGCCTTGCCCATCAATCCACCCCCGAGTCCGAGAACGCTGTTGCGCTCATTTGCCTTGCGGACGTGGTGTGAACTGGCAATTCGTTCTTCGTCCGCGTCGAGATCATAATAACCCGAGTGCCCATCGTCGAAGTCATCCAAAGAATACCGCCGATAATTGTCCAGTCCAGAAGTCTGGGAGTAGGACCGATCTCGCATGCCGCTGGAGTAGGGGTCATTGGAATGGAGACCGATGTTGGCAGGCGGATGCGCCGGTCTAGAAGGAGCATTTTGCTGCGTTGCGCCCTGCTGTGCGCTGGATCCGACAAAGTTATCATAGGAAACAGAAGGGCGCGGTTGTGTTTGGGTGTACGGTTCTTCAGAGTCGTCAATGTTGTAGCGTTCTAATAGGTGTTCATCATTGACGGGGGGGCCTTGACCACTGTTATACTCAGGTCCAGGATCCAACAGCAGGTCGTCATCGCGGCCAGCGGCTGGATGCGACCCAGGAGGCCTACCGCTGGCCATGATGCCGCGGGGAAGCTGACAGCCTCACTGATCTATCGCAATAACAATGCCCCTGAGGCATTAATCGCAAGGTCACGTCGACAGAAAGCGCTCTGCTATATCTGTCGGAAGCAGGATAGTTGGAAATGAAGTATGGCAAAAAATAACAGATTTGACGGGACTTGGACTGAAAAAAATGTGGGAATTAAGTGAGAATGAGGTCCAAGGGTGGCTTAGCGGGCGAAGGCAACAATTAAGCTATTGTTGCGCGGGTAGGCGGTAAAGCAGTTCACAACAATCAAAGAGAACATTCGGAATGATACTCTGATTATTATTCTTACTAGAGTGATTGTACAGTCTTACAAACGCTTTATATTTTCTCTGCTCTCTGCTGTGTGGTCAAAATGCACTTCTAGTCATTGGCCACCTCCGGTCTATAATGAATGGAGCTAAGAATAGGGGACTCTTGGCAGCCGGAAATATATTAACAGTGTATCGATGTATGGACCGACACTAGTCCCACTTTAGAGATGAAGATCTGCTGATTGAGAAGAAAAGGGTAAAAGTAGCTGATTTGAACGATTTCCCTCAAATCTTAGGCGACCAGTTTATATTTACAACTGAGGAATAGTGATTCAGTTCATTCATCTACTAGCCCGCACCCATATGTCGCCCATCACGTGGCAGCCAAGTATTATTGATGTAAACGCCATGCGAAACTCCAGTCCCCCAGTCATGAAAGTAATGGTAGTACATATTGTTTATTCGATTTGAACCAACCGGTCGTTTTCTGCCCGAGACTCATCAGCCATGCCAATCTTCGCCCGCTTAGCTAGGTCGGCTTGGAGGACCTTCTCAATAGCAGCATTGATCTCTTTGACTTTCTCCCATGCCACATTTGTCTTGTTCACGATCGCCATGGCATCTGCAGGTGCACCTGCGTACTTCGAGAGGTAGCAAACATCGCCTGCGCTATTCATCCCAATAACAATATCTCCCTCAGCCGCCTGCTCCTCCTTTAGGGTGGCATCAACAATGACATGTTTGCTATCATTGTAGGTTTGGAATGTGACCGAGAGAGGCTTGTGTGTTATATTCAGCGGGACAGGAACACGTTGTTCCACGCCGTAGACTATGACACGCCCGTCTCTCACCACAGCATCCGGCCTGCGGAAGTGTTGCAGCCCAGCCATGACCGCAATGCAGGCCGCATCGGTGATATTTCCATCGTAGTCAATAATGTGAACATCGGCCCGAATCGACCAGCAGCTCACACCCTTCAGAATACACAAGGATTCAGTATCGAGGGCATTAGAATGGCGGATGATACGATCAAGGATATTGGTGGCGTATGCTTCGATGTCGTTGGTTCTGTAGAGATAATTGTGAGAACAAATCAATATATAATGAAAATGCTTATGATATATACCTTCCGTTTTCCCAGGCCGGTGAGCCCATTGCACTAAGCTCCAGGTTGATGTTGAAGAGCCCATCGAAAGGTCGGTCTTCACGCGGTTTGGTAACCTCAGCGGAGATGCGAACAATAATGCTAGAGAATCAGTCAGTGATTTCCATTTGTGATAAACCAACAAAATATTTGAAGCTCACTTTGTCTTCCCAAGTTGTAGCTTCACATGTCCATATTCTTCACCAAAGGAGATATTTAGAGGACGATAGTCGTCAGGCTTGCGGCCATCGAGACGCACATTCTCACAGAGTGCTTCGAGAATAAAGTCGCGCTCTGCGATTGAGAGTTGCGCTTCTTTCGACATCGTTGAGGGAGGTCTAGCAGCCCCGGCGCGGGGATCAAGAGTTGCTTTCTTTTTTGGGCCATTTTGCCAACGCAGGCCGCATTGTAGCAGACCGGATTATTATTATCCCGGGAGTTACACCAATAATAGCGGAAGTTTTGTAGAGCGGTGACGGGGACGTGAGGAGAATATTAGTGCCTGAGGCGACTACGTACATCGAAAGCTGGAAGCCGTCAACGGCCCAGCAATTCCAACTCTCACTTAGCAACCACATCACAAAATGACTACAGGTATGCCATTCGAACCAAAATTGGAGTATTTGGATAGTCAGAGCTAATATTTATTTAGCCCACAGACCTACTTTTGACCCGGTACGGCAACTTTTCTTAACACGACTCTTCATGGACACTAACTGATCTCAACAGGCTCAAGGTAAAGAAGCCCTCCGTGGCCCAGCCTACCACCAGAGACTCCTCCCTGCGCACAAACACCTCAAAGTTCGGTATGTATGCCGATATTTAGTCAGACAACCCCGATCACTGACATTATTCTAGCCAACCCGGACAAGGCGGTGCAGCTGACGCCGACCCATCGCCCCGTGACCTTCGCGCGGAGCTTCTCCAGGCCGAGGCGGCGCACTTTGCCAAAAAGAATGGCGTTCCGGTCGACCAGCCAGCTATTGCTGAATCCTCCGTCCCTAAGCGATTGCTTGAAGCTGCGCCCCAAGATGGAAGCGAGGGCGATATCCAGGAAGAAGACCCAGAGGCCAAACGCCGACGCATATTGGAGGAGACGCGCGACATCGATGCCGATTCAGACGGGTCGGAAGAAGACAGCAGTGACGAGGATAGGTAGGTAAACCTCAGGACCACATGCTTAGGACGAATAAACTGACAAATCCCAGCGACGACGAAGATGAGGCAGCCGAGTTGATGCGGGAGCTTGAGAAGATCAAAAGGGAACGATTAGAGCAGAAGGAGAAAGAGGTATCTCGCTTTCTCGCACTTTGAATTCGATAACGGCGGCTAATGCATAACAGGAGCGTGAGCGCGCGGCTGAAGAAGAAGAGCAACGTGAGGTTGATATCGCACGCGGTAATCCTTTGCTCAATTCCCAGGATTTCAACATGAAACGGCGCTGGGATGACGACGTTGTGTTCAAGAACCAGGCTCGGGGAACGGAGAACAGAGACGGCAAGGAATTTGTCAACGTATGCTTACTTCTATTTGGCTTGTTCTTATGGGGTTTAACTAATTCGTTTTCAGGATCTTCTTCGTTCTGATTTCCACAAGCGCTTTATGGTATGTTCATATGATCGCTATTATTTTGATACATTTACTAACCGGGTTTTCAGGGCAAATACGTGCGGTAGAGTCTTCTAGGATACTAGAGCATCCAGATGTTAGTTCAAGGGTATTCAGCTTAGCGAATGGGTCTTATTCTTATGTTATCTTCAAATTTGTATCAAAAGAGCATCATAAACTGTCAATAATTGTATCCCCAAAAATGCTCCCAGCAATCTCTACAACAGTACCGTTTCAATATCTCTGCTGGATCGAGTGGAGTTTTGTTGTAAATCAGCATGTGTTCTGTATCATTCGAATCGGTCCCTACCAACATATGAAATATACTATGAGTAGTAGCTTAATGTATGGAGTATGGCTTGAAAGATATTGGTCTCCAATATATGCATTAACGTGCATTGGCCCTGTCGTCAGAGCTTAAGTTGAAGGGATTGTAGTAGTTGATTTCCTAGAAGGACATTTTAGGTACTTGACTAAAATGCATATAGATGACTTCCAGCCAATTTTGTTGTATTATTATTCAACATGATTGCACAGGAGCTCGAGGCCTATTTAGTTCACCAGAACCCCGGCTGGCTCTCTTTCCCCACAAATTCTTAACATCTGAGACGGCCGAAGATAGGAAAGTCCAGTATCCACCTTTCTAAAATACCCATAAGGTACTCCTGATGAGCTGTACAGCAGTGGAGGGATACTTAACTAGGGTGCTTTCCATAGAGACTAGTCAACCATCCCAGTGGAATAACGAAGTCCCTCCCGCTAGGGAAAGTCGAGTACATATCGTTGGCACATGTAGGTTGCATATTTCTTCAGAATATTGCTCATGTCTATCTTCTAAATAGAAAGTTTCTATAACGATCCTAAGAAGAATCTGTGACATACGCAACTCATTTGGGTGCATCACCCCACGAGGGGAACACCATTGGAAGAGCCTCTGGAGTTTGATCAGGCCAATTGGCCTGGATTACCTTCATAATTTCATCGTAGACGATGCGGTTCCCAGCCGGAGACAGATGCAGACCTATATGACGAGTGAGTACAAGAGAAATGAAAGGGAGGGAATATGCATATTTCACGCACCATCAATGAGCAAACTAGCCAATCTCTCATTGCTTGGCACATCATGAGCCCCAACTAGAGGTTCTCCCTCCTTCCATCCAGTGGTCTTCATGAAGGCGGACCATAGATCCACCACCGGGATATTGAGCGATGCACCAACCTCGCACGCAGCCGCTGCATACGACTTTGTGAAGCTCGCAGTTCTGCTTGGGAACGGGGTATTCTTTATAGCATCGAATTTCTCCAGTTGATATTCATTGATGGGAGGTGGGCTGATCAAAATGAGTCGTGGGTTCTGTGCGCGTGTCGCTGGGTGTTGAATGATTGTCTTCAAGTTCTCTTTATATTGATCCAGGGGCACATGCTGGCTGTGTGTTGGAACGCACGCATCGTTGGCACCGAAGAAGATAGTCTATCCGATGTTACCAATTGGTATTTCGAGTACATTCGATATTTCAAATGGGGTTGCTCATAAGGAGGGCTTACCATGAGTCGCACATTAGCTGTTTGCGGCAAAGGGAAGAACTTATCAAAGACCTTTACAGCATGGGCGGTTGAATATCCACTGTTACATGTTAGCATATCCCAATGTATTATAGCTTTGGATGATCTTACGCTAGGCCGCGGTTGACAACATCCAATCTACGACTGTAGGCTGATTATTTCTTTCATTAGCTTATTGACCATGCGGATCTCTTGGGTTGTCAGAATATTGACTCACATTCTTGGAGCGCAGCATGAAATGCAAAACCTAGCTCTTGGTTGCAGGCCATTTGAGTGATGGAGTCTCCAAAGAGAATAAATTGGTCATATGGTTTGAATGCATTCCCATCCCCATCCCCCTGGGTCTCGATGGTGGCCATGGTGAGGCAAGAATATAAAAATAAGATCAAATTACTTGGGAGTTTGGAATTTAAGTCCTGGGAATTGAGGATTGGGGGCTGATAACAACAAGAAACGGACAGGAAAGGAAGTGGGGGAAGTCACTCCGCGGACAAAAAGGAAATTGGTGGACCTTCGGTTGTCAACTAAGGAATGAATACATGTATATCATCAAGACTAGATCATGAGAACTACATACATATGTATGTACAATACCGATTATCTAAATCTATATAAAATCTCAAATCAATTTATCTATCCGTTCATCGAATTGGGGGTCCAGATCTGAACCCCGCACTATACGAATAGGAGTATAACATAGACCTTTGGGTTACTATTATATCAAGGTAGCTTACATGAGTATAATCGCCATTTGTGCCGGCCCGGCTAGAATCGGCCGGCCTCGTGATCTGGCTTGGCGGCCCCGGCTCGTTCGGGATTAGCACGGCCGATTGGGGTATAGCGCGGCGCTTTCCCGCATCTAGTGTCCGAACCGTGTGAGTTTAGCCTGCCTGTCTGGGCTTAGTGGATCCCTTTAGGGTCTAGCGCAGCGCTTTCCCGTATCTGGCTAGCGACCCGATCGGGTTTAGCCTATCCGTTCTAGGTTAGCGTTACCCGCTATTCCTGAATCGATTCTACCCGTGCAGACCGCTTACCTACGCGGTCCGTTATAAGTATATAACCTCTGGTGCGTCGCTCAATCCTTTCTCGACACACTCTCACTCCATTTTGCCCCCGGCTGCCCGCCCACTGGAACACTTACGGTGAAATCATACCGTATCACTCTCGTCAGACCGTACCCTCCTTCCTGTCTCGGCTGAAACCAGCGTCGTCACCCTCGCTCGTCCATCTCCACCCTCTCTGCTTTCACGCCGGCCTGATTTGCCCAGATGAACATGGCTTATGGCCAGCCCAGGTCGCCACCGTGTTCTGGTGCTATGTGTATTCGAGCCCGACCTATGAGGCTGCCTCGTTACTACCTGCCAATTTAGTCCATCCGGGCAAGATGAAACTGGTTCAGTTCGGAGCCCGGCCACCCGAGACGGGGAAATGACTTGGACGAGCCGCAAGCTACTGCACGTATCTACTCCAGCTTTGTTGAGCCAACTGTGTTTTTGGCTACAATTAATGCCTTGAAGATGGCCTCAGTCAGCCTCTGTTGCTTCGATGTTACATCACTTTCCGCCAGAAAAATAGGTTCGCAATTTCACGGTCTTTTTACGCCGAGTCACCATCACACCATGCGGATCAGATGCGAACCACGTTGAGAAGCTGGGCGGAGCTCATGGGGTGGGGATAGTTTCTCTGCCAAGCAAGTTTTCGAGACGAATCCTTTCCCTTTGCAGAAGCTTGGATAGACCACGCATTCACAGGTTCCTGGGACACCTGCCAATGGGAAAAATACCTCATCATGTGGCGATGCTACGATACCACCAAGGGATGTTTCAAGTGCCTACGTTCGTCAGCGTCAGAAATGCAGAAAGCCCGTGCTTGAAGCGGACGAGGCGTGGCGCTGATGTGGCCATGTGCGATGCCATTATATGAACTGTGATCTGCAGGCCTACAGCCGGGATATAAAATGACCCTTTCCCCTCGCTGTGAGAGTGTTTCTGGACTCAGCACCGATCAATAATCCCAGACATCTGTCTTAAATTTTGTGACCACCTCTACGATCGAACATTATGACCACGATCAATCTGGATGAAATTATTCCATACGAACCCCCTATTACCAACCTCCCCGATGAGCCGAAGCCGCCACGAGCTCCTAGTCTCACGCCTTCATCAACTGCTGGATTCAATCCAGCCTATTCTTTCCCGCCCTGGTCTAGCTGGGGCTCCAGAGTTTTTCAGGCCCAGTCACCTCACCCGCAGAACCTCCATGGCAGTGTGACAGAGGTACCCAATTTCAATTCTGGGAGCGGTGACTGCGGATCAGGCTCGGGCCGTGAGCACTTGGAAGTACGTGGACAAGGGCATTGTAGCATCCCCACGACGCGAACTGATTGTGATAACGTATCGACATCCCATTTGACAAAAGACGATGGGATAGTGGAGCACCCGGATGCCGAACGTAAGATGGATATGGACAACCGGGGTAAGTGCAATACAGAGCCTATACTGTCGAACAATGCGTCTGGCTCTCCTATGCGATCTACTTGGGTCTTTCATTGATTGGCTCTGTCTCTTTTCAATGTTGCCTTCAAAAAGAGTTGGATCGTTGCTAACTTCCACTATGAGACCAGGCATCCACAATGACTCGCACTACAAAAGTACTCAGGAAAGTACTCAGGAATCTGCTTCTTGGGGCCCCAATGCGCCTATGCCTATTGAGTCATCACCACATTGCCTCAAACTTGGGCACACATCTCTGCGCAACATGCGCAGTCTACCAGGTCCAGCAGAAGTAGGTACCGAACGAACAACCGGATTATCTTCAAAAGGTCAGCAGTCTGTCAGCAGATATATTTTCTAGCCCAAGAGCTCACCAAGATGTATGCAGATCAAGCCAACAGCCAGGACGACCTGGCCCAACACAAAGGGAGCAATGTTGAGATAACGCCTGATCTCACGACGGTTGGCGATAATCGTGCGGCTGTTGGAAATCCAGAGCCTTGCAATTCTCCAGACGTAAAGGCGCTCTGTGACATCCAGCCAGCCAAGGATGCCTTGAACTTTCAAAGAGAAGTCTCGAGAGACGTTGCGGAGGCCGAGAATAGAGACATTGCACCCGTCACTGGGGACAATCAAGAGAACAATGAACTACCCACAGAAGAGACAGCGCCTTGTGATAAAGAACGCAGGCGACTGTCTATCGACGAGTCTTGTGCGGCTTTTCCAGATAGTATGAGCTTGGCCCGTCCAGTTTCGCCACCAGTGCGAACCGGCGAGAGAAGCTCACCACCGGAGTCCCCACAAGAGATTACAGACGATTCTACTCGGCAAAAGCGCACAGTGACTCGAGACGACGGGCGTTCAAGAAGTCAGTCGCACCAAACTTTCGCTTCAAGACAGCAAAACAGCTGTGTGGGCAAAAGAAAACTCCTTTCCAATATTGCCTCGGATCATAGTAGCGATGATTCGGATGACCCAGATGATAGAGATTACGTGGAAAGCCGTACCAAATCGCAGCGACGAAAAACCTTTTCGCGGCCCGCGAAACAAGCAAGGCGAAGCGTGACTCGCGTTGCGCCTGCTCGCGCTATATACAACGAGTCTTTACCCTTGTCAAATGCGGATGCTGGTGATTCCGAAACATCGGAAGAACAGGAATTCCCAACGAGCCTGCGAGACACTGAAACAATCGCAGTGAGTGGCTTCCTAACACGACAAATCCTTCTATCGAGAGTTGTATACTCGTTCACATTCGAAGAACAACGAGAACAAAGTTGCTCTAACGAACGGACCAAAGGTCCAAGATCCGGCGATAAGGAGGTCCATGAAGAATCCTTTAAGAAGAGCAAGGCCCGGGAACCAAAAGCAAACAATACGTCAACGAAAGCACGCGTTTTGAGTGAGGATGACCTACTTTTGATTGAGCTGAAAGAGGAAGGAGACATGTCGTGGAATCAAATTGCACAACACTTTCCTGGAAGATCAAAAGGCGCCCTTCAAGTACGTTACTGCACACGGCTCAAAAATAGAACAGAGGGTGGCTCTGGGCAGACGAGGAGTACGCAGAAACGGTCAGCGGCTAGACGTAAGTCTTTCACGACGTCTTGCCCCGTGCCTCAATTGCGATTCATGGATAGTGAAAGTCCCGATCCCAACAACCTGTCAAGACAAAGATACGGCCCACCTCGGGCCAGACGGGCAGTTGACCGCTATTCCCCTATCTAATCTTCTCGTCCAAGTAGTTAGACTTATGCCTAGTACACCAACGAGATGATCAATGAATGCTGGAGATCCTGCTTTCCCCCTGTTAGTGTAACAAATTGTAAATCTGTGAGGTATCATACTCTGTAATTGTGACAAGTGGCCGATGCTTCTTTGTAGGTTCGTCGAGGGGGAGCTATCATATTCTGTTGATATTGTGTATATTATTGAGAACAATTCGCTGGACCCGCTCTGAGCCAATCCTGAGCCTACCCTGAGCCTACCCTGAGCCTACCCTGAGCTTACCCTGAGCTTACCCTGAGGATTTCACGTGATCTACTTCATCATTCGAAGCTATGTCGCAGGGCACTTTTGGCCTTTGACTCTTGAAGTACTGTTACAGTGATATCGGGCGAATAACTTGTCCGAAACTAGTTACGCACTGCCCGTCTCGCAAATGGGCATCGGAAAATGAGTCCGAAGGGCAGTCATGTGCGTGACTTGGTAATGCCGGCAGAACTGTTATCGCTTAATATTACCGGCAGAACCATCGTGCTCCATAAGGCCGGCAGAACCACCGTCGATGCTCATTATTCCGGCAGAACTATCCAGTCCACCATATGCCGGCAGAAACCAGCCATAAGGCCGGCAGAATTACCCGCGGTTCATTATTTCGGCAGAATGATACACTCGACCATAATGCAGGCAGAATGCTCATTGTAACGACTTTACATTCATGACGAGTCGTCGTTATGGTATTGTAATACTAGCCAGGGTCACCTATATATCACTATCTCACTTAACACGAAATTTTGCGTACTATCATTCTCGCTTGCTGAGAGAAAGTCATTTGAAATGTTTCACTCATGTCCAAGGGGATTTTTGACATATTCTCAGAGCTTTCCTAAGTTTTACCATTTGCAAACTGGTAGCTTTGAGCTGAAGTTGTTCATTAGCCGGGGCTCAGAATTAAGGTAAAGATCTCGCAGGGGACAGGTATTTTGCTCCTGGGTGCTATCACTACGGCTTCTAGTGCCTCATATTTTCAAGCAACACGATTGGCTTTTACAAGTCCGACTAGTATGGCCTATGGCCTGGGATGAATCTACGATCCTAATTCTGATCGCAAAACTTGCCAATTCCTCCAAACATAATGAAATAATCATCATCGTTACGAGCGAAATGCAGTAGAAAATGACTTGTCGCTGCATGACATATGGCGTCAACCATTGATATGCATGAAATTCTCATTCCCGGTATGACCATACTGCTCACAAAACTCCGGGGGCCTTTTCTTACCATCACAACCAATATTTCCTTGGATCGCAAAAGGGCTATGGTGAAGATGATGAGGATAGTGAGGATGGTAGCTAAGATGTTGAAAGGTTTGCTAAACAGGAAGCGCTAGCTAAACAGGAAGCGTTAGCTAAACAGGAAGCGTTAGCTAAACAGGAAGCGCTGGCTAAACAGGAAGCGCTAGCTAAACAGGAAGCGTTAGCTAAACAGGAAGCGTTAGCTAAACAGGAAGCGCTGGTTAAACAGGAAGCGCTGGCTAAACAAGGAGCGTTGGTTTCACATTAGATGGCTCCTCAGATTCGAACATGGTGAAGAGACGCAAGATATGGTGTCATGAATATTGGAACAACCTGAACTTGAACAATTTTTTACAAATCCACGGTCTCTTAGGGACGATCTAGCGAGCCTCACTTTAATTCCTACGAATATATAAAAGCTGGATCCTGGACAAAAATCTTCAAATATTTAACAACCCATCCAGCATTGATAACTGAGCACTCCCCTCGACAATATTTTCTTTGACCAACATGAACCGCAACGACAATATGCTGCTGTCTTGGGAATCCGAGGACACTTGTTCAGCTTCTTCCGAAAAATCGTCCGTGATACCCTCAGAAACAAGCGAGGACCGAGATTTCATCGTGTCGGACACGGAAAATCTCTCTAACGCCTCTGCTGAGTCGACAGAAGGTTTCAATTCTTACTACTGTGACTCGTGTCGATGCGATGGGAAATGTGGGGTAAAGGTAAGCAAGCGCCAAAAACTTCAGATGAAGCCACTAAGCCAGCGAAACCAACCACAGGGAGAGAAGGTCGCTATCAAAACGATCGCGAAGCACTCGGTCACCCGGGATGAACATGAGGTTACCAGGTACCTTGTCCTATGGTACTCTTGGGAAGACGACGAGATATGAGATTTTCTCCACTTATGCAATCGTTTATATGTCAAAACAAGGAATCCACTGCAATACTTCATATTTGAGGGTGAAAGAATGGCAAATCCAGTTTTCCGAAAAGTCCTTACTTTTAATAGTCACAAGCCTCTGTGATCAGTCGTTTCGATTCAACCTCCACGTTTCCCAACACCGTGCGACACGTTTTCTTAGGATCTTGGATTGAAAGAATACAGTGACACATGGAAAGCAAAGACGTAACAAGGAGCTTCAAAATCTGTTAATCTCTGCTTTCGGCCCAGGAAACCGAAGACTCACTACGTATGTTACCTCCGTAGACTTTTTCAAATTCCCTCACATGGAACATCTCGGAAATGACAATTTCGTCAGGCTTCGACTGCCGAAGGGCCGCGACCTTTTTCAAAGCCACGTCCAGACGCTCTCCTGAGCAGGCGCCGTGAAACGTACCAGCCAATCGAACAGCCAGAGTAGCTGCACTCAAGTCAATAAAAGCACAACGGGGCGCTTGATTCACCCACCTCTGTCTAGCTTATCCTCCATGTTCCACTTTCCGGATATTACAGATGCCTCAGTCGCACTCTCTGTGACAGCCAAGATTTTTGGCAAAAGCGTCGGGTTCAAAGCTAAAAAGGCTTGCTGGTAGTAACGCAATATAGTTGCTTGACTTGCAAGATTGATAATCTGTGGCTTCACTGAAGCGACCCGAATTTCCTCTACTTGGAAAGCTTGCTGGAGGCTCAGCATGGCAGACTGTAGACGCTGCATTGAGTATTCTGATTGAAAGAGCGGAGATTGCCGCAGACGCGTTAACATGGTGGAAAGGAAGCCATGCTCACAGACCCAGACGTTCGCGGACTCGTAGCCCTTGATCTCCGCGGCATGGACTCCTTCAAAAACAAGGCAAATTAATGCGATGCTTGCCCGTACACCAAATGGTCGATATGGCGGCCTCCTAATTTGAAAGCACTTGGCATGAAAACTTGAGCCAGGTACTGTATGCACCCCGATTAAGAAGATACAATACCTCGCTTGCACTTCCACATCCTCTAGGGACATTGTATGCGGGCCTTGGTCTGTGCACAAAACATTGCGCGCGCCAATTAGCCAACACTGCAACTTGTCGTATTGCAAGATAAAACTGTTCTCCCAATCACAGGCGCGGCGGCATATAATTTTCCACAACGCCCCTTCGTCTTCGGGAAGCAATGAGGAGATAAAGAGGTAATTTAGTACGAGCAGCATTTCATGAAAAGTGTGCGGTTCGCTGTCGTTCTTTTTGAATGATGCGAAATTGAAATTGGGTGGTGGCGGTAGACTAGTCTTGTTGATAGTTAGCAATTGGACTTAGAGTCAACGCGATTTTTTAACTATACTGGAATAGCCATTCTGTAGTATGACTCTGAAACAGCTGGCTCCCGCAGGCCTAAATGTCCCCCAGTTGAGGGGACATTGGAAGCACAGTCTTCAACGAATGTAGCAGTGGAACCGCTCCTTGTCCCCGTAAAATGAGCTGCTTGGTCGAGGGCCGTATCAGACCGGTGAAGCTGGTCGGCTGGTTCATTCATTTGTCGGGGATTTGGCTGGCTATCTCAACTCAATGGGCCTATTATGTTGCGATAATTGATCTTGTCTTCACTATGTTCTGTGCCTGTCTCAGTGACGTGTTTCGTCCACTCAGAAAAGGACACCAGTTACTCTAGTGGTCAAAGAGAAAATTGGTAAAAACAAGTACTCACAGCAGGAATGGAGTATAACGAGATCAAGGGCATCACTTGTGAAGGGAACTGAAAGCAGGCCGCTAGGTACCAACTGTTGAAAAGAGAAAGAGGCGTTACTCAAGAAAACATATTCATATTGTGTATTGGCTGCAAAGTTGCCCCGAATAGACCGTGTTGCCGCAGTATCATAAATAACATGAGCCAGGACCAATGCACGATAGTCCTGGGACTACTAGGGCCCCATAACAACTACATTGGCTCCTCGAAAGTAGCCTCGATTACACCCACGTGAAGCGGTGATTACCCCATTAGCCCGGGAGTGCTTCCATGGACCCCAGGAGCCCCCTGCTTCCCGGGAGCCAAGGATAGGGTTACCAGGAACAGCCAAGCGGTACACAATATTGACGAAAGATGTACTATTGAGGGTCTCACATACCGCATCTCCATTATCCAGAATGCAAGAGAGCCCCATTCCTTTGCTTTTTTGCGCTATGTCGTGTATCGAGAGACTTCCATAGCTGATCTAGTACCCGCAAGAGTTCACAATTATGATATTCGCCGTAAAGTATGTGAAGGCTAAACCTACCTTCATGACGCAGATAAGTTTATTGGGGTTCCAACTCGCCCCAGGAACATGGCTGCTGATCACTGCGATGTATCCCCACTAGCACGTAGATGTCAATGAGACGAACATTGGAAGTTTGACGCCGTTACTTGTCTCAGCACAGTGGGAACAGGGAGAAACGGCTCTTTTACTCCTTGTGCAGCAAGGTGTCAACGTTCAGGTTCAAGATAATGATGGAAGAACTGCACTCCATTATGCTGCTATGGATGACCTGGATGATGTGTCCACAAGGCTTCACGTTGACGACCGTCTAGAGTTGAACTCTCAAGGTAAGTATGGCAACACGCCGCTGTGGTGGGCGTCTGGGGTGGGTTCATATAGGGTCAGAAATCTGCTTCTAACCCAGAGTGGGATTCACCCCAATCCACTTGGTATGAACCCGGACAGCGGTAGGGTTACGACTGCCTTCCAAATTGTAGCAGGGAGCAAGAAAAGCCTGGCCGTGCATTTGATTCAAACTGAAGACGACTTCGGTTAAGGCTCACGAACCACTTATATTCTCTTGTCTCGAACGATAGTGAACGCTTAGATATGATGTTTCTGGAAAAGCTGTTAATTCGGAAACGTGAGCGGTTGGAAAGCTTCACAGATCTTTATCTTTGACAGTAAGCGATATTAATAGAAGTTGAACCTTCGCCTATTTAAAAAGAAGTGCCGAACAATTGAGAAGAAGCTTCGTTTATTGTATAAAAAGCGCAGCTGTACCAGACGATAATCACATGAATCAAATCATAATTGAGGATATCACCGACTGCGGAGGAGGATGTTTTTCATGAGAAGAAACACCACAGCGAACGCCCAAAATCGCGCGGCATCGGGAACCGCCCTACTGGCGGATCCCTCCATTGTCATGTTGGGCGCGAAGGGTGTTGAAGCACCAGCTACACTGGCAAAAGATGCAGTAGTGACGACAGGTGCGCTTAGAGACGGAAGGGGAAATGTGGGAATGATCAATGACAACGGTAAAGCTGCAGTATTCCAAGCTAGCTCTCCAGTTGCGTCGGATTGTGCAGCCGGGGCAATCTCCTCTCCAGGACATGCAATGGAAGCTTTCCCGATCATCTCATTGTTGCATGGAAACATTTTGATACTAAATGACGTTAGTGCATAGGCAGAAGCATCCCCAGATAAAACACTAACCGAGACTGGACTGCAGGTTGGGTAAGCGTGGTGCGGAATGAGGCTGCAGTGGGCGTGTCGGAATCGGTGAATTACTTCCAAGCAATGGGCCTCTTCGTCACGTATCATATATAGCTGTCACAGCTTTGCCTTGTACTCTAAGAAAGCAGGTAGGATCTTTTGGTTCTGCTGCAGCTAGCCAAGACCGATTGTTGTATCCAAAGCCTAGTTTGTATGACTGACTGGAGACCAGGCGATGGGGTGTGAAGGTTGGTGCACTAAGGGATTCATGTAGAAGTTCGAGGCAGCACTCGGGTTTTATACTTTTCCAGTCTGAGTTGATTTCCAGGGCCCAGACTTCCAGGGGCCACAGGCTTTCAGACAATTCTTTTCCGGCCCTTAGTGCTAAAATGTATGAATAAAGCTATAGAGAGTGCATAATTCCCGAATCTGATGATTTTCTCAAATCAAGTGTTGAACCACCCACTCATTACTCCTATAAAAAGCAGCATTTTCGACGTCTGCCTGGGTCATAATATCGAAATGTTAGAGATACGTAGGTAGTGTGAGAGTTTGGACGAGTGGCAGCCGTTGAGCCAGTCAGCCTTTGTCAACCCAGAAAAAGTCAACTGCGCAGCTCTTGCGGATGATTCAATCATATGCTCTGTTGAGTAGCTATTGAGGATCCTTTGTCTTAGCGTTTATCTCTCACCACTCTCACCGCCTTCATCTTCACCATTCTCGCTGTGCTCTTTCCCTATGTCCTGTTGAAGTAAATTTGGTGATGTTTGTGTTGAATCTAAAGGGACGCTCCGTGTCGTAGACATGGTCAAACAGAAAGCTGAATTGCAGGACTATTCAAGGGTTCCAACGGCTTTGGAGATGATGTACTACTTTATGGATATTGAAACAGGGAAGTACATTCAATTCTCTGCAACTGTCAATCTGCGGCTCGAATTTCGATTCTCACACTGAGAAAGAAGGGTGACAGAAGAAAAGGCAATGAAACAAAACAAGCACATCAAGCTGCATCTTCTGTTGCGCTTTCTAGATCCACATCATCTTTGAGTGTGCAACGATTCTTGGTGGTTTCAATATCGCCAGACATGATTGACTCCCGCACGTGGTCACTCGCCGGAACTGGATCCCTCTTTCGAGTGCTGTGGATTTCGCTTTGGTAGAACAGATCATGGAGGCGTTTCTCTGGGTGCTGCGCTTTGTGATGATGAGAGACGGATGGCTGTTCTGTGTCACGTTTGGTCTTTTCCAGAGATGATAAATCGCCCGTCGCCATTTGCTCCAATTGATCATGCCTAATATGATTACTGAATCCAGTCGCTCTTGGGCAAGATTTCTTGCCACCGCCATCTTTTGAAACCTTGAACGTTTTGGGAGTCATGGCCGTCAATCGGTGCGAAACCTTTCCATGCATGAAAGTAGATGTGCTCCATTAGCAGTATTTATACCTTGCTCCAGACCACCCACAATATCTATCAAGCGCCAAAATTCGATCATGAGAAGAATCCTTTTTGCGGCAGCCCGCAATGCTTTGATCTACTATTTTTAAATTGCGGCAGTGCTAGGAACACTCGACTCAGATAACCCTTTGCCGACGAGGTGTCAGAAGGAATGCCTGTCGGAGGATATGTCTCACATTGTGGAGCCTAGTTCTCAATTGATTTTCATAAAATGAAGTGTTTAGAAACTCATATTCGTTGTTACTGCAGTGCTTTGCCTACACCAAAAATACATTATCGAGCTCTATAGTGCAAGAATGCAAATTCACATTGGGAGCCTTCTTCAGTCTCAAACTTATATTCATCTGAGAAACCCGTATATCATCTCAATCATGCGCTAGGACAACACTGTTTGCATTTTTCTAATTTTACTTGCCCTAGAGCTTGTTCAACAGAAGTAAATAACAATATGAAAAGATCCAAAAGAACCGAATATCGTTTTCCTTTTCTTCTAATTTTCTTCATCGGCCGTGATCGGGTTAGGAGTAGGTTCCTGACTCAATGCTGTGATCTCGACGAAGGCAAGGCACGTGTCAAGACCGCGTCTTCCTGTTTAACCTTCTCCAACAAGTAGAATTTATAAAAGCACAACAGGGCCACGGAGACAAGGAGAGTCGTTCCAGTAACGACCGTTGTTACAATAGCCATGACGGACCAGTCTCCTCCTTGAGATGCACAAACATTGACAATCGTCGTCAATATCCCAGCAACAGCGTTCAACGACACCGGCCTATTATATAGTTAGCCCCAGTCGTCTTGACTGATAGATGTGCGATGTAAGAGCTTACATGAAGAGTTTATTGATCAACCATACGTAATTGCCTCTGAGCTTCGGAAAATGGAGAAGCCATACGAAAGCCGCAATACCACCGACGAGGAGACAACAGGCAATAGAGAGTAATGGAGGATGCTGGATCGTGTGTAACATCGTCCGACCGGCTTTGTTGGCTTGTAAAGTATGCTCCACCTGACCTGAGCTTTGAAGAGAGGTAAATGTGCCAGGAACTACCAGGTAACCGGCAAGCAGAGCCCAGTTGGCCGCACTAACAGTAATGTTGAAGACTAGGTCCATTTCTTCCTCTTCTCTAAGCATTCTCGCATATGTGGTCTCATTAGTGCCAACAGGCAAGGGCGTGCTTGACGCTGAAGGAATGCGGTCACCATTCCGGAAGCCGCGGACATGTGCAGGTTTCCTTGGCAGAGGAATACCTGATTTGAAAGATCTAGACATAACAGGCTGCCACGAGGCTAGGTAGAGATATGATGCTCGAGTATCTGTAGGGGTATTATGAATTAGAGAACCGACGCGGTCTAGGAATATATAACCGTGCATCTGAGCTTTTACATGTTGCGATGATATCACGCATCTATCTTCGTTATCCCGCAACTTTGTAAAGTAAGCCAGTCAATATATTATGGCCGTTCTGCGCAAAAGAAGGTGAAACTGTACAGAAAATGGTAAGTGCTGCACGCCGAGTTCACCGACCGTTGTTAAGGAAGCGTAATGATATGAATGTTTTCAGATGCACCTCCTTCCTTTTATACGTAGTCTTAACTCTTGAGGCAAAGCACAAGGTATAACCTTTTTCTTTGTGCGGCTTGCGGCACATATGGTGTCCTCCGCCTCGGATTGAGTTTGGCGTCGCTCGATATAAAGATACCCGTTAATCTCCATCTGCTGCTCAAACTATCGGACGGCCCAATGGCAGCGTGGCTTGATCTTGTGAATGAAGATGAATCCTGGACATTGGTGGATACAGGCCGCCTGGAAGAGCTGGTGCAGGGCATGCCATATCCCAAACGCCAGTATCCATGTTTGCTGTACTTTGCTGGAAGCGCAAATCGCCTGAAAGCCCTGCGAGTCCTTTACCCTCACAACAATGTCACACGCAAAGGCCCCGCCGGGTTAGTTCGTCTCCACCTCAGCGTGAAAACTGGTCATACAGAAAATCCCATCTTGTTCGCCGAGAGTAGCCTTTGTCTCGAAAAAAGCTTGGGAGATTCAAAGTGGTTGAGACACTCCACAAAAAGACATCGGAAATTCACTATACCAGATGCGGATAGACTTGATCCGCCGGGAAAACTACACCAGAAAGTGAAAACACAACTCATCGTGCCGTGGACCCAAGTTTTGTGTCTCTTTGTAGATTCGGAATCCGACATGCAGTCCGCACAAAACCTGCTCCAACAACCACTCCGACAGCTGGCAATCGGCGGCAACCCCGTTCCAACGTCTATGCAGGTAGTCATTGTTTTGACCAGGCATGAAGGCCGCGACGTTTCTGCAGCAAGTATACTTGCCAATTTCCATAAAGTTGCCGAGACCGGGGGGATTACAGTTCTCGATCTACGTCAAAGGTGCGGCCTTTCCGACACGGTCACCTTTGAACCACTCCGAAACCTCATTCATGAGCACCTATCCACCATTCGTACTCAGCAAGACTCTACTTACTGTCGTTTCTCGGCATCTCATATCAGTGCGTTCTGGAGTTCTTATGTTCAAGGTTACAGACGATCTTTGAATGCGCCACAGTTTGATCTCCTGGCTCAAGCCCGAAGAGGCCATCCCAGAAACGAATCAATGAGCGATTGCCTTCGGGAAAGCGCGCGTGTATTGGTGTCCTCCGGCTGCTCCGAAGAAGATGTGCAGGAATTTGTAGTCTCGGCTTTCTTGATGGATGCCTACCCCCCAGGGATGCACGGTAAGAGCCTCAACCTCACTTTGGATTTTTTAAATGACATTTATAGGTTTTTCCCCAACCCTCGTCTTTGCCGCACTCTATGAGAAGCATTGTATCGAGATCTCGAAAGACGGTCCCTCCAACCACCATTGCGAGAATATCTCAACCGGGTTCAAGCAGCAATTTGTGCAATTGAACCCCCATAATACATCCGCGACCATTCGAAAAGATGTACTTCGTCGCTTCTTTCGCCGATGGGGTGGTCTTCGCTCCACCACAACCTGCTTTGTATGCTTGACTCGTCCGCCTGAGCACATGATGCCATGCGAACACGCACTCTGCGACACCTGTGTCGTGATTTTCGGCAAGTTGAGTTCTCTCGGGGAGTATCTTTGGGACGTGGCTGAATGCCCCGTGTGCGACGAAAAGTTCGTCGTTAGCATACGTCAATTACCCCCTACCAAGCACCCGGTGATCCTCAGTCTCGACGGCGGTGGCATCCGCGGATTGTACCAGTTGGGGCTTCTGCGAGCATTAGAGAAGCGCATTGGCGTACCGATCGCAGTTCTCCCGGACTTGTGCCTTGGAACTAGTGTCGGTATGTACCATCCTTGGCCGAATCATTTTCCTTTCTACCAACGTGCTAATAGTGTTGACTGTTCAGGCGCATTGACGGCGATCGATATCTTCTTTAACAACACCTCTGTAGAGGACTGTCTGCGAGCGTTCCCTGATCTAGCGCGAAGAATCTTTCGGCGGTCACGGATCCCGGTTCCTCGCTTCGTTCAGTGGTTCGCGTCTGCGTTCAACTTGATGCTCACCGGCCTCTACGACTCGGCAAATCTGTCGCAAACCCTAAAGGAGGCGGTCACCCCGGAGCGTCGTATATTTGATGTTGCCACGGCTAGCCCTGCAGGATGCCGGGTTGCCGTCGTAGCAAGTCGCACATCCGACGGAAAGGCCTGCGTGTTGGCAAATTACCGAGGCACCGGCCAGCGCAATGCAAATGCCGCCTACCAGTTCTTGATTCCCAACAGCAGTCAAGAAAATCCTTCCTTGTCGGATGTGTAAGTCGGCTCTCTTCCTACCAGATCCTTGAATCGGAGATAGCTAACCATTCTTGTCTTTCGGCAGAGCCATGTGCAGTGTTGCGGCTCCCTTGTAAGTGCAGAACTGTGAGTGGATCCTGAAACAACTGGAGCTAACGTTGTAAAGCTACTTCCAGACAAGACGCCTGCCAGGTTTCGTCCCTTTGCAGGACGGCGGGGTCCGCGCGAACAATCCGCTTGCCATTGCGTTAAGGGAGTCGAGCATCATTTGGCCCAGTTCGAAACGACACGATCTCCTATTATCGGTAGGAACAGGGGTTTCCACAGCTAGCCCTGATCATAACTCACGACATGGCAATGCCTGGGAGGGAGCTCTCCCTCGACTATTCCGCGCCATGATGTCCTCCCCTTCTATGGATGGACAGCAAGGGTTTTTTGAAGCCCTGAACTACCTACCGCATCACTCGAAACCAGATGTATTCCGACTCGATCAGGCCATCCATGGTCCACTCCCCGAACTAGACGATATCAGCGCACTGGAGGAGTTCTCCAAGATGGATTTTGTAGTTCCGGATGAGCTCGTGAGAACCATTCTCGCGTCAGCAATGTTCTTCTTCGAATTAGATGCAACTCCAGTTCCCAGCCACGTTGGATACCATTGCGAAGGGTCCATCCTTTGCTCACGGCCTGGGGCGGGCGAGATCCTCGCTCGTGTCTTGATTGAGATCCCTGGTGCGAAATTTCAGGCTGGTCAGGACCGTCCCCTGGGAGATGTGGATCCAGCCGACTGCTGCCAATTTTGTGGATATTTCAGAAAACGCGTTGCCTTTCGCGTTGCCAGTCTTGAAGAACGGTTCTCAATCAATATTGCCAACAGTACATGTTGTGAAAAGATCGGTGGCTTCCCAAAGTCTACACAGGACTTCCTCGACGAGCAACAAGCGTTTGCTCATTTTGGCCGGGCAGACCATCAAACGCCGCAATGGCCTCCGGCAAGGCACTGCCAGTGCGTCCGCGACACCAAGAGGAAGATACGCTTCATCGAACCTGCCTCGGGGCCGAAGCGGATGCGGTTATGACGTCAAGAGTTTGATGTATCCTATTCGGCTTAGATTATGAAGTTTACGGACATGTTTCTGCAGCAATACCTAGAATGTTCCATGCAAATTTCAATATACAATGCTAGGTTGATCGATTTACTTTCGGTATTTAACTTTTACAGCGAATACTTCTTGTAGTAGCACATACTCCCTGAGCCGAGACACATAAGTATATCGGGCATAACACCGACCTTATTTCATCCTGTCAAGCACGAGGATAGCCCCTGGGAAACAACCAAGTACTTCATGACAGTATCCTCGCACTGCCACCATGCTATGACAACATTCAGAGCTAGTAGATGGATTCTTTCGTTGATTCCTGTTTCGCTCTGGCAGATAGTCCTTCGACATTAGGCTTTTTTCGGGGAGTGAATTTCGCTGGCAACAGCAGCACAGAGTACCTTGGTTTAATGGCCGCTGCATCATCAGAGCCCACAACCGGGTGGGTCTTGATCGCCGTTCGCTCCGCTTTCTCCGCCCTCCAAACTTCCCACGCAGCTTTCCTTTTTTTCGCAACAAGAAAACTTAGGAATCGATGCAGCCCATGCTCCATGCCATAGGTCGTCTGATTTATAATGAGACTTATTCTCGCATCACTGTATAGGTTACTTCTTCAGGCCTGGTGCCACTAGTGAATGGAGTTTTGTCCGAAGCCTCCCTACCATCCCCGGTAGACGTACGCCTTGGCTGACCGCGGTTGGCCTCATTTCGCCAAGAGGTACTGCCCCTCGGTTCCATGAGAATCACCCATCTAGAACCTCTGCGTTTTCTGCGGTGAGTATTTCTAGCAATTTTCTGCGAAAGACTAGTACTGTAAGAAGACGATGATCCCGCGGATGTCTAAACCCGCACCTAAAATGCGTAAAGTCCTTGAGCTCCGACCCAAATTCATTCCTTTCGAAAATTTGCTTTGCCAGCCTACTTTCTGAGAAGTCACTCACCTACTCTTTCAATCTAGTTTGGCGGACGGATACAACGTTCGGGATGACGAATCGCGCAACCAAGACCCCTGCCTTTCAGCCAGGCAAATATACTGCCTGGCTAGCCAAATCTCTCGAAGATGAAGCGAGGGCAAAAGAAAATACTCGCTACCAAGCTGCGATGGAACGCCAATCCGAAACGCCTTTTTCAACTCAAATGGAGCATGAAGGCGCATTCTCTGACAGGGAAGAGCAACTCAGAAGCCGCCACAGCAGCAAGGCTCTACACAAACCCGATCGAGAAACGGAACTGGTCGATTCTTCGCCATACAGGCTATACAAGCCTACAACATGTGCAAACAACCGGTCAGTGATTACTTTCCCGGCTATATAACTCCGATTCTCAATTCTAATCAGCCATGTTCAGATCTCCAGGGGAAGTGAAGCAAGGACCCTTCAAAGGTTCATCCGCGAGAGAGGAGCAGATAGAACAATGCAGGCAGTCGGAAAGCAAGGCTGCTAAACGACTAATTAAGAGAAAATTGGCCGACGATATCCGCATTTTGAAGAGCGAGGTGGAGGATCTTAAACAAATGGTCATCGCTCTGCAGCCACTCCTGCCTGAGCGACGTAAGAGAAAGCGAGTCTCGTTCCAAGACAATCCCATCTAGGCTAATAAGGCATGTCGAGAACATTTGATGAAATGAAGTACAACAGTGAGCATGTTCGAATAGCTTAGTTTGCAGTACAGTCTTTCATTTCTTGTTACAGTATTTAATGCCTACAGACTGATCTTGTCTCTACTTTATTCCGCGAGGTGACGCGTGCCATTTAAATTTACGTATCATCACGTATTATCTTTGTCATAGATAACATTGACAATCGGTTCATGCTGTGTACTCTAGAAATCTAGCTTCCCAGTCGCGCAAACACGATGCATATATTCCCACATCTAACCTGACGACTGGTTTTCTTTAGGCGCTGAGTAGGTGGGTACCGGCGTTGTACATTCTATAATAAAAGTTAGCATGTACCGAGAGATATATTAAGGCCGTTTTGTACCTAATCTAGATCCTTTTGATTTCGTTAAGCCACTGCTGTCGGTAGGGTAAGGGTCGGTTGTAAGAATTGTCTTAAACCACCGGTCGATGGTACTTCGAGCCGCACTTTTGTTTAGAAGCTTTAACGGTAAGCGCCTATTTACTATCCGCGGGCGAATGGCCCCTGATCGTTTTCGGTGGCCTAGATCTTTAGAAGGTCGGGCAACTATAGGGCCTTGCTTCTATAGAATATAGTATATCTTCCCTTAGAGAGAATCAGGGCTTCGCTTTACCCCGTACTGTTTATAATATACGTCCTATAGGGCTTTCCACAATAGGTTCCGATTCTTATCTAACTAGGGGAGAAGGTTGTCTTCTTCCTATTTAGATCAGCCTACTGTGCTATATAGGGACATTCTCTTTATTAAATAGGGGCAGTGAGAGTACCGGTTAAGATAATGGTAGAACAGTGAATCTTACTTAGATAGGTATAGTGAGGTCTAAACTTCCTCTAGGACTCACTTAAAAGCTGTATAGGATACCGCTACCTTATAAGTTATTACCCGAAGCTTAATTGTGACCTATAGGTCTATCTGGTAAGCTACTTTAGTGAGTCTAGATACTAAAATATCGGACTTATATTTCACTTTTCTACTATTTTAACTAAGCCTAGACATTTAAGTTTAATAAGCCCTTACGTTATCAGTATACTCTTAGAAAACTGGTTAGTAAGATAATAATACTCACTTAATATAATAACGAGTTCTTAACCCGACCTTACCATATATTGCATTGAATAGGACAAAAGAGACGTTATATAGAAAAACGCTCTTTTTATTAGTACTTTAAGTTGACTTTACTAGTAAGCGTTAACGGCTAAAATTGACTGTTTCTTATAACTAATTAACTAATAGATAAAGTAACGAGTATAGAAAGTATGGATATAGCCCTTATAACCTTTTATTATAAATAAATGGATGGCTTAGCGCCGATTATATAAACTAGAATCGATAAAAAGCGAGGCGTTACCTATAAAACACAGTCTAGTTATAGAAACTTAGTCTAATATTTTAGTACTACTCGTATATAAGTATAGCTGCCATTCGAAAATTCCCCTACTTTAATTGACGAGAAAGCTTTTAGAGTTAGTTATACTATGCGTTATCCTTATTATCCTCTAAATCTAAGGATACCTAGAGCCTATTAAGGTTAGCTATAGGTAATACTATAGAGGACGACGAACTCCTTTAGGAAGAGAATAACTATACTAGCCGCTAGAGATAAAAAAACGCTGTATATAGTATCGAGGAGGATGCTTAATATAACTAGATTTTAGGTCTAAGACTTAGAGTAGAGCTAAGCCTACTATAAGAGCCTAATCTCTAGGAGAAATATAATACAATCGCTTTCTAATATATTATAGAGTAAGTAATATAGTCTACCTTATAATAAATCTTTGTAACCTATATACTTACAATTATTAGACTTAATACCTAAATAAAGTCAGTCTTACCTCCCTTCGGAGAACTATACCACTAATATAATTTTAGGTCTATATAGAACTTACTAAGTAACTAGATTACCTAGAATAAAACTATCTGTAGTGACCTAGATGGTATTTGCAGTCGGCTAGTGGCTATAGAGGTAGCTATAGTATAATAGCGAAAGAGAGGGAGAATACTACGACTAATAGTAATACAACTAGGTATATATATCGTTCCTAGAGGCTATAATATAATTAATTTTATTTCCTATTAAGGTTCTATATTAGCTTTTATCCCTTAAAAGCCTCTCTTCCTTAAAATAGGTATAAATATTATATCTATATATCTTATTACTTAGTACTAGATATTACTAGACTCTCTATCTATATACTATATTTATATAGCTATAAAATATAATAGACTCTAGAATTAGTCCCTAGTATAGAAAATTAGCTCCTACTTTAACTGGCTAGACCTTATAGACTGATATAAGGATCTACTAAATTTTTTAGCACTAGTTAATCATTTCTTAGCCTACCTACTCCGCTTTCCCTGCTTTATAGATTCCTAGGGCCTACGCTAGATTATTAAACGCCAAGTTTAAGAATCACTAAAGCTAAGGCAGTATTTATAGAATATTCCTTAAATAAAATATACAAATAAATCCTATAGATTACTATATTACTTAATAGTTGATACTTACAGTAGAGTACTATAAATAGTTTAATCTATAGGTACCTATATAATTGACTTTTATTATATTTAGCTTAGCTACTAGTAGGAATTAAATAAGTTCTATTTTTAGTTTACCCCTTTCGATTATCTATTATCTAGGGAGGGGCGAGTATATACTAAAGTTATATAAAATCTGCGAGTAAACTCTAAATCTCTATATATAGCTCGCAGTAGAGCTAAAGCTTAGCAGAGTCTAGAATATACAGTCTTATAAGTTATATATAAAAACCACTATTATTAATAAACTATAGAAGGTTATATCGCGTTTCGCTTAGGAAAAGAAAAAAACGTAGGGATCTTAAGTAGTAGAGGTAGCTGGATTATAGGCCCTTCTATTAATTAAATTTAGCAGCTAAGGAACTAATATATCTACTGCTCTACTTACTAGAGAAAATCACTCTATAAAAAAGTTTGATATTGAAAATCTTAGTATATATATTAATGGATAACTTTATCTAGTATATTCAAATTATATTATAAGCGAACTATAGGTATTAGTAGGAGCGGGGTCTTCCTAAGTGACTAGTAGGAGATTAGTAATATAGAGAATCCTAAGGAACGCTATAACAGAGTTCTGAGTAGGCTACCTTAATCGGGCTAGTCTCTGTAGATTACTCCGGAGCCTAGTAAATAGGATACTAGCCTATGGTTCTAGAAGGTATCGATTGCGTTCTAGAACCATATAGTTACAGATACCACCTCGCTATATATTTTATATAAGTTCTATAAAAAATATCTAGATAGTACTAATAATAAATCTCAGACTATAGAAACGCTTAGTCGGTAAGAAAATGCGTCTATATATATAAATTAAAGTTTAGCTTTACAGCTAGTTAGATACCTTATCGGTAGACCTCTGCTCAGACTTATTATCTAAATTACTATTTAAGGGGCCGATAGCTAAGGCGGGAGTTATAATCATAATAATATAGCTAGCTATACACTAGCTTTAGGTAACAACGATCTACTGATAATCGCCTCTAGTCAATAGACATATAAACATTTACTAGTATACCTAGGAAATAGAATACTAGATCTACGATACTTAGGCCTATAATATCAATTTCAATTGGTCCCTCGGCTTTTGTTATAACCTATAGATATTTCTCTGGTCCCCTCGGCACATTAAATATAAGCATAAGATTGTATCAGTTATATATAAGTATTATCGACTTAGGCGGTCGAAGTCGAATATAGAAAAGGAAGCAAACAGTACAGTAGGAATAATTGGAGAAAATTCAGTAGGTAGTCATAGATCAAGATGTAACGGGCTATATATTATCCCCAGCACTTCAGCTGTTCCAACCATATCTGCGTTGTGGCTCCTAAGACAGAGGCCCCTTGCTCGCACGCTTCTATGGGAGCTCAGCCTTAAGAGGGGATTTCCGTGGTTCTTCTCTCCTGCGTGGTACTTTATTGGTGGCGGTAGTGATTGCTAAGTCGCAGGTTCGCTTATAGTATGATTTCAGTGTTGCAATCGCAGGGGGGGGGTGACAATCGATGGGGATAGGGATCCTAGATAATAAGCCTTGGCGGCAGGAAATGCCTCACGCGGTTGCCATAGGTACTACACTCGGGTTTCCTAACCTGATTCAGCAAGGTCTAGATCCTTCGATGTAGAGCCTGATGGACTATGAGGGATATTGCAGCGGTCTGCTATGGTCGACGGTGGCATTGGTCAATCAAAGCACTTACGCATAGAGGACTTTTGTATACATCCCCCACTTTCGCAACTTTTTCGCTCACATCGCTTGGGTTTGTGTCTTCTCCTCACAGAATGGTCAGCCGTTCTCTGAGCTTCTTCCAAATGGCAGATCCAGTGTACCAAATCTCACACCATGAGCAAGGCAAAGACCATGTGCCAGTATCAACACCGCCCAAAGACCAAGCTCTGACACTAGAGAATTTCTCGCGCGGCCGCCCATTGCATGAAGCCCAGTTGCATTCATGTGCCCCTCTACAGGAAGATCATGAGGATCAAGCAACTCGAAGACGAAATGTGCGAAAAAGCAGACGCAGCAGCCCTGTTTCTTCTACAATACGTCGAGACTTGATTGAAAGCTCTTCGACCAACGTAACGTGGCCATCTGGATCTGCAAACAAACGGTAAGTGACTACAATGGCCCTCAGCAGCTTCAGTGTTGTTTCTAACTGTCAATTCTCAGATATACGAGACAGCAGCGTCAGCTTTGTCAAGAAAAGGTCGATGCAATCCTCAGTACGTTCAAGAACAGTATGAATTGGCCCAAAAGCAGACTGACTGATGAGCTCTAACAACAGTCTTGAAAAGTCTTTATTCACTCCTTGGAGTTCCTGGGGCGGACATTCCCTTCCGCGCACAGAATCTGATTCTTCAAGCCATGCAACGACACCTTGAATACCATGCATTCCAGTTCGCTCACAAGTGGCTTCGGGGGGAGTCTGTCATGAATGGATGGACGTGTCCAGAGGAGTTGGAACTGCACACATTTTTCAAATTCATGCTGAAAAACCAGAAAAACCTGCAGCTCAGCCCCTACTGTCACGCAGGTAGGGCGGTACAAAAATGGAAAAGCTCGGTTTCTAAAATCCGTCACACCGCTGTCCATCGGCTTATACAAGACCGTGAAAGTCTTCTCCAGATGAACCTTGCCGCCATCGAATTCGTTATGTATATCAGTGGATCTTCAAGATCTGAGAAGCTTCAGCGTCTCTTCGATTTCCTGGAGACTAGGCTCCCAAAGCCAGACCGGCTTCGAAGGCAGCGAAAACCAGAACCCAATTCCAAGGCCTCTTTACGCAAGACTCGCCTCGAAAATCTGAAATGCCGGTTCATCTTGCCTCCCGAACCGGTCAAAGAAGTTCTACAATGGATTGAAGAACACTTCACTCGGGAAGTGGAACGGTTCCTAAAGGTTGTATTTCAATGATTCTCTTTTGGCTTGATTGCACCTGAGAATCAAACATAATTTTCGTCTTCAAAACTTTCACCTCCGGGTTTTGGTGTTTTCCAAAAAAGGACCACTTCCCCCCCCCACCGGGGCCAACAAGGGGCGCCTGCTCGCTGTGCCCACTAAGGCAAAAGGACCAGCAAGCAGAGAATAGTGAGTGGACCTCAGCATCATAGACACTCACTGCTCCATTTTCATCTGCAAAAGTCTTCACAGTCTCAAGATCCACCTCTCGCACAACCATGAGTCATAGCGTCCTCTCCGGGTTCTCTGCATCGGGTAATATCTCGCTAGTTACTCAGCAATAGCCCGCTCCAGTCAATGTATATAGTTCGATTGTTTGAAGAGCGGGTGCTTAAGTAGGGAACCCTGAACCTACTTTGGCGGGTCTGCATTGTTTGGATGACTAATTACCTAATAAATAATATCGGTTCCGAGGGATGCAGTATGCACTAGTACTAGAATAAACCAATGAGGCCATTGCACCGTTCTTGAGATGTGTATTTCTATATATATCTGATAGCAAAATAAAGGGGCTCTTTCGAGCTGATTCAGCAGTTGATGCCTTGGGAATCAGGTAGTGGTGGATGTTGAATGAAACAAATACGCTAGTAAGAATCCTCTCCACTTTTACCGACAAATAAACATCTCAAGACAGCATCCTCGCACTACCGCCATGCGATGACAGCATATAGAAATAGAAGATAGATTCATTCGTTGATTCATGTACCTCTCTGGCAGAATTATCTCATGTTAGATCGCCTCGACAAGTAAAAATCGCTGGCAAGCGCAGGAAAAAGTACCTTGGTTTCATGGCCGCTGTTTTTGGTTAGTCGCAGGGCCCACAACCGGGTGGCTTGATCGTCATCGCTCCGCTTTCTCCACCCCCAAACTCCCCACGCAGCTTTCCTGATGTGGCAACAAGAGAAATCGGGAATGAATGCAGTCCACGCTCCATGTCTTAGGTTGTCTGGTTTCAGAACGAGATGTTTGTTCACACATCATAGGGTAACTCGACGTAAGCGCTACGAAGCTTCCCTCTGCGAGTTTCCATAGAAATTTACCATTTGCTCGCACGCTTTGCTCAACCAAGGTTGCCACTTCTTAGATAACAGATAGACCGACCCAGCCAAGTTTAGCGAAAGTCAATTAGAAGGGTTCCGCGGGTCGTGCGATTTACAGTGCTGTGCCACAAGTGGACTGCCAAGTAACGTATATCGAACCAGATTGTGCCTTGACACGGCCGGCTGCGATGACTTGGACGATTTTCATCGGGTGAGAGTCTCCGAATAACGCTCTGACTTTGTGAATTCTCGGACCTAGTATTCGACAGTTCAAATTAGGGTATCGGGATCTAGGAGGAAAAGAGGAGCGGGTGGGTACAGAAATTAATGATCGGCAGGCAGCGAAAAGCTTGAATGGAACGTCGTATCGTGTCAGTTCCCGAGTTCTACCCAGCAAGGCAGAAGTTAGTTTTACACCGGAGACCGAGTTCGGTGTTTTCGCAGCTGGAAGGCGAGTCTATCCACATTAGGCCACGAGGACTATAATGGGATACTTCAGCGGAAAGACCTGACACAGGAATCCAATAATAAGGAGTCTAAAGCATCGCCTTCCAGCTGGGATAATTTCTAGCAACGATGCGTTCGCCCGGTCGCTTTACCCTCAGCCCCTGTGTTCTCCCCCTCCTTGGCCGTCATCTCCCTCGTTACCTCCACAGCCGCCAGCTGACTGCAAATTTCCTCCAGATCGCTGCGAACAGTCTCGTTCCATGTGGTTGCCTAGTGAGTTCTGCGTAGAACTAAGAACGATGTTAGCAGTGTTGTTTTCTCCGGTGGTACGACTTACTTCGTTCGGATGTCGGATTGATAATCGTAAGCAGGCAGACTACAAAACTTGATGCCAGGGGAGACTTGGTCACTCACTCTGCGATGCATTGGAAGGCGGTATGTTGCGGTTTCAGAGACATCAAGCTGGCCGGGTGTTTCTAGATCTTTTCAAAGTTTAGCCCCGTATCCCGGTCGGGTCGAGCATCTTCCTCGATACAACCCAGGTTGGTGCCCCATCCCGGGGGGCGAGGGCAGTCATTCTCTTCCTGAGGGACTTCTTCTTCCTCTGTGGTATCAACCGCAACCGATCCCGAGTGGCTTCGAGCATCTTCGGATTCGGGGGGTGACAGGGACAATGCACGCTGCAATCGACGGCGAAAGCTTTGTCGTCGATCAGCCGAGGGAAGTTTTGGAATAGCACCCATAACCGCATGGAGGATACACTGAGATGACAAGTGTCCGTACAAAATACTCGGCCTTTTGCAGAGTCGGTACTGAGCATGACACCCGAAGTGAGCGCGCTGCTACAGTAGCTCGCACTCGGGTGCTGCCAGGTGCAGTGTCTTCCACCCGGTTATGCTGCAACGGTTGCTATATTTGATGATTCACGTTGCAACCATTCAAGCACCGCATTATCCTGCGTTCCTCCATTGATGAACCAAGTCATCACAAGTTAAACCTCGAGAGTTGTGCTGTTCAACGACAGAGGCGTGGCTGTATAGACCGTTGATTTCATTGTTATTCAACATGCAATCTCGCCCATCCTAGTGAAATACTACGCCTTCTGTTGAAACATGGTTATCCCTCCGTAGCACACGGTGCAACATCATCGCGTTGAGTCCTCTCTACCTCTGCTCAGTAAACTGGCTCAATTGTATGTGCAATGCGCGATTTAATTGCAGCAACGATGCGAATCCATGGATTCAGTCTCATCTCCCTAGTGTTCTCGCACAGAATTACCGAATGTATCTGACCGCAGAAAACGAAGAAGTTCTAGATGGGCGATCTTCATGGAACCAAGGGGCGGTGCCGCTTGGCGAACTGAGGCCAACCGCGGGTCAGCCAAGACGTGCCTCGTACGGCCACCAACTCTCAAAAACACTATTCCAACGTCCGTTTAAACATCTCAACACGCCTCGACCAGCAGTGAACATGACTAAGATGTGCGCAAGCGGTCGCTACGTAGAGACGGAGCCGAGTGGACATAAAAGGAGCCAGATTCCCAACCTAGAAAAAATCAGGACTTCGCTCCTCACACTCCGATGTGCCATGGTGTCCCTCTCTTGTCTGCAGGCTTGAGAGTCTCCGTGGCCACGGCTGTCGCTGCCACGAGCCCAGCGATGTAAGATTTGCGCTCACCGCAGGACGGGCTCTGCGTTATCAACTGTGCCTCGCAGGACGGGCTCTGCGATATCAACTGTGCCTCGCAGGACGGGCTCTGCGACATCAACTGTGCCTCGCAGGACGGGCTCTGCGATATCAACTGTGCCTCGCAGGACGGGCTCTGCGATATCAACTGTGCCTCGCAGGACGGGCTCTGCGATAACAACTGTGCCTCGCAGGACAGGCTCTGCGACATCAACTGTGCCTTGCAGGACGGGCTCTGCGACAACAACTGTGTCTCGCAGGACAGGCTCTACGTTATCAACTGTGTCTCGCAGGGGATTGCTGCGATAACAAGGCCTCTAGCGACGCGCAGGCACCTCTCTGTGGTGCTAGGGACCAGTATTCGAAAATTCTGAGAGTCTTCGAAGAAGCAAAGACCTGCGCAACATTTTCATCTTATTCATATTCCGAAGGATCAGACGATCCCTAGATAGATATAAATCAATTAGAATCGCACAATTTCAGACTGAATTTTTCCGCTAATGGATGCCGTATTACTAACTCTCTTGGATAGTTTACAGTCTGATAGCCCTCTCGCCGCAATAGAATGCGTGTACCATAGAGGCGTAGAATAAACAGAAATATATGTTGATAAGTATGGTAGTGAGTGTTGACGTAAGTGTTGACGTGAGTGTTAACGTAAGTGTTGACGTGAGTATTAATGTGAGTGTCGACGTAAGTGTCTACGTGAGTGTCTACGTAAGTGTCGATGTGAGTGTCGACGTGAGTGTCTACGTGAGTATCGACGTGAGTGTCGACGTAAGTGTCGATGTGAGTGTCTACGTGAGTGTCGACGTGAGTGTCGATGGGCGTGTTGATGGTGAGCGATAATGGTAAGTGACGACGGTGAGTGACAACGGTGAGACGGTGAATGACGACGGTGAATGACGGCGGTGAATGACGACGGTGAGTGACGACGGTGAGCGAATGTTAACTGTCCTCGAAGTTTTTGGTGGTGGTTGATATGAAGACAACTGTCTCTGTTGATCACCGAGCGGTGAGAGCGGTCTGGAGGTTGAACTGCTACCTCACCCCCTATACAGTCTTTACCTGTTAGATACACTTGCATACATTATGGCGCGATGGGAGTTCTGCAGAGAAGGAACAGTTAAGTGATGAGCGAACGGTTGGTTAGTGAACGATCATTTAAGGAGTGAGCTAACAGTTGAGTGGTGGTTAGACACTTCACCGGTAAGCAGTTAATTAGTGAATGAACAGTTGAGTGGTGAACGAACAGTTGAGTGGTAGATAGACACTTCACTGGTGAGCAGTTGACTAGTGAATGAATAGTGGACTAGTAAATGGACAGCGGAGTTGTGAATAGATAGTTGAGTTGTGAATAGACAGTTGACCAGTGAGCAGTTGATGTGAATGAACAGTTGAGTGAACGAACCTACCTACGGAATAACTAGCCGTGGTGATGGTGAATCACTCGGTGAGATTGCACTATAGGGTATGTATATCCTAACCGAGCATGTCGCCGACACTAGGTCACTACCTTTGCGTTAAGTATTGACTCTGGAGATGTGCTTTGGTCGAACTAATCGTTGGCTTTTTACTTTCAACCTTTTTTGCCCCGGCTACATTACTACAGCTGTTTTTGCTAGCCGTCGCCCGTATCGCTATATTGCTGTTATAACAGCGAATTGTGCAACCTCGGTCTAGGGACGAGTAGGTACGTCTACAGGAATACACAACAAACAACTATCTATCAAAAATATAATCCGTAGAAACGGCTACTTTCAAGTCAATTGTAAGCGTCATAGTAATCTACCATCCGATAATTGCTATACGTACCAGTTCACTGAATAAGCCACGAAAAAGCCGCGATAACTGAGTACTTCGTCATGGAAAAAGACTACCAGTTGTGTTATCCGACGATAGTCATATACAATATAACAGTGTTAGACAGCGACACGCCCTCTGAAAAGAGCCCGACTAGACCAGGAGAGATATTGTCGACGATATGAGCTAGTATGAGCGTAGGCGGTTGTCCCATTGCAGATGTGGCTTGAAGTTGGCGGAGGCAGACTCCCTTCAGCAGGAAAAATAGCAAGTTCTTCATGCTTGGCCTCTAATTCCACTACCACTCACGTGGAAAGGGGAGGGACGGCTAGGAGTGCTGCTGTCCAGCTGCCTCACTACTGAACCTCAGAGGCACCGCCGACGGTAACCAAGAATAAGGTAGTTCTTCAACCCTCGCGTTCAAATTGGCGAGGAAATAGGACCAAGAGGGTTATGGAGTATTCAAAGCACGGCTTGTTAAAGACCAGCTGTTGGCTACCCGCGGCATCGAGTGTTGTGCTTCATCTGGTCGATGACTGGTGGTGCACGGTGGGTGTAATGAATTTGTGAACATGGTGGTTCTCTATTCGATGAGAACGTCGTCTCGAATGAATTGCGCGATCTGGTATGCGCAGTGCAAAACGGCATGAGAGCGTCTGAGTATTGTCGGAGAGAATCGTGAAAGAAAGAACGTGAGAGAAGCATCAACTTGATCCTAGACATCAAAGGGTCGCAGTGAATGTTTCAGTCATCGTACATATCCGAAGCGTCTGCAACCATCGCTTGCATTGCCAATGGTACGCGTTCCGCGACGCTTTTCAAATAGTCTGCTTTTCAGGTCGTGAGCTAACCATGCAGCCTTGCCATGAAGGCAGTGCCTTAGTTCAGCATCTCTAGGCCGCTCCCAGGTTCGAAGAACGGCAACGGGTTCGTTCTGCTGGTCCGGTTGCCCATGTGTCCAGCAGGGGTAATGCAAGCGTCATGGAGAGGCCAGGCTCGAGACAGCCTGTAGTATGCCATCTATTCCGAGCAGAGAAAGCCGACATTCTCCCAAGGGCCATTCTTTATACATAAATAAAAAAGGACCAATGATTCGGAGGTGTTCGAGTTGACAGCAGGGCCGATGGCGGGTCTGATTTGCCATGTAAAATCCAAACTGCTGAACGCTGAGCTCGGTCCTGATACACGGAATGCTGCACGCCTGCCCCGAAGGCGTACACGCTGTTCAGGTCTGTTCCGAAATGTTGTTCCTCACAGAGATTCCGGTCTATCTGCTGCTCGTCCATAATCACTTCTCTCGTAGCTCTCCACGCCCAACCACGGCGTTCTGTCATGTGATACTGGTATCGCCGAACACAGAAAACCCTCTATTTTTCAGTCATGCAAAAAGCTGCTTGTTGATTTCTGGAATCTTGAATTCGACTTGTCTCCAGCAGAATCCAAGCTGGACCCCTTCCGTCACGTGATGAACTTGCGGCCGCAGCCGCATCGCGTCCCAAAAATCTTCCGCCATTCGAGAAGGCGGAGATGCACCAATATGTACCAATATGAGGCGACTGCATCGTCAAAAGATTGGAATATTGCTCTCTTTTTCTCTAGGCGCTGCTCTCACACGACTGGAATCCGCTGTATTTCAAGGTGCGGCACCGTATTTGACAGAGACAGCAGGGGAAGGATACACTTCTTGTGCTTGGTACGCCGATAGACGATGCAGGGGGCTCAAGTCAAACACGCTGGTCGAATCGTCCGATTTCTCGTCTGAACTGTTGCCTGCCCATTGTACTAGCCTCAGCGTCGCCGTCGCGTGTATCTCTTGTAATGGCAGCCGTCGCATGCTCCGAGGCACGTGTCTGGTGGATGATCGTGTGAACGAAGAGAGTATCATATGGCATACTGGGCTTGACGGAGTCATCGAAGTCAACATTGAAGTCGGGACGGTCTGCACCGGGACTTTATGGAGTCTCGCAGATCGGCTTGCTTCGATCGCGGGTTTTTGGCAAAGTGCAAGGTGGTTGGTTCAATGCCGTGGATATTCATTGCCATAATCAGGCCATGTGAGTGATGGGACATGAAAAAGACGTACCGGAGAAGCGAAGAGAGACTGGCATGGAGGACTGCCCGCCTGAGATCGTGAGGTGTAGGTCACCCGACCTGTTTCGCTGAAAGAAGTCGAGGAAATTCGCTGGCGTTGAGCCGCTTGTCATAAAGCAATATATCACATGGTATCGGTGCTCATTGTCGGCTCACCACAGCCAATCGATGGAAGATCGAGTGGTGTCTCGAGGACACTCGGTCGGGAGTGGCCGCATGTCATCCTCAGTAACATAACCAGCCAGATCGATCGCGTCGCGCGGCAAGGCGGTAAGGGTGTGCAGAGGGCGACATGTCCCACAGACTTGGGAATTCCTACACCACTTGGCAAGTGGCTCCCCAAATCCGTCAGTATGCTTCGGGTGGTATAAGGCTATACTCACAATTCTTCATCTTCGACTCTGTTCACCCGTACACACCTCACAATGGCCAGCAGACTGCTGAGACAGCACAGATATCCCCCTTAGCTTGAGTCAGCCGGCGAACGCCCGATTACAATGAACCAACGGAATGTCATTGCGACAATATACAAAGGCCGGGTCTAGACGTGTCCAACCTGCACGATAAACGATAACCATGACCGATGATCAGAGGGAATGGTCTAGGGCCACTGGCACTTGGCAGACATACCTGATTACTCGACGATCAGCCCTCATGCGAGATAGCTGCAGCGGTGGCATTGCGTCAGTTAAAAGCCGTGGTAGAGCCCATCGGTAGTCTTGTTGTTGGCACGCTGCCAGGTTTCTGAGTCATGCCAGATATCGACGACGTGTGCGTAAGATTTAAAGAGAGTATCCGAAAAAAGGTCTCCCAACTCGTATCGGGGCAATCGAACGCTCGGAGGCACATTCTGCCAAATATTAGCTACTAGTTTTGAGAAGGGATAGCTAGCTCATATATCGTGGTTGTAATAATGGTCTCGATCGACACTGCCCGAGTACGATTGTGATACTCGTCACGCTCTTCTGTAGCGGTTCAATGCATATAGATTGGGTCGATCACAGTATCTGCCATATCAGCACAGTATCGAATGGATTCAGGATGTGAGTAGGCATACCTCCCGCTAAACAGCCTCACGTATTCCAGAATCAAGGGGCAAAAGGCTAATAGGGTTTGACATGGGATCAGTACACGTGGGCAACTCAGTAGAGATACTTGTTCGTATAGAAGACATGTTGGAGTCATTTTAGTCAGGCGAAAGCTTTCCCTTCTTGGCTAGCTGGCACGGATTAAAAGGAAGCAACGCCTTAACCGCCTAAGAGGACCAAGAGGAGCTGGATGTCTTGAACGATCATGATGTGTACTGTTCGCGTCAGTACTAAGAAGAGCTTGGAGCATCAAGGTAGAAGAACTTATCATAGGTTCGCTGTAGCATAGTATTCTCGGAGGACAGGAAGTCCTCTTTGTGATAAAGGCAGTGCTTGGTCTGACAGTAGACTAGGGCAGTAGGCGGTATTTATAGACTTATTGGCTTACCTTGTCGCCCAGCTGCCTTATATTGCAGCAGTTTGGCTGTGTCTGTCTGTGCAAATGTTAAGACGTACTGGCGAGGATATCTGCCTAAAATGAGGCCTATTAGACCTCTGCCTTAATTCCTTTCATGTTGAGTAATAATCAAATGTAGGCTGGGAGTTAACGAGACACACTTTCTGCAGCTATACTAGGATAGTATGTCAAGTTTGTGGGGAATTCTTATTAAGTTGAAGGAATGTTAATTGACAGAGACGATTTATGTAGGCATATCGAGCCTCAGCGAATACTACTGTTACTAAGAGTGCCTAACCTTTTACATTTCCTCGATTTCACAAAGTGATTCGTTCATGACTAGCGTTGACTTAACGACCGCAGCTTTAAACGTTAAGACACGAACTGCAGCGTGACCACCGTCATTATTGGTAGGCTCCGTTGGCTGCCACTATCATCATTTTACTGATAGCATTGACAGTAGACCAGAGTCTAAGTAAGTTTAGATGCTAAGTTAAGGCTAGGATCTGGTCTACGCGCCTTTACTTGCGCGATATACGCTGGCTACCTAGCTCGGATCCGCTGAAGACCTCCTTAAAGTGTGACTGTACAGTGCTATATTGACTATAGATATTGTGGAATTTTAAACAATATATCCTTCCCCTACTCAGCTTATTCCTATCTTTCAATAGTAGATCCCCTTGCCGAATTTCGTGGTCTTTATTATATCTAAACTAGTAACTTGATGGGGTATAACTGTAGAGATATATTTAGATGCAAGTCGGCGAGACACTTAAGCTTACGCGGGCAGACTGAATCCAAGGAATACCGGCAATCCTAATAGCATTGAAGATAAATATATGCAATGATTTCAGATATCTTAGATTTATTACAACTAACATTCGAATGATAATAGAGTAGTGTTTTCTTTAAGAGGAACATACTATTTGGTACGAATTTTCGTCTAGTATTAGTCTACAGAAGTCAAGTCCATGCGACCGCGTAGATCACAATATATAGCCATATTCAAGACTTGTATAATGGCCAATCTTATTCAATTGCAACTGAACAGCTAGTAAATTCGATCTTATTTGGTCAGTCCGCGGAGATCTCAGGCAACAGACCAACTCCGTCACGTGAATCCCAACCAGGCGCATCATCGACGCGACCGAGCGTCTCAGTTCAGAACATACAAGCAATTGCTAGCCTCTCCGCGCGATTTCTCGAGCCATCTACAGAGGATACCTCTTGCAGAACGCTCATTTGCAGGAGAAAATTCCAACTGCCTTGGGTTGTCAACCAATCCAGCAACTTCGCTTTATTTACGTCAATGGCCTACTCTGCTTGACCCGCCTAATTCACCCTATTACCTCCTTCTCCGTCCTCGAAGCAGCGCCCCTCGCCGAAATTGATTCTGATGGCCAAGCCCGCGACCGAAATGTCCCTCAAAGAACCGTTATCGGCGTCGCCAACCCGAACCATTGCAGACCCCATCGTGCCTACACAACGAGCGTTTGGGCCCATCCTAGCAGTCGCACGAAAGCCAAGAACAGAATACCTACGCGACATGTTCCCAAACAAAGCGATCGAAGGACTGCTCGCGGCCCGTCCATTTTCGTTGCCACTGCCGACTGCTTGTGCACCCCTCGGCCAGCGGCCCCTGTCTGCATAGCCCGTGGCCAGCGCTGCCTATGAGTCTAGGCGGTAGATGTCAACAGCCACGAAAGAATGTGGCAGCCCTGGCCGCTACGCGGGGAACTGGACGGCTAGCTTGAGGATGTCGCGCACGGGATGGATTTTCGATTGCAAAATCCGACCCGAGTACGGCATCGCGGGAGAAATCCCTGCACCGTTACGCTAAGCCCTCGGGCGTATTCGCTTTCTTCCAGGGTCTACCGAATCATGCTTCTATTCGAAAAATCCTGGAGTTGGACACGTACGCATTAGAAAACATCATAGCACATCTTCTCGAGACGGCGCTTTGATGCAAGAAACAGGTCAACAGATACAGGCGAACGTTCATACCTGTGCCGATCGCGGTACCTTGTACACCATAGGGCACATGTACTGGTAGAGGCTACTCCTGAAGCTACGATATCTGCTCCTATCTACGGCGTACTCGGTATCAGGATCCCCTAGGGTGGTCCTAGGAGCTGCCGCGCTCCTAGAGCCTTCGTTCTAGATCCCAGGGCCTCGTTCGAGATCCCAAGGCCAGCTTTTTGCTTCCTGGGGTCGAACTGGGTTACCTCTGGGTCCGGCACACCTTGGATTCACGTGTAGGCTTCTGGCTCCAGCAGATGATTTGTTGCGGGAAGACTGGTCCCCGGACCTCAATTTAAGTTCCTGTCAAAGACACAACAGGAGCTAGGATTACATTCACCGGCCCCGGGAGCTGACTCGCTCCTGGGGCCTTTGATCAATATCCTGGAGCCCTTGACCTATCTCCTGGGGCTCTTGGCCTAGCTCCCGAGGCTTTTAACCATTATCCCAGAGCCCAGCCCTCGACAGCCCCAACGGCTGTTTGCAAGGATGCTATCACAGGTACACTCCCATCGAGTCCTCGATAATCGTATAACCCAGAGGTATGACCACTTCCTCCCAAATCCGACATTGATTTGATTCTGCGAAGACATCTGACCATGGATACTGCTATAGCCTACTTGCCCTCAGAAATAGGGACCATCCTTAGGGAAAACATCGCAGTCATCGAGATCGTATCCATGTTCTCGATCGGCGCCTACAATGCACTCGAAACGGTGTTCATCACGTTCGACACTGTTAAAAACTACCGCAGTCTGTATTTCTAGAGTATGCAGGTCGTATCGTAGGGCATTCTTGTGTATACTCTTCCTGCTATAGCTTGCTTCTTATCTCACGTTCCCAGTCTACCGATATCTATCCCTTTCTTGATTGGATGGTACGCCATAGTCACAGGCCAATCTATTATGCTCTACTCGCGCTTGTACCTCGTGGTACTGGATGTTAGTAAGGTGCGATGGGTGCTGTGGATGATCATCGTTAACGTGTGTATCCTGTATGTCCCGATAATAGTTCTTTTCCTCGGCCTCAATCACGGTAATATACGTTTCGCTCGCCCTGCTTAGATCTACAACTGGATCCAATTAGCAGGCTTCTGTATACAGGACCTCGTTATATGCGGCTTTTATATCTATAAGGCGATCCGCGCTCTCAAGTGCATTATCCGAATTCGCGGTTGGAATGGCTGCAAAGTTATCATCTACCTTCTTTAGGTCAATGTTCTCGTTGTTGCCCTCAATATTCTACTACTCCTCACGGAGTACAAGCTGCACGATATCCAAGTCAGCTTCAAGACGGTGGTCTATAGCATCAAGTTGAAACTGGAGTTCTCTATGCTCAACTGTCTCCGCTGACTGATGAGCCAGTATCGTTTGCCTTGTACCGCATGGTATAGAGACGCCACATTGTGTAGCTGGCGTGGTTTCATCTTCCATTCTATGGAGATCAGTCTAGAAAAAGAGAGCATACAATGAATTAGCTCGTCTCTAACCGCCTCATCTGTCGTTACACGCGCAGTTTGGGGGGACCTCCCTTTAAAGCATGGTTGCAAGCGAAGCTCAATCATCTGGCGCTGGCGGTCGGTAGGTGGACTGCTTTCAACGCATTATCGTAGGCTGCAGATGCCGTCTCACAGCCAGTCAATGCGACCGCACCCAAACGGGCCAAAAATAACACCGGACGCGTCCCGTACGAGGAATCAGTCAAGTTTTACTTTTCCCATCCCTTTCACATCCTTGCTCGCAGTTCTCTTTGTTTGCTAGACAGAATCAGCCAGAAGACCCACTTGCGGGTAACACTCCGCCATCCGATTGGCAGATCTTCCAGCAAAGTCGGCTTTAGATGGTTACACCCTAGAGCCCTGCATCACGCCGAGCTGATTCTACGCAACGTGACAGAAATTGTGAGGAAATGGGTTGCTTTGACCCGCTTATCTGCATATCATGTGGAGATAGTCTTCCAGTTCGAGGTGACCAAAAAGACAAAATACAAGGTGACTAGTATCTCCCGAAGAACTCGGCGTCAATAGTTTTTCAGTTCAGAATCCTAAGGAGGCCTGGCGAACCCTTAGGATGCTCCAATATTTCTTTGGCATCCATGACTTCCAAGTGGAAAGGTTCGGGATGATCCATGTCCTCGTAAATCAAATGACGAACAATCTTGTCGGCAGCAGTGCTAAATTGTCGAACCAGGTCACCCTGCGACTCCTCCAGTATGTCGAGAAAGAGATTGAAGTCGGGTTCATTGGGGGCGAGGATCCTAGGAACCTTTAAAAACCCTGTCAAGCGTAATGGTAACTCTGAATTTCACTTACATATGATCGGATATTGGCTTTTCAAAATCCCCGGAGACTTTGCATGGTTGCATAAAAGCTAGGCTGCTGTTGCCGAACCTCTCTGCGAACATATGAAGCCGTCTTCCAAGTACTCGAAGACGAGACATAGATCGTCTTTTTGACTCGTAATCTTTACATCCGGGCTGAAGGCTTGGGAAGACTTCTTTCATCATCCTTTCAGTCACATGAGCCTCATCATTATGGCCAGGGTTGCCTGTTTTGCCACCAGCCTGAAAGATTTCCCTTCCAGTGCAAATGATCATTCTTGTTGCTCGCCGGCTATCAGAGCCACCGCAATTCCGAAACAATTCCATCACATGATACCTCTTGAGGAGGGCGCAGTACATTTCCCGAACCTCCAAGTCTCCGATAATTGCTATTCTTTCGGTCCGTGTCGCATGGCGTGTAATTCTCCAATTTTGAATCTGAGGCCAAGATCTTGAGCACTCCAATGCTTCTTTCAGGCCGACGATAGAGCTAGAGCTGGCTATCTGAGCTAAAATAGTGCAAGAAGCGTCTGAAAACTTGCAATTTAGCTCCAGCATACGATTTTGAATGTGAGGGCTGAAGAATGTTTCTCTTGGAGGGGGAAGCCCCTGAGCTTTACACTTCTCAGTGTCCCTCAAGATTGATGCCTGACAAAAGTCAATAATCTCTTGGCGCTTGCTGTTTGGCTGTTCAACAGGCTCCAGGGTGTCAAGTGTTCTCTTCTCACGAGTCGATGAGACGTTTGCATTTTCATGCTCCGTGGGACTGTCTAGTACTTCTTCTGTAGGAGTCTGGACTGAAAAGATCGGGTGACTCTTGCTCAGGGTAGGAAGAGCTGCAAAAAATGGAAACCCAGGCGACCCAATAGAGTTCGGGAAAGCATCATCAAAGTCGATCATTGCAGGTGATAAGCTTTGTGTGGTTGGTTGGGGCAAGGAAATTGACCTGAACTGGCTCAATAGATTGCTATGATCGACATTCGATTTACCTATGCTCAAGAATCTGGGTAGTCAGCCGCTGTTTATCTCAATCCAGTGCTCTACGGCTAAGTACCCCAGGCATAGCATTCCCTCCCGAGTGACATCAGGGTCCCGGGATTCAAGGTGTAAAACACCTATAAGAGCGCTTACAGCTTGAGCAAGAACGCTGGTTGCTTGGCTCCCTGCCGAGGGGCTGTACTTGATGTATTGGTCAATGCCTTGGTGTTTGGCTACCAGTGCTCGATAATCCGCTGTTGCCAAAGTGGATTGAATGCGCGTTATCTTGGCTTATTGACATTAATGGCTTATCTTTCAAGTTCGATGAGATAATACCTCTGCTCATCATTGTTCTGTATCCCATCTCGATAACTTGGTATTCGATAAGGGAGGTCCCCATTTGGGCAAGCCTCTTGTTTCCATCTAAGTTATTGTTATCGGCTCCAGCAGCCGTGAGAGCTTCTAAGATACCAGGTCCAGATAGTCCTTCATAACCAAGGGCATCTCGAATTTTTTGGATTTCGGGTTGAGCGAGCATTTGGACGAATCGAAGATACAGTAAAGTCGAAAGTTAGAGGACTTGTGAAGGAAGTTGAGGTAAAGAGAAAGTTTAAATACGATTGAAAGCTTTTAGATTGAGCTGCCTAGCAGATTGCAGTCTAGGTTTGAAGTTTCTGAGAAAGTTGGCCGATGATTGGTCTTATTTATGCACCAGACACGTTGCTGGTCTTTATTGATCATAACAATGGCGGTGAAGAGAACACACATATGACCAGTCACAATATGATCGTATTCTGTGGTGTGGTGCAAGGCTGGCAACTCCTGGACTCCATGTCTTCTCAGTCCCATTACTGTCTGGTTGTAGTGGCGCCTGAAACAGAAGTAGTCGCCCAAATTTCGCCGAAATGGGTATTATCAACTACTTAGTGTTGTAACATCTGAATCAGGAAAAGAATTTGTTCAGGTCTCTATTCTTGGAAATTTCTTGTTAGCTCATCCTTGACTGACTGCGTAATCAACACCGGATTTCTTGGCCTAGAATCCCGGAGATATACATCACGTGCGCACCCGTCGATTTTAAATGTGACGAGCCCTCGATTGTAAAGTCAAAGATGTGAGTTCAAAAGGCGTCCTGACAGCCTTATAAAAGTCCTGCGAATGCCCACTAAAACCTGCCCATAAAGATCTTCCTTTATTTTCAAAGTTTTCCCGAACATGTCTGAAGGCTCTGTGTGCAAAATCTGCCCAAATGGTGCGTATTCTTGCTTCCCTCAACCTTAGAAGAATTGCTTAACTCTTTAAGAATGTGAATTGGCATACCACCTTAGTCTCTTGAAACTTGACAGCGACATAGAGCAACTTGAAGAAGCCTCGCTTGCACCAGTATTTACGAGCCACGTGTTCAGTCGTCGTTGCCGCGACCCATCTGTGTCGAAGCCCACTGGAGTGGTTTCACAGTATGGACTGTTGGCCGGAATCATCAAATCCAACGGCTTGGATTCTATGGCTCTCGAAGATAAAAGGACTTGGGAAAAGGACCCTAGACTGTTTTTTAACGTTTCCTCTCCTTCCAGTACTTTCATATGTGGCTCTCAAGGCTCAGGGAAAAGTCATACCTTGTCATGTATTCTGGAAGGCTCTATAATTCCTTCAAAAGCAGGGAGACTTTCAAACCCTCTTACAGCCGTTGTCTTCCACTATGACACCTTCATCTGTGATAATGGAGGCTCTCCTTGTGAAGCAGCCTTTCTCGCTTCAAACCCTGATATCAAAGTCAGAGTTCTATGTGCTCCCACAAATCTTCGAACCATACAGGTAATGCGCCGTTTCTTCATTGTTTCGAGGTTTTGCTTACTTTATCAGGGTACATACTCAAGGTTCAACATTAAAGTCGAAGCATTACAGATAGACCAAGCCGATCTCAACACCAGACGTATGCTGGATCTGATGGCTGTTGGTCAAGACAATGGTCCACTTCCGCTATACATGCACACTGTTCAGCGGATTCTTCGAGAAATGCGAGTCGAACAGCAAAGTCTTGGAACAGGCTTTGATTATGCTGAGTTCAAGGGCAGAATACTTGATTCTGGACTCACTCCAGGCCAACTTGAGCCATTAAAGCAACGTCTCGATACTTTAGAGAGCTTCATGCCCCCACAGCAAGCATTTTCAAGAACTGGAAAAAATATCAAAGCGAAAAGATGGGGCTCTGCCTGGACGCCACAGGTAAGTCACTCCTCTATATTTCTAGTTCATGGTCGACTAAGAATTTCAGCCGAGTCAATTGACTATAGTTGACCTTTCCTGTCCGTGCATTTCTTCCGATACGGCATGCTCTCTTTTCAACATATGTTTTGGAATCTTTTTAGAACAGACCACACATGTCGGTCGTATAGTGGCGCTTGATGAGGCTCACAAAGTTAGTTCGTTCTACGCTCGCTATAGCTTCTTGCTGAACATTGATAGTACATGGACAATTCTGTTGAAGCACGCTCTTTTACTGAAACTCTTCTCTCTACCGTGAGACTGCAGCGACACCTCGGAATACGCATTGTGATTTCAACACAAGAGCCGACGATATCGACAGCTCTCCTTGGTCTCTGCTCTGTCACCATTGTTCATCGTTTTTCATCACCGGAGTGGCTCCATACATTGAAAAAACATATAGCGGGCGTCTCCATAGGTGAAGGGATCTTCAGAGAATCCAGTGGACACAAAGAGGGGCAAGGTATGTATGAGGAATCATTGTTTGAGAAAATAGTCCGACTTCAAGTAGGCGAGGCTTTGCTTTTCTCTCCTAGTGCTGTGATCGGAAATCCTACAGGGAGCGAGATAGATAGTATTGTCAAAAAATTGGGACCTGGATATCTGGAAGTGAAAATCCGAAGTCGACTGACCGAGGATGGTGGAAGAAGCGTTATTTCTTCTTGAAGTCTGATATGCTGCTACTTGGATGATTTGACTAGGTGTGCTAGTTGCTAGTGACTCAAATGCTCAAATTGAAAAAGAAAATGTGGAAAAGGACGGGTTAAGAGACGGAGATACAGTTCAATCACTACAAACGGTGTCTGACCACATCGTGGCCTGCAACACCAGAGGGCAAATTGGCCATAACAATATCCATGATCACGTATGTCTTCATGGGATTTAAAAACGGGGAAGCTTTTGGGGAGTTAAAGGGCTATGCATATGGGTTTGTAAGTTACTCGTGAAGCCTGCATGGGAGTATCCGAAATTGCATCGCTGTTGAGCTGGCTCCAGAATTAGGCCAAGAGCCCCAGGGCCAAGTCAGCTCCCGGGGCCGGTGAATGCATTCCCAGCTCCGGTTGTGTCGTTGACAGGAATTTAATCCGGGGACCAGTCTTCCCGTGATCTGCTGGGGCCAGAAGCCTACACGTGGATCCAAGGTGTACCGGACCCAGAGGTATCCCAGTTGGATCCCCGGAACCAAAACCCTGACCCTGGGATCTCGAACGAGGGCCTGGGATCTTGAACGAAGGCTCTAGGAGCGCGGCAGCTCCTAGGACCAGCCCAGGCGATCCCGACACCGAGTACACCGTAGATAGGAGTAAAAGTCGCAGCTCTAGGAGTAGCCTCCACCAGTACATGTGCCATATGGTTTTACAAGGTACCGCGATCGGCATAGGTAATATCCTCAAGCTAGCCGTCCAGTTCCCCGCGTATCGGTCAGGGCTGCCACATTCCATCGTGGCTGTCGACGTTTACCGCCAGAACTCATAGGCAGCGCTGGCCACGCGCTATGCAGACAGGGTTGCTGGCCGAGGGGAGCATCCTTCGTGCACAAGCACTTGGCAGCGGCAACGAAAATGGACCGGCGGCGAGCAGTCATTCGATCGTGTTTTGGGACATGTCGCTTAGGTGTTCAGTCTTGGCTTTCGTGCGACTGCTAAGTCGGGTCGAAACGCCCGTTGTGTCGAGATTGCGGCACACCGGCGTCTCAAACAGCAGGGCTAGGTAGCAAGGCTAGGCACAATGGGATCTGTAGTGATGCCAATAAAGCGAAGTTGCGGAATTCGTTGACGACCCAATGCAAATGGGATTTTCTCAGGCATATTAGGATTCTACATGAGATATCCTTCGTAGATGGCTCTAGAATCGTGTGGAGAGGCTAGCAATTGCTTGTATGCTCTGAATTGAGACGCTCGGTCGGGTCGATGACGCGCCTGGTCGGGATTCAGGTGACGAGTTTGTACCGTTGTCTGAGGTCTCCGCGGACTGACCAAATGAGATGGATGGTATTAGGTATTCGGTTGCAATTGGATATGAGGGGCATTATTGTAGCCTTGAGTATAGCTATACGTCGTGATCTACGCAGTCGCAAGAGCTCGACTTCCGTGGAACGGTACTAGACGAAACTCTCATACAAACAGCCTGTTATTTTCAAGAAAACACCACTTTATCATCATTCGAGTGTCAATCGTAATAAATCCAGATACCTGAAGTCGTTACACATATTTGTCTTTAATGCTGTTGGGATTGCCGGCGTTCATTGGATTCTGTCTGCCCGTGTAAGCTTGAGTGTCTCTTCGCCTACTTGCTTCGATATATATCTTTGCAATAGTACCCCTTAAACTACTATCTGGACACAACAAAGACCACGAGATTCGACAAGAGGATCTACTGTCGAATATAGGAATAAGCTGAGCAGGGTCAAGATATACAGTAGTGTTCGAAATTCCACAATATCTATAGTCAATATAGCACTGTACGGTCACGCTTAAAGGAGGTCTTCAGCGATCCGAGCTAGGTAGCCGGCGCGCAACCGTGACTCGCGCAAGTGGAGGCGCGTGGACCAGACCCTAGCCTCAACTCAGCATCTGAACTGGCTTGGACTCTGGTCCACCGTCTATACCGACAGTAAAATGATGATGGGGGCAGCCAACGGAGCCTGCCAACAATGACAGTAGTCACGCTACAGTTCGTGTCTCACCGTTGAAAGCTGCGGTTGTTGAGTCAACGCGGGACCGTGAACTGAACTGATTACACCGTGAAAACGTGAAAACCTGAATGTGTAACGAAGAGCACTCCTGGTGACAGAATAGTATTTGCTGAGGTCCGATATGCCTACTCGAATTCCCTACGTCAATCAACGTTCCTTCAACGACAATTCCCCGTGAACTTGACACACTATTCTCATACGGCGGTAGAAGTGTGATTCGTTGACTCCCAGTCTGCAGTTGATTTTTGCTCAACATGAAAGTAGTTGGGGCAGAGGGTCCAACATGCCTCACATTGGGCAGAACTCCTTACTAAGACGGACACGGCTGAGCTGGTGCAAAATGAGGCAGCTGGGCGACGAGGTAAGCCGACAGGTCTATAAATACCGCCTGCTGCCCCAGTCTTCTATCGGACCAAACGCTACCTGGCTTTGTCACACCGAGGAAAGTCCTCAGTACACGGAGTCATCCAACGCTCTCTTACAGCAAACCATGATAAGTCTTCCAGCTTTGGTTCCTCCGTGCTCCTCTCGGTACTGACGCGACCAGAACACATCACGATCATTCAAGGCATCCAGATCCTATTAGGCGATAGATGCGTGGGCTTTCAGTCACTATGGGCCAGCTAATCAATAAGGCAAAACTTTTGCCTGGCCTAAATGACTCCAACATGTCTTCCGTACGGACAAGCACCTCTACTCAGCTGCCCACCTGCGCTGACCTAACGTCAACCTCTACTAGCTTCTTGCCCCTCAATTTCGGAATGCGAGTGACTAGTCATGCGGGAGGTATGTCTAATCTTAGCCTGGATTCATTCATTACTGTGCTGACATGACAAATACTGCGATCAACCTGATCTATATGCATCGAACCGCTACAGATAGGCGCAACGAGCATCACAATCGTACACGGCCATCGTCGATCGAGACCATTTATTACAACCACGACATGTGAGCCATCTGTCCCTTCTCGGAAGTAGTAGCTGATATCTGGCAGAACGTGCCTCCGAGCGGGTCCCCGAGCGTTCGATTGCCCCCGATACGAGTTGGGAAACCTTCCTTTGGATACTCTCTTCAAATCTACGCACACGTCGCTGATGTCTCACACTAGTCGGAAATCCTGGCAAATCGCCAACAATAAGTCTACCGATGGGCTTTCAACTGACGCCATGCCACCGTTGCAGCTATCTCGCACGGAGGGCATTCGTCAGCAATAAGGTATGTCTGCTAACTGCCATTAGTCCAGGACCATTCCCTTTGATCGTCGGCCACACTTGCCGTGCAGGATAGGAAATTTAGAACGGCCTTACATAATGTTACAATGACGAGCTTCCGTTGGTCCATCGTGATCGGGCGTCGCCGGCCGTATCAAGCTAAGGGCGACATCTGTGTTGTCTCAGCAGTCTGACCACCGTGAGGTGCATGCGGAGGGATCAACAGAAGCGGAGATGATGAATTGTGACTACAGGCCCATACTATCCGAAGCATACTGACGTATTTAAGGAGCCGCTTGTCAGGTGGTCTAGGACTTGCCAAGTTGCGGGACCTAGTGCGCCGTCGGACATATACGAAGCAGCACGCGTCTTGCACAGCGTCATCGCCTTTACCGCGCGACGCGACCGATCTCTGGCCTAGCCAGCCAGCTATATTATAGGTCGAAGATCCTACAACCAGTATTCAGTGAGCACGCTATGCTCAAGGTCCGGCATCTCTTATTCGTTTCCCGCCGGATAAACAACATGTTTGTGAGTAGAGTCCCGTCGGAGGCGAGTTCTCTCTCAGAATAACATGCGGCCGATCCCGACCGAGACGTCCTCGAGACACCACTCGATTTTCCATCAATTAGTCGTGGTGAGCCGACAATTAGCACAGACACCATGTGATATATGACCCTACGACAAGCAGCTCGACGTCAGCGAATTTTCCCGAATGCTTTCAGCGAAATGAGGTCGAGTGACGTCCTTGCACGGATGCACCTCCTTGCACTTTGCCATAGATTCGCGATCGAAGCCAGCCGATCTGCGAGACTCCATCATATCCCAGTGCAGACCATCCCGACTTCAACGATGACTTCGATGACTACATCAAGTGACACGTGCCTCGGAGCATGCGACGGCTGTCGTTACAAGAGATATACGCGACGGGGTCAAGAGGTCGGAGGCTGGTACAACGGCAGGCAAGAGTTCGGATGAGAAATTGGACTATGTTCGATCGCTCGAGATTCCGTGAGGCTTCTTAAGTTCCAAGAGAAAAAAAGCGTTGCCTCGGAGGGTCTAAGTTCGACGTATGCATCCCCGCGCCGACTATCGGTACCAAGCACGAGTAGTGTGGCCTCCGATAGGACAATTTTGGCCAACTGAGGTGCCGAGGACCTTCAGATCCCGAGGAAGAAGGAGATACACATGTGCCTGACGAGATCTGGCATTCGTCTGAGTCACCTGGGCACGATGGCCAAGATACTATGTTTTTTTCTCCCCTGCTACTGCAAGCAAAACTCGTACCGTCTCTTGTAATATCGAGCGGATTCTAGTCGTGCGAGAGCGGCGCCAAGGGGACAAGAGCCCAGCATTTTAATCTTTCGGTGATGCTGCCGCCTTATATTTGTGCATCTTGGCAGTCTTGGATTGTGGAAGAATTTGGGAAAGTCCATCACGTGACGAAAGTGGTCCGGCTTGGATTCTGCTGAAGACAAAGTCGAATTCAAGACTCCAAAGATTAACATGCAGTTTTTTGCATGATTGAAGTATAGAGGAGTTTTTGTTTTCGACAATACCAGTATCACATGACGGAACGCTGTGGTTGAGCGTGGAGAGCTACGAGAGAAGTGATTCTGGACGAGGAGTAGATAGACCGGAATCTCTGGGAGGGACAGCAATTCAGAATAGAGATGAACAGCGTCTATGCCCTGCGGGTAGGTGTGCAGCATTTCGTGCATTATGACCGGCTCAGCGTTCGGCAGTTTGTATTTGCCATGGCAGATCAGACCGTACCGTCAACTCCGACAACATCGGTATCATTATTTTTTTTTGTTTGTGTATAAAGAATGGCCCTTGGGAAAATGCCGGCTTCCTTTGCTCGATATAGATGACATACTACTCCATGTCTCACATCGCTTCGTGCTGCAGCCTGAAGGGCTGTCTTGAACCTGGCCTTTCCAAGGCGCTTGCATTACCCCTGCTGGGGACGTGGACGGCCGGTCCAGCTGAGCGAACCCATTGCCGTTCTTTGAACCTGCAAGAAGCCCGGAGATGATGGGCTAAGGCATTGCCTTGATGTCAAGACTGCATGGTTAGCTCACGACATGAAAATCAGACTGTTTGAAAAGCGTCGGGGAACGCGTACCATTGACAATGCAAACGATGACTGCAGACTCTTCGGAAATGTACGAGGACTGAAACTCTCTCTGCGACCCTTTGATGCCCAGGATCAAGGCCGTTTCATCCACGGTCCTTCCACGGTTCTCCGCAGGATGCTCTACCAGAAATAGAGCTGGGCGTTTGGAATGATACTCAGACGCTCTCTTCCCGTTTTGCACTGCGCATAACAGATCGCCCAAACCATTCGAGACCACGTTCTCCTCGAATATAGAGCCACCGTGTCTACAACTCCATCACACCGGCCGCACACCACACCAGTGAGCGACCAGATGAGGCGCAACACTCGATACCGCGGGTAGCCAACACCTCTTTTGTTCAATCATGCAAAAACTGCGTGTTGACTCCGGACTCAGATCTGGCTAGGAAAAGTCTGTCTTCAACAAGCTGTGCTTTGAATACTTTATATCCCTCTCGAACCTATTATAATTCGGAGTTCCTTATGATCCATACTCTGTCTCTGGAGAACGATGAAACGCGCGACCGAAAGTCAAGTCAGCCGTCGCAGGTTAAGTGCAGCCTGTCGCAACTAGACCCTCAATTAAAGATGGAACGTATCGGTTGCAGAAGCGCTGCGATTAGAAGTATATACTTGATTTACTTTTAGACAACTCCTCTGCCGCGGACTGTTCCTTTCCTGCTTGATGACCATGAGCTCCCAAGTCGGTATGCTCTGCACTTCCGCCCGGTGGTTGCCCGTTGTAAGCTGACGCTCCCTGAGATTCCCCATTCGCAGGGCTCCGAGCTTTGCTGTTATTCTGAAACGTCATAAACTGATCCATCCGGCCCCAAGATTCCCCAAATGGCTCAATCGGGTGACTTGTGATCGTGAATTGGTCAGATACTCCGGACATCCAATTTTCTATGCCGGTCCAATCTTGTAAAGGATATTGGGCCCACTCCTCCATACTCCCTGATTTTGGCTTTTGCACATCTGCTTTTGCGGAAGCTTGAACAATTGCAGTTGGTCTCATAGCAGAAAGTGTTATTAACGCGCCGTACAAAGCTGACTCGGTTTCAGCTAGCCTTTGTTCAAGTTGATTGAGATATCCGAGAGGTAAGCCCCTGTAGTCGTCCCTTAGCTTTTGCCTTGGTGATCACCGTGAAGAGATGTACCTTTTGCCACTTTCGGGATATACACATCTCGATGGCTCATTTGAGCACTGTGAACAGCAAGGACTATAGAATACCCCAATGAGGGTTCAAATTAGATATTCAATTCGATTGCGGTCATGATTATTGTATTGCGCATACAGTTTGCGGTCACACTATATTCGGTCAGTGCTTGCAACCTTGGAAGTCTGGATAAAGTCAAGTAACTTGAACCGACCTTGCATTTTCGCTGTCTGCATGTCTCACAAGAGATCGGACTTAGATTGTTATTTGCTGCAGCCATAATCACATCAGCCAATTATGTTCTCCATTCTTACGCATTGTTGTCACTACCTGGCATCTTGGCAGTGTTCCATCTGAGCACTAGTTTCTGAATACCAGGTCTGATATTTGAGTGAGTTCTCCAGGAAATAAACTTGGTTTTAGTACTCTGCATGTCAATTTGGACGGTGCCGATCTGCCCGAAGGCAAATTCCGTCCGGACAAAGAAACCTCCGAAGGACCGCCGGCACGTGCCTCAGCAAGATCTGCCAGTCTGCGCCACTACTATAGTAGGCGCATGCTGCCAAGTCGGATCCCAATCCTTATGCTCGTACGATGACTTTGATGGCGTCAAAGCGTCATTTCCGACTTTGGAATAGAATTCACCCCAGACAAATTAAATCAAGCCAATTTGAGTCCGGGGACACAATGTTTACATAATCAACCGTGGGGCCTCTAGGCCAACGAACTTGCGTCACGCAACATGGCATATTCGCCTTAGCATCGTCTGGAATATGTGAGAGTGAAGAAAATAATATGGCCTCCCCATCATCCCTCAGCACTCGCTTGGATGACGAGCCAGATTGGCAGTATGGCCATCGCGCCGCCAAGCGACACAAAGGAACGTCCACCGCGGGTGCGTCCAATTCCTCCCCTCGCGAGATTGGCTATATGAGAGAACCACAGAACGACGGCCCTGCCAGCTTTCTTGGTAGCTCTAGTGGGATCCACTTTGTGCGACATGTATACAATGCTTTTGCTCGCCGATCGGCAGATCTACAGCAGACTCGAGCTCGCGATAGGAGCGCGGTGCCGGGAGAGGACGATCGGTTGCAGCGAGACCCTGGACATAATGACACCAGTGAGCTGTGGACCGAGAAAGAAGTAACGTTTTCCCCCACGGCTTCCTTCTCCTTTCAAGATATCGTTCACTGGACCCGCCGTTACTTTGAAAACTGGCACCCGATTTTCCCTTGCCTTCATGCACCAACGGTTTTGAAGGCCATGGAGACGCTCGGCCACAATGGCTTGGAATCAATTGGCAGGCTGGATCTGATAGTCATCCGCTGCCTTGTTTCGGTATCCTTGGCGGATAATCGACAGGCTCAAACTCCCGAATCGAAAATGGGGCAAGTCCCTGCCTCTCTGGTATTCCAAACTGTGCACGATATCATGCAAGAGACACAAAGTTTGCTAGCAGAGCCAACCACGGTCCCACTGTTGCAAGCTGCATTTACCATTCAGCTTACTCTGACTTCCCTGTTACGCCTCAATGCTGCATCCCGAGTGGGTGGGATTATCACTCGAACTGCTTTCCATTTGGGTCTGCATCGATGCCCCGGTCGGTTTCCATGCTTTACCAGTGAGGAAGTTGACATCCGTCGGCGTCTATTCTGGTCAATCTACTCCCTTGAGCGATATTTGTCCCAAGCTCTTGGAGTCCCACTTAGTATTCGAGATGATGACATTGACGTTTGCTATCCTGGTGCTGAAAGGCATGCTGACCAATCCAGTCAATCTGATCTTAGCCGCCTCCAACTGCTATCTCACCTTGCCAAATATGCCAGAATAAGAGGATTGATTCTGGAACTACGCAACAAGTCTATATTGCATAGCCATGCTGGCGCAGTCGAAGCAGCACACGTTAATGGTGAATTGTCTCAGTGGTGGAATGAAGTTTATGATGACGTCAACCCCCTTGAGAGTAATTCTGACACCGGCACTGATCCAAATCCGATCCTCGCTCCGTATCACCGACTTTTGCTCATGGTCCTAAGACACGAAGCAATCATCTCTATGAACAGGCCTCTTCTTGCCGCTGAGAAACCCAATCCCGACTACAAGAACGCCCTGCAAACCTGCATTGGGTCTTCACGGTCCTTGCTAGCCGCTTTGAACAAATACATGTCCTCTTCGTCCGATGTTCCCTTGACATGGCCATCTCTCACCTGGACAACATGGATGGCATGTCTCATATTAATGTATGCGTCGTGGGAAGGCGAGCTTCCTGTACCCACAGCTTTGACGTATGCTAGAGTCGGTATTTCTGTGCTAGGAAACTTCGCGCTTAGAGGGAGCAGTTGGCCAGAGACATGCATTGAGGCGATCAGAAGCATGGAGTCGGCTTTTCCATCAAATATTGGTTTGCAGGATGTACCCTCCAGCTTATTTGCCAATGAGAGAAGACTTACCAAAAATCCAACCGGATCGCCGAGAAACTTCACACCGCGCCCCTCAATAGGTGGCAATGCAACACTCGTCCCGTTCGAAAACCGAGGGACAAATCCTCAGGTTCTCCCATCTTCAACGGGGGCTCGAAAATTCGAGACACCGACAAGTCATGCTACGCATGAGGAGCCGCCTGACTCGGCTGTCACCCAACCACTACAGGTTTACCATGGCCCCACAATCGACGCTTCCTCGTTCGACACATATTCAATAAGTGGTCCGACCTCAGCCGGTCTCATTTTCGGAGACATGGGCAGCACAAATGCCCATCTCTACCCAGGAAATATAGGCCAAGACTCTCAGCCTTTTTCAGACGCATACTTCTCAGTGAATGATCTCTGGAGTGTGGCAGATGGTCCGTGGATCATTGATGGCAATTTATTGTAACACCTATTTCACATATATCATTAACCGAGCTCCATTTTCCTAACATTACACTTTGAATCGCTATCACATCTATGAGACAGTATCTATCGCGATGATTCTCCTTTCATGATCCAAAACCACACGTAATTGCCCCTTTCCTTTCCCATCAGTAAATATACCCTGTCGCAGCTGATCCAGGTACAGCTCATACGCAGGCATATATCCCTTCACAAACCTCACAACCTCTGCATCGGTCATACCCTTTCCTTTCTGCTGCCGAAGAGCATGTTCTTGCTGCACCCGCCACTCATAGACATTGACCAGCTTATCTGTATCCAGATGGAGCAAGTAGTCAAAATGCCTCGGCCCCATAAACAGTTCACAGTATTGTTGAAGGCTTGCATTCACACCCAGGAGGTGCTCTATCGCATGCTCTTTTAAAGTGTTTGTAGGGTAGATGTTTTCACTCGCACTATTTTCTGATTCACTCCACCGCAACCGAACCTGTTCTTCGGCTAGGGACTGGAATCCAACACACCACCCTTCAAAAATCAAAATATCAATGTCGGATGTGTTGAGACGATCCCATTCATGCGATGGGACTCTTCCACCCTCTCCGTTAAATAAACTTTTGTCGAAAGACGGAATCGATATCACTTCCGAGTCTACCAGACTTCTGAAAAAGGACACCGATAAAGCCGTATCATGAGTTCCGGGCTGTCCGCGTGTTTGAAGGAGCTTATTCATCGGGTTACTTTCTCGAAGTTTGACTAGATCATTGTGATCAAGATATAGATCGTCCAAGGATAGATTGATCGTTTTGTATTTATGTTTGTTGTTGAGAGCGCTTGCGAGTGCGTCGGTCCAAGTGGATTTGCCACTACCTTGGAGGCCTGTTAAGGCGAGAACGAATGGGCGTTTGATTGGATCTGTTGATTGATTGGTGATGCTTTGCTTGATGTGTGGTATAATGTAACTCAAGATCGTGTCAATGTCTTCTGGGGAAATCTTTGAAGCACCCATTGTGAAAATGGACTTGTTGGAGGGATGCGAGAATTTGGCAGTATGAACGCAGGATGTGTTGTCATTGGAAACGCAGATACGGGAAGTTAGCATCTAGTTAATGTCTCCAAGCCGTATAAGTTAGCCTCGGTTCGTGACTGGATCCATGGATAAACGATGCGCCATATGCTTTGTTTCGTTCATCCGGACATGTCTTTCTCCAGGAGAGTGCCCGGAGATTAGGACACCCGCGCGGGTATCCACCTAACGAGAAAACCGCCCGGACTTGGAAAACCGCGTGAAAACCACTTGATGAGTCTCACTGACTGAGAGTAGTGGGCATCGGTGCCACCATATTTGTTCTCCATCAAGACCCAGGCATGGTTGTCACAGCTGGAAACAAAAAGCCTTGAATCCCCGTATGCAAAAAGTTCTTACCCCTCTACTGCACGACATCCCGATCACACTTCATCCCAGACTCCAATCATAATGTCGCCTTCTATTACTTCCGCAAAGACCTACAACATCGCCTCTATCCCGGCTGATGGCATCGGCCCAGAGGTTATCGAAGCCGGTATCACAGCTCTGAATGCTTTGACGGATACCCTCCGGACCTTCAAGCTGAACTTCAAGAACTACGATTGGAGCTCAGAGACATACAAGAAGACTGGAAAGTACATTCCCGATGGCGGACTTGAGGAGCTGAAGAAGCACGATGCTATCTTCTTCGGTGCTGTCGGAGCACCTGGTACATATAACACTCCAATTCAACAATTGATGTTCAAAATAACTAACATGGCCTAGACGTCCCCGACCATATCTCCCTGTGGGGTCTCCGCCTGGCTATTTGCCAGCCCCTTCAACAATACGCCAACGTCCGCCCCACTAGAGTCTTCCGCGGTACCGAATCGCCTCTCCGTAACTGCAAGGCCGGTGATCTCGACTGGGTGATTATCCGCGAGAACAGCGAAGGCGAATACGCTGGTCAAGGTGGCCGTTCTCACCAAGGCAAGACATGGGAGGTTGCCACCGAGGTCTCTATCTTCTCTCGTGTGGGTGTTGAGAGAATAATGCGCTTCGCCTTCGAGACCGCCCAGAAGCGTCCCCGTAAGCTTTTGACTATTGTCACGAAGAGCAATGCTCAGCGTAACGGCATGGTCCTCTGGGATGAGGTTGCCAAGCTGGTTGCTGCTGACTTCCCGGATGTCACTGTCGACAAGATGCTAGTTGATGCCATGACTACTCGTATGGTGTTGAAGCCCGAGACTCTGGATACCATTGTGGCTACCAACTTGGTAAGTACAGAAACACTCCTAAGCCCGCGGAAGTACCTTACTAATAAAACTTATAGCACGCCGATATTCTTTCCGATCTTGCTGCTTCTCTGGCTGGTTCTATCGGAATCGCCCCTACCTCTAACCTTGATCCCACTCGCCAGTACCCCAGCATGTTTGAGCCTATTCACGGCTCTGCTTTCGATATCACAGGCATGGGCATCTCTAACCCCGTGGCTACTTTCTGGACTGCTGCCGAAATGCTCGCCTGGTTGGGCGAGGAGGAGGCCTCGAAGAAGCTGCTTGTATGCGTTGAGAATGTCTGCGAGCAGGGAGTTCTCACTCGTGATTTGGGTGGAAAGGCTACAACTAAGGAGGTCACCGCGGCTGTTGTCGCTGAGATCAAGAAAATGGGTTCCAATTAGAGATTTAGAACGAGTACTCAAGGTATATACATGTATGATATTCATATTATTTATGTTACGCTATGACTCAGAGATGAAGTTCCAGGTCCTGAATGTAACAACGGTTTTCCAAATCTTAGTACAATTTTGTGACGTTTAATTCGTACGTTCAATGGGAATCCTGTCAGATTGAATTTAGCCTCAACGCAGGTTGGTGACATTACACTGGACTTTTACATCTCTCTCGTCCGATCCCCGGGTCATATCACTCCATCTTCTGGGAGCCCTTGGTATAACTTAGCTAAATAACTAATGACGCAAATCTACCGGACATTGTATCCTCCGCCGGACATGGATCGATCTCCACGCAGTTTTGCCTTCGGCAATTCAACCAGTCAAAATCAAGTATCTTAAGATGATCTCCTTAAGCCATTCCATTCCCCGTTTTGCGGGGATTTCTTGGTCCGGTTCCCCAGTTTTATGGGGTCCCCAGGTCGTCACCAAGCCTCCCCGGAGATTCAACGGCTTGGGAATGGTACGATTATAGAGAATCTTATAAAACTGAACCCCGGCCGCCATTTTTGGCCATCACTTTATTTACTCTTCATTCTCAACTTTCATGAGCTGGTCTCAAATCAAAACATGGCCCAGAAGTTCTTCGGCTTAACAGGAAAGGCCCTTCGCTTGGCCCAAATCGTCCTCGTCGTGGCCCCAGCATTTATTATTTTCGGATATAACCAAGCTGGCGCTGGTCCCCTAGCGACCCTGGAAAGCTTTGTTCGCGTGTTTCCCCAAATCGATACTGTCAACACAACAGGCGCTGTGGAAGCGAAGAATTCCACCGGCAAGGGTGCCGTCATTGCCTCTTTTCAAATTGGAGCACTGATAGGCGCCCTTTCTTGCACAGTCTTATCTGAACGTCTAGGCCGTCGAAAGACCATTTTCGTTGGCTCGATCCTCACTATCATTGGTCAAGTGCTTCAGGTCTCAGCTTACTCACTGATCCAATTTACCGTGGGTCGAATCATTCTTGGTATGGGAACTGGCCAATTTAGTGTCGCTGTCCCGGTCTGGCAGTCTGAATCTGCATCAGCCAAGAATCGTGGCCAGAATGTCATTATCGCGGGTGTATTCATGTGTCTCGGATACGCTCTTTGCAATTGGATCGACTTTGCGTTCACGAAGCTTCCTGACACGAACACTGGACAGTGGCGAGGACCTTTAGCCATATCTTTTTTCTTTTCCCTTGTCATCTTGGTATCCGTATTTTTTCTTCCCGAATCGCCTCGCTGGCTCGTTCGCGTCAACAGAGTGGAGGAAGCATCTGCAAATCTAGCAGCCTACAAGGGCCTTTCTCCCGATGATGAAAGCATTAAATCTGAGATCGCCGGCATCGAAATGTCCTTGGAAGCCACCTCCCAGTCAAAGGGGGCAATTAGAGAAATGTTCTCAAAAAACGACGAAGAACGTCTGCTCTATCGGTTCAGTCTTTGCATCGTCCTACAATTCTTCCAACAAATGTGTGGAGGCAACCTCATCTCCGTCTATGCATCTACAATTTTCAAGAGTAATCTACATATGAGCTCCAACCTTTCATCTATCCTAGCTGCCAGTGCTCTTACCTGGAAGTTTCTCTGCTGTTTCATTGCGTTCTTCGCTATCGACCGTCTCGGCCGCCGCACATTGTTCATTATCAGCGGAGCGGGCATGTCAGCTTGTATGGCCGGTTTGGCTATAACAACCAGCTTTGACTCGAACAACAAGCACGCGTCAGTTGCTTCAGCTTCTTTGATTTTCCTGTTCAACCTTTTCTATCCGATTGGCTTTTTGGGTGGCAATTTCTTGTACTGCACTGAAGTTGCACCAATGCGTCTGCGAGTCGCTATGGCGTCTATCTCTACTGCGAATCATTGGATGTGGAACTTCGTTGTGGTCATGGTTACTCCGGTGGCTCTTGATACTATTGGCTACCAGTACTATATCATGTATGCGATCTTGTCCGCCTGTATTCCTGTGGTGGTTTATCTCTTTTTCCCGGAGACTATGAATCGCAACTTGGAATTGCTGAACCATGTGTTCCAGGATGCTTCGTCTCCTTGGCAGATAGTTTCTATGGCGCGGAATTTGCCTCAAGGAGAGGTGACTGAGGCGGACTTGGTGGCTCATAATGACGGAAAGGACGACTGCTCTGTTGAGATGAAAGAACATGCTTGAGTTGGAGTTGTCGGGCGTTCATACACTGCAAAAACGTGAATATTGTCTGTTGCAAGCCATTGTTTGTTCGTTATTGAAATTAGATATTTTACTCTCTCAGTTCACATCCGTTGAACTTCCTATTAGGCGTTCAAACATGTAGGGTGGTAAAAGAGATTGTCGTTGCTTACAGCCCTAACATTCAGCCCAGCGACTCGGATGGATGTATTAAATAGGACAATTCGGCTGAATTTGCCGACAGAATAGTTTCACGACACCTGCAGTCTTCTGAATGCCCCTTTTCTAAGATAAAACCCAGACATAGTAAAACCTTTGGCATGCAGATCACGAGACCGGAATCTTGGCAGGCCGCGGCATAATAAAACCACGCCGACGCGGAGGAAGTCAAGGTCGGGAATAGTTTTTATCCGCAAATCACAGCGCATCAATATGTCATGGAGCCCCACAAACCTGATCCCGGACACGAAAAGTGGTCTCTGACCCAGTCTGACGCCGAGAACTAAACAAGAATCAATGAGTCGCCCAGATCTCCTGCAGAATCCTCCGATATTCGCTCCGTTTACACCGGAATCAACCAAGCCCCATCAGACCCAGTGGTACAGCTGAGAAGATAAGGCTTGTTCGAAACGTTCATAGGCGGAGGTGGCTTTGTCCGCGTTGCTCGGGAAGTGGTTGCCGCTGGATCCATAGCAGCCGGGTATCCGATGCGGTACAACCGAAAGGTCTTCGGTTGACGTTGGATCTTGGAATAGACGCTATCATTCATGAATCGTATTCCCTATGGCTGGCCGACGGTTTTGGGAGCCAAATCAGGAATTGTTCTGGGGCGGATATATTCGGGTAAGAGGGGGTCTCTTGACGATGGGTCTCAGGGTGGTCTGGACTATACTTATAGCTTCTGTTGTCCTGAGAAACTTTTAATGGTAGTAGAATAATTCTAAGCTAAATCTCTCAAAAGGCACATGTTAATCAGTTCTTTTGAATACGCTCCTCTTGTATAATCACATTGCCATGGCTCCTTCAACCAACGACGTGCCTGTCAGCCACACAATGCCGCCATCGGCTTGTAATGTTGGCATTAACGGCTTCGGTCGTATTGGTAAGGCGATCTAAGCAGCCTAACCACGCATGAGCTAATAAATAGTCCGAAACAGGTCGCAATGTACTCCGCGCTGCTCTCGTCCGGTCTGATATCCAGGTCGTTGCCATCAACCACACATGTGATTCTGTCGAGGACCTTATTTATCTCATCCGCTATGATTCGTCAATAGGCAACCTGGATGAGAGAGTCAATATCCAAGCTGTGTCGGATAACTTGATCACCATCGATGGAAAGCGAGTTGCTCTTACATCAGAGCGGGACTTGAAGAAGCTCAACTGGGCTTTCTTGGGAGTCGACTATGTCCTCGAGTGCACCGGAAAGTTCACAAAGCGCGACCTCGCCATGGACCACATTACCCACGGCAAAGCCAAGCGTGTGCTCATTTCTGCACCTAGCTCAGACGCACCTACATTTGTTTACAGTGTGAACTCCGATAAATATAGGCCCATTGAAGAGTGCCGTGTCATCTCTAATGCAAGCTGCACAACCAACTGCGTTACCCCCGTCTTGAAGGTCCTTCACGAGTCCTTCGGTATTACTCAGGGCTTTTTGACTACCGTGCACGCGGCTACCCGATCTCAGCAGGTTCTGGATGGGTACAGCAAGAAGAATGCTCGTCTAGGTAAGCGGTCTCTTTCCATGAGAAGGCAAGCAATTTCTAACCCTTCATAGGACGTGGTGTTTTCAATAATATTATTCCTACTACCACCGGCGCTGCCAAGGCCATCGCAACCGTGTTGCCCGAGCTGGAAGGAAATGTGACCGGTGTCTCGATCCGAGTCCCCACGTAAGTCAACATTTCTAGACTCAAACTTCCCAGCGCAAGCTAACATACCCAGACCCAACGTCTCGATGATCGATCTCACTTTCAGTACCGATAAGCCCACTTCTCTCCCGGAAATCATGGCCAAACTCCGCCTCGCTGCGAAGTCAGAGATGGTCGGCGTTCTTCGAGTTACGGACGAGCAGCTGGTCAGCAGTGACTACAACGGTAGCCCTTACAGTGCCATTGTTGATGCTTCCGCATGTGCAGAGCTGAATCCTCAGGTATGATCTAATTGAGGCTTCGAGAAGGGACAATATGCTAATCGGTCTACAGTTCTTCAAGATTATGGCGTGGTATGACAACGAGTGGGGATACTCGAACCGACTTCTCGATTTGACCACCTTGGTGCATGCCCAGGAGGCTAATTAGATCGCCGGAATGGTGTTTGGTGTTAGTGAAAAAGACATAATACCGTTTGGATGTTATTTTCAATGAAACAGGTCAATGAGAACGGTTTGGAATGCCTTATTGAAGTCTGTCGTTGTTCATGATACAGGACGAGAATGGAGCAACTTCATGGCTAGATCTCGGGATTGTACTCGTAGTCCGACGTTCCAAGGTTTTTCGGTGCTTTTTATACGATAATGTTAGGCATTTAGCGGCCACTCCAAAAAGTCAGCCTATGAAAGGGCGTCTGCTCCAGAATTGGGTACTTCCTTCAATGCAAGGCACCCGAGCTTATTCCTTTATGTCATTCGGTTTACTCATCTTCATTACAATACTACTTGAGCTTATAGAAGTAATCACAAACCCCTTGACTAAAATTAGAGTCCCAACAAGTGGTCGGAGGTCGTGTCTATGACAAACTAGTACTCGCTACGGGCCCCAGTGAAAGGAGGAGAAACGTAGTAGAAAAGAGCTCCGAACAAGAACCGAGACAGAATGGTTGGGGTGACTTCAATTCGTGTACATAGATTCCAGGCGGAGTACACGATCTTAAGTTCCTTCTGGCTGAAACGCTTGGTTCCATCTTCAGATCTGTGCATGATGCTAAAGATCGCCCTCCGAGTCTCGTGGTGGGCATAGCCAGGGAATTCAGCCATGTTACCCGGGACGACATTGGACTTGATGAGCTCTTGCAGAACGCGAATCTCCTGCTGGCGGCGAGAATTCTGCATGGCTTGCTTCTGCTTGTCAGCAGCAACGCAAGTCAGAAGCTGAATCATTCCGGAGTGGCGCTTGACCTCCAGGGAATGTCACAGAGGGAAAATTCACACTCAACCGCATGAGTGTCTATATTGTTTCTCGAATCTTGAGGTCTTAAAGGGAAGGACGAGGATAGGGGTGCGTGGAGGAATGAGATGATCGCGTGGCAAATGAAGAGAATATGGTGGGGGAAATTAATGTCGACAGCGGAAGTGAGAGGTTGGGTAAGAAAACAGGCGGTTGCGAAGAAGACACGCACTTGCCAGTTGTTCGCTGTCTATAAATTTAACTTCACAACCCTCTCGACCCTACTTCTTTGCCAGCATTGGCAAAAGAGTCGAAGAACTACCTTGTCCTTGGTTACCCTCGACGGTACCTACATGCCCTAGAGTGGTTAATTTAAACGCAGCAACTTCATTACTTCGGGATTCAATAACACCGATCTCACTTTTCGATCACGTTAATATGATTATTTTCGCGCGTGAAATGGAATGTTTATATTGTGGGAACTGTATCGAACAGCAAGCTAACATCCTCCCTCTAGATTATATTGAAAATTAGAGTGCCGCGACTACAAATGTCCGTTGGGGAAACGCATTACCGGCACCATGAGACATCGGCGTGGAGCCAAAAATACAAGGATTCGACACTTCCCGGAGCCGCGCATGGCGGATATAAAGATGTCATTGCCGATAACGTCAAGCTTCTTCTGATCATCACCAGTTATGTTGGAGGAACCGGCCAGACCGGTCAGATTGATCAACGAGGCACGGCGGATGTAGTAGGCGATCGACTTAAACGAGAATTGGAGTGCGTGGCACAGCAGGGTGAGGTCACCCGAGGCTTCAGGGTATTTTGTTTGTTCTTCAGTCAGGAATCGGGAGAGTGTGACAATATTGGTCTTAATGTTCTCCTCGCCAACAGGGAGTGCATTCTCGGGATTCGCCATTAAGATGAACCGTTTTGTGAGGAACTAAAGGTGAAAAAGAGTGTAGGGAGATCCGGATGGGGTGAGGGGTAGTCATTCTTTCTCGCGTCATCTTGACCGCTCTGGATTTTCACTAGTGGGCCGAAAATGCCCATAAATTAGTATGATAACATATCTGATAGGTGAAGGTTGACTGCCTCTGTATTATGTGGGTCACTAGGAGCGATCATGTTGGCCTTTACAAAAGTAGGTTTCAAATGTGCTCAGCTAAAATCTACAAGCACTCCACGGACATTGTGATTCTCCACGGACATTGTGATTCTCCACGGACATTGTGATTATTACATGAAGGAGATATTTGAGGATCGATAGGGTTCCAAGAGAGATAAAGGAATGCGAATCAATGCCTTGATAATACTCGCATTCTTCTTATTCATGTTGAGAATTCATCTCGCATTATGCTTTGTTCGGTACAACGCTTATCGTATTACTGAAATACGCTTGGGGGTCGATTTCACAGTGCCATAACTTCACCGGTCACGCTCCATGGTGGGCGTTCGCTTGTGTATGGATATATGCTGGGAAGAAAAATTGCCTTGACTAAGCTTTGGCTATCTTGATGCTCCGTAGCATGCCTATAATACTCATTTGCAATGTCTGCTCGTCAAAACGTAATACAGTAACCTCCCGTTTCGGCACAGCCCTCCGTGCAGCAGGATATCGGCGTCTAATCAAAGGGTGCCTGTGAGCATTGCGCTAATCTGAAATAGGTAACCACTAGTCTGTTTTTCGACCAAAGTATTGGTCCACCTTCTCTCATTTACTGTATCTGCGCCGTAAAAAGAAAGAAAAGGTATCGTCCTCTCCTTCTCCTGTAGAGCTCTCTCACTAATGCCCTCTTGGTGCTCAGTGAACTGAAGAGTTTCACGTAGATACCACCGGCGTTTCTCCCTGCGCGATTGATATGTCTTTAAAATTACAATGAAAACCACTCAACACGTGCTAACTTAGTAGATTCTGGGCGTGTCTTGGATACAGAGGCACTCATTGCTTTTCTCCGAGCGTCGGATTGCCTCTGATTTTGTATAGCCAGCTTGGCTGACAGCACGACTGAAGATGAAGTGGAAGGGGTGTTAGTTGTGCGTTCTGATTGGTCAGTTGATATGACTAGGCAAGAACGGAAGGGATTCTGTGTACCAGACAACTAATGTGCTGGATGGAGTTATTATACATGGCAAAAGCTAAAGAAGTCCGGTCCGTCCACCAGATTTTGACGCGTAATATAAACATGTCGTTACTCTGCGAGTGCTGAAAACGGGAGTTGACTTAAGACACATGCTTGGTAGAGCTGTCGCATTTTGTTCCGGGCGCGGGTGTCGTAGTCCACTTAAAGCGATGCCCGTTTGATGGCCTGCTGAACGTATTCTTTCCAGCGAACTCCCAGGTCATGCCAACAATTTGGCTGTCCGTGAGGACTTGACGTCGATTCTAATGAAGGTGATCTTTTTTCTGTAATCATAGTTCTATTGGATATACCAGGACGGACATTCAAAAGGGCGGATGCCTTTGCAGGCGGTAATAATCAAGTCCGCAAGGTGCTCGGATCCGACAAGGTTTGTAACTAATCTCTAGATGTATGCTTGGCATATGTATCTCGCTTAAGGACTCCAGATCTACCCCGCTCTTTAACCACTAATACAATTTAGCTTTTGTTACCCCAGACACGCCCCAGCCAGGGGCGGGTGAAATCCGGGGATCGAGAGATCTTGGCAACGCTCCTACCGTCAAAATCTACAACGCCTTCCGGCCTTATCCAAGACTTTTCCGTGATGCAAGAGAAGGATGAGGCGGACCCTCTTTCTCCGTCCCAACTATAAGTTTCCTTCACTTATGGTATCTCGGTTGAATTTCATCAGCCTGATTTTCATCACTAGTATCTCTTCCTTATTCAGACTTATTGATAGTCCTTTGCTACGCGAGGTGACGCCATAGAAACCTCTAGCTCAAAACTATGGCAACGTCAGAAAAGACTATGGAGAGAGCTTCAAGCCAAGCCTTTGATCACGAAAAGTGCAAGAACACTCATTGTGAAGACGTATGCTCTGTCAGAGTAGGCAACGAGAAAGCCCAGGGCGATTATTCCGGTGCCACTGCCAAGGTCGACCCCGTGGAAATCAGACTTGTGCGCAAGTTGGACTTCAGAATCATGCCCATATTATGGGCAATGTACTTTCTGAACTATGTGAGCTTCTACATCTTATTCTACAAGCTGACAAGTCTTAACACAAATTAAATCAAGGTCGATCGCAATGCTATCGCTAATGCACGTCTCAACGACCTCGAAGATGACCTTGGCCTTGTCGGAACACAGTACAATACCTGCATCTCGATTTTGTTTGTTGGGTATGTTTATCAATTGACTACGGATCAGACAGACCTGATCTGACTTGGGAACTAGCTATCTTCTGATGCAAATCCCCTCGAACATGCTCATGTCCTCGAGGAAGTTCCGGCCATCGCTATACATGAGTGTATGTATGGCGTTATGGGCTATAGTCTCTGCTTGCACGGCTTTGACGAAAAATTACATTGGCCTTCTTCTCGTCCGATTCTTTCTGGGGGTCACTGAGGCTCCCTTCTACCCGGGCGCATTATTCCTTCTTTCGGTTTTTTACACGCGCAAGGAAATTGCTCTCCGCATTTCCATACTATATACTGGCAATATCGTCGCCACTGCCGTTGCTGGACTAATTGCTGCTGCAGTCTTTGAAACCTTGGACCAGCGCATGAATCTCAAAGGATGGCGCTGGCTCTTTATCATTGAAGGTGTTGTTACATTTGGGGTTGCCGGCCTCGGCATTTTCATGCTACCAGATCACCCACTCACAACGCGTTGGCTGACCCCTGAAGAGCGTGAGCTTGCACAGGCTCGCATTGAAAGGGATACAGTCAATAGTGTAGACTCTCAGGGTGTTTTAGCTGGTTTAAAGCAAGCCCTGGCCGACCCTCGCCTTTACCTCCTGGCATTCATGCAGAACATGCATCTTAGTGCCTGTGGTTTCAACAACTTCTTCCCAACTGTTGTTGGAAGCCTCGGGTTTAGTAGCACAATCACCTTGGTGCTGACATGCCCTCCATATCTGTTCTCCGGAATATGCTGTATTGTTGTTGGTATCACCTCTGGTCGATATAATGAGCGAACATGGCACATCACCCTATCAATGGGCGTTGCTGTTATAGGGTTTGTTATATCCTGTGTGACACTCAACAAAGGAGCAAGATATGTCGCCTGCTTCCTCTTCGCCAGTGGTGCATACGCCGTCAATTCTGTCATTTTGGGCTGGGCGTCTGCTACGCTTGGCCAGACGCCAGAAAAAAAAGCCGCGTCGATCGGTTTTATCAATGTCGTTGCCAATGCCTCATATATCTATACTGCCTACCTCTATCCAAAGTCCGATGGCCCTCAATACCTGGTTGGAATGTCGGCAAACACAGCTTTCGGAATTGCAAGTATTGGAAGTGCTTGGGCATTGAAGTGGTGGTTGCAGAGTACAAACAAGAAGATCGTCCAGGGTACTCTGCCTGGCGCTGGTGATGTTCTTTATGCCTACTGAGAAGCATTCACCTCGAGCGGCCAAATGCCGTGCTTCTATATATGTGTCACCTGATTGGGAAGAATGAATGTGTCGGACCTGCTAGAGATTCTGTGACTGCTCGTGTAGATAGGTCAGGGCTTCTCGCTCTTCTTCCTTTCTCTCTCTCTGATCTTTTACAATGTACAGATCTTTCTATTTGTTCGTGTTCTTTTTACCCTTATGCTCTATTCTCTCCTCTGGCCCTCAAGCGCCACGCCTTGACAAGTGAATTTGGGAACCGAGGGGTTTTTGCGCTAAAGGTTTGAGTGAAATTGAGGGTAAGTTCCAGCCGTCAGTCTGTGCAGCTGCATAACTGGAATCTGGCCCGTATCATACTATTCATCAGTAGCCGTGCGTGGCATAATGCGCCGCGAAAATGATTCCGCCGTGCGCGTGAAATTAGTACAGCATCACTGGTGGGCTACTGTCTTCGGTAAATGTACGGTCCATAGACAGCAGAGATGTTGGGGCCCTGGCCTGATTGACTGAGGAGTTCGGAAAGCGCGGTTTGCTGGTGGAGCTATACGGAAAGGATGTGCACGGATGTGATAGGTGTGATTGGAGCCCCGTCCGAGAATAGACCGTGGGCCATATCTATATGGCTAGGTTTATGAGCCAGTATCGGGCCGTGGTGGAGGAACGCGCCGGAGTAGGATTGCGACAAGTCTAGGGTTCCGAAGGGAATATGCTCATTAGTGATGTTGAGTATCACGGTAGAAGTGGTGCTATTTGAATTCTCTATAGTAGAATCGTTCATATACGGGTTTAAAGCATAAGGTTTCAAGCAAAAAATCACTACAATGCAAGGGTTGTGCATGCATAGACCAGGACAAATGAAGACCGTATCTTCTCATCCTTGTGAATTTGAGGAGGCAAAATCAGTGAATCAGAGCATGAACTGGACGTGCTTGTTACCAATCAGCAATTATAGTTCCTCCTCCACACTATCGGGCGTACTCAAAGTCTGGACGATTTTTGCCCCATTCTGTAACATGGTCGCTTGGTAAATCTCAAACAGAGCCTCAGCCTTGACTTGTAGTTTTCCAATTACGAGGATTTCTTCTGGTCCCGATCATCCTTAGTGGCATGTTCCCTTACGAATTCCGCCTTGCTGAATTCGACAATGGGAGCCTGACCTTGAGGTTTGAGTGCATCCCAGTTTAACACGTTTGGACGGTTCGGATCACTTTGTACGTCCAGTGGGCTTTTGCGTGGATTGTCGCTGCTTTTCGGTCTCGCGCTTCGCACCCAAATCCTACATCTCAATATCACCCTGCTCAATCGATGGGATGACCGTATCAGGTTGTGGTGTCGGTTGTTGTCCATAGCGGCACTCTGCTGCGTCTGATCCGAATGGTTCTCGTCCGGGTAAGGCTTCGTGCTCTTATTTAGATTTTAAATGAGATACCAATGCTTGTTGCATCCCCCTTTCCAATTTCTATCGAGACAAGAACCCGTTATCTGCTTTTTTCATTTAATAATTTGAGCCTGGAAATGTTTTCGGACTTTGAGCCCGAAGGTCTGGAAATACCATCGGATGGCATAATTGGATGGCATAATGGCAGGTCAGAGCGATTATCGCTCTGAGCGTACGCCATAACCATCCATGTGTGCGGACTAGTCATTATATTTCCCATCATTTTCTGGACAATGAACCCGACGATCTGGTCGTCTCGAGTCCTTAATAGCATCTGTCACGGTGCGTTTTGCTTATGTTCACTCTGCTTGCCTGGACAGCGCATATTTTCTTTTAGCGGCAAAGACGGGAATGCACGGTGACTGCTGTAGGTGCGACATACAAGATGCCATTATAAAGTAGTATAACATAGTAGTATACATAAAGCTGACGGCAAAATGCCATGTGCCGTCGTTTCCCTTGTCTTTCTTGTTGGCTCTCGATATGATATCGTGGTACAAATCTCTGACACACTGACAAATATCGAGGTCACCGATAGTCGTAGCCTTCATAACGGAGTAGTTATCCCCTGAGATGACAGCTGCCCACGGCAAAAACAGTATAAATGATCATGTCCTGTGCGGGCTATCAAGCATGTGGTCTTTACAGGTAAGCCTCACATTGAGCACGCCCTTACATCCAGGTGAACATGGGTGTTCGATGTGAAGTGTGCATAACGTGATCCATGGTCAGGAAACAATCGATGAAGCGGATCAGGTTCACCTCAGCCATCGTGGGCTCGAAGAAAAGAATGTAAGCGCCGATGCCGATGCTATTATCACCATGACAGAGGCAGTGAATATGGTCGTCGAGAGAGAGAGAGTCAAAGATGATTGGAGCTGAGATCTATCAAGCTGTGGAACAAGGCAAGGGCGATTCAGGTCTCTGAAAGGACTGCAGGCAGCGGATCTTCGCCTTGATGAGCCATATAGGAGGTCAGGCGTCATCACCTGCACGGAATCCAGATTCCAGCTCTAACAACAATGCGCTCCAGGCCTCAGATACACCTGTTTCGTCCGGTCAATCGAATATCTCTGCCACGGTTCTCGCTGGCCACGTAGTTGCAGAAGCCCATGGCCAGCGCTGCCTAGCAGTCTTGGCGGTAGGTGTCAACAGCCACGATAGAATGCGGTAGCCCTGACCGCTACGTGGGAACTGGACGGCTAGCTTGAGGATATCGCGCACGGGATTGTTTGTCGATTGTAGAATCCGACCCGAGTACTGCATCGCGGGGAAACTCGGGCGTATTCGCTGTTTCTCTAGGGTTTACCGAATCATGCTTCTATGCGACAAATCGGGGAATTGTGCACATACGCATTAGAAAACATCATAGTACGTCTTCTCGAGACGGCGCTTTGATGCAAGAAACAGGTCAACAGATACGGGCGAACGCTCATACCCGTGCCGATTGCGGTACCTTGTACACCATATGGCACATGTACTGGTGGAGGCTACTCTTGGAGCTGCGACTTCCGCTCCTATCTACGGCCTACTCGGTATCGGGATCGCCTGGTCTGGTCCTAGGAGCCGTCGCGCTCCTATGACCCTCGTTCTAGATCCCAGGGCCAGGTTTTTGCTTCCGCGGGTCCGAGTGGGTATTCCTAGGACCGGCATACTTTGGATTCACGTGTAGGCTTCTGGCCCCAGCAGATTACGGGAAGACTGGTCCGCGGACCTCAACTTAAGTTCCTGTCAACGACACAACCGGAGCTGGGAATGCAAGCACCGGCCCCGGGAGCTGACTCGCTCCTGGGGCCTTTGATCAATATCCTGGGGCTCTTGGCCTTTTTCCTGAAGCCCTTGGCCAATATCCCGGAGTCCAGCCCTTGACAGCCTCGTCAGCTGTTTGCGATGATGTTACGACAGGTACCCTCCCATCAAGCCTTCACGATAAACATATAATCCAGAGGCTTGGCCACTTCATTCTAAATCCGACTTTTTTTTGATCCTGCGAAGACGTCTGACCATAGATACTGCTATGGCCAAGTTGCCCTCAGAAGTAGGGACCATCCTTAGGGAAAACATCGCAGTCATCGAGATCGTGTCCACATTCTCGATCGGCGCCTACAATACACTCGAAACGGTATTTATCACGTTCGACACTATCAAAAACTACCGCAGTCTGTATTTCTAGAGTATGCAGGTCGTATCGTGGGGCATTCTTATGCATGCTCTTCCTACTATAGCTTACTTCTTGTCTCGCGTACCCGAATTGCCGATATCTATCCCTTTCGTGATTAGATGGTACGCCATGGTTACTGGCCAATCTATTGTACTCTACTCGCGCTTGTACCTCGTGGTATTGGATATCAGTAAGGTGTGATAGGTGCTGTGGATGATCATCGTTAATGTATGCATCCTGTATGTCCCGATAACGGTTCTTTTCCTCGGTACCGACCACGGCAATGCACGTTTCGCTCGCCCTGCTATGATCTACAACTGGATCCAATTAGCAGGCTTCTGTATACAGGACCTTGTTATATGCGGCCTTTATATCTATGAGGCGATCCGCGCTCTCAAGTGCATTATCCAAATTCGCGGTCGGAATGGCCGCAAGGTCATCATTCACCTTCTTTGGGTCAATATTCTCGTTATTGCCCTCAATATTCTACTACTCCTCACGGAGTACAAGCTGCACTACATCCAAGTCAGCTTCAAGACGGTGGTCTATTGCATCAAGTTGAAACTGGAGTTTTCTGTGCTCAACCGTCTCCGCTCACTGGTGCATTCTCCTGCCCTGGCTTCCCCGCCAGACCCAATGCAGCAGTGTCGGTCATCAATCGATATGAACCTCTTTCAAGCCTACTTCTCCCGTCCAATTGTCGCACTGGACATGGCAACGCCATCTAGCACGGGTCCAGTGGGAGTCATCCGTTGTGACTCGCCATCTAGCAGTATCCCGGATTATCACGGGATGCTACGCGAGATCTCAGATGGGGGAGATTGACGGCAGCTGAGAGATGAATTTCTTTATCCGAGAAGACCACACGCTCGCCACAGACAAACAGATGAATCAGTACAACGATCCCGCTCTGCCTGGGTCAGATTCAAGGTGCTACTAGACTTCAAGACATAGAAAGATATATACAGGCTAAAGCGTATAAAAAAAGGGAAGCGCTATATGCATTCGTCCTTGTGTCTTTCTAGTTATCTCTCCGCGAAGATATGTGAAGCCTTTGTACCAGTCACTGCCCAGCCCAAGCGTCACGATGAGTTTTAGCCCGTATGCTCGATTGGCCACCCTTGAGGCGTCAGCTGCCCGCAATAGTGAGGATCAAAGACTGGACTCCTCTTGTCCAGGGTGGCTACATAACGATTCAGCCCTCCATGTTTTCCGTGCGAGGTATGATGGGCGCCGAGGTTGTCGCGACGCGCGAAACCGCGTTGACATCCAGGAACCCAGCAGACGTAGGGTCTTTCACCCGAATGAACTGTCAAATGGCGTTTGAGAGCCTCCTTCCGCTTAAAGGAGCTCTCGCAACCTGGATGACTGCATTTGAACTGCCGTTGCGGGATGGTGGCTGGCACTACCGAGACTCGAGGTGGAGGCATGCGGCATGCCGTCCTTGACACTGGAACATGATTCAAAGATTCTACTGGACACAACTCCGGGCGTATCGTGGCCAATCGGAGGCCCTCCGTGTGACTGTAGGCAGGAATGTTCGGCATTGTGTGGGAAGGCGCGTGCCCCGAAGGAAATCCGCGCATGCTCAGAGCAGCCGGCGGATCGTCCCTGCAGAACCATGTTTAGAAGCTGTGGAGTAGGTGCACATGTGAACCACCAGATCACAGGCTGGCATTCAAGATTATTCAAAGCTTGGTCAATGGAACAGCCAGGGTATTGGCAGGAATGGCTTTCCAAGTCGCTTTTAACGCTGGGCATTGCAAATGTCGAGACCTGAGATCCGGCTTCAGCCTCGTCCTGGCCATGTTGGATGACATCCATGCCAGACTCGTCGGAGGATGCAGTTTGTGCAAGGTAGTTACGTCCGCTGCTGCCGCCACTGCTGCCGCCACTGCTGCCGCAGAGCATTGTGATGTCGCTCGAGAACCATGTGTTGTCCTCGTGTATTTCTGGTTGCGAGGACGTTGCTGTGCTGTACTGCTCCATCTGTTGGCTGTCACCCGTCAATGGCATATCTCGCATACTTGATGGCAAATCGAAGTGGCAGAAGTAATGTTCATATCGTAGCACAGCACGCCATTTAGTGTTGTTCAAGTATGGAAATAACTGAAGTAACTGATGTAGATGCAGGTGAACACCCTAAAATACGCACAAAGTCCTCATGACTTGGATGAACCAGATGAATCCCATGCAGTAGAGGGCGCTTCTTGAGTCTGGGTACACTCAGACACTTATATGCGGGCCCACCTGGCATTTTTTGGAGGGGAAAGAAGAAAATTGCTACGTTGACAGCTTCCTGGCACGTGGCTGCTCCTCTGCTCTGAGCTAGAGCACGATTCAACATATGTTAGTTGATAGCGCCTGTGAAGCAACGCCTGTGAAGCAACGCCTGTGAAGCAACGCCTGTGAAGCAACGTCTCTGAAGCAACGGGTCAACCTATTGTTGGGCATGCGAAACAATGGTTCAACGTTGAGACATCACTTATCACGTTCATTCAGCACGCACCTTGTTTCAAGACGATTCCAAACCAACATTAACGTGTTGAGTGCCTAGCTTGAAGCAATGTCGGAAATCTCGTTGAAAAGCCGCTGACGGGCTCCCAACAGTAGCTCACCAAATAGCTCAGCAGACTGTCCAGGAGAAGAAGACATCAACACTAGTTGAAGTGGTTGTGTTGATCGATTTGAACACCAAGCGTAAGGACCAGCAGCAAGCCACTTCACCCGGTAGGTTATAAAGAGGATCAGCACTTGAATGAAGAAAAATTGGCTTGTCTTCACCTGGATTATCTTTCTCGACCTGCTGAACGCAATGGAGGCTTCCGAGTCTATGCCGGACCAGAACAAGGAAGAAGGCTCGCAGCTGAATGAAGTCCCTCCCCAGAGCGATGAAGCTGTTCCACCGCCTACGTCCGACCCCAAACCTTCTCTGGTAAGTTATCTTGAGAACAATTTAGACCAGCGTCTGACCACTCCCTGACAGCAGGAGCCGACCCCAAAGGACGCCTTGGCGACCGAGCCATTTCAAACCGTATTGGAGGCGCTCGCACATCTCGAACGTGACGATCCGAAACTCGCTTTTCAAGCCGCTCGACTTGTGGGGCTCTATCGCCGTCTCTGGGAGTCATGTGTGTCTAAGCATCTCGACTGCGAGAAAATAAATGAAGCCAATCAAGTTTTGAGGGAGGCTAGCGTGCCCTTGAGTAACGAGAGGGACAGCCTTCAACTTCGCCACGCCGAGCAGTCATCTCGACTGCGTTTCTTTGACCAGGCTTTACAATCGTCTCGAGAGCGACTGACTGGCATCCTCAATGACTGGAACCAGCTCTTGAGAGGCAATCTGGCCGATTTGGTGGATGCCGACCGACGCGAGTGAGGGATTTCTCGTGAATCTGTGTTGAGTCGTGCTTGACGTCAAACAACGATTGGTTTAAAACCTCTTTGTACTTGAGTAAAAGAAATCAAATTCAAAGTTTTGTTCACGTCTGAAGACAGGTTTTGTTTTGAGAGCATTGTGCAAAGCAAACTGTAGTCATGTATGAATGTAACAATCTTTGGAGATTTCGTTAGCGAAGGAAGAGTTGGAAACGGTCCGGACATTTATTTGCACGCCATGCTACTTTCAAATATAATCTGGCAGGGGGTTGCGTACAAGAACGGACGGATTCAGGGATGGTATCGAAGGTGATGTAGCTAGCGGGGAAAGCATGAAGTGACTAGAGTATGGGGGAGGTTCCACACGTGGCCACAGAGACAATTGGAAGCTGGATGCCATCGATCGCACAGCCGTCTGAGAGATGACGATGAGTATCTGCTGCCGCGTCCGACATAGGTTCCCCATGACCGATTCCACCCGAGGCAAGAAGAACCGATGCTCTCCGATCATGTCCCCGGTAAACTGGTCAAGCCGTGCGAGTCGAAACTCCACCCAGTGTATTTCCTCCGCAAGAAGTAATACTGACATGAAGCGGAATATATCTTCAGACTGAGTCAAGGCTGATAGAGGATCAGGGCCTGTCCATTCGAAGCCCGGCGGATCCTCTCAGTTGGGTTGGAAGAAGCATTTCACCCAGGAGGACCCCTGAGCTTCGTACCCAGCAGGATCAACTAGATCCAGGGAAGCTAGATCCAGTGAAGCTAGCTCGCTGCTGGCACGGTCCGCGATAAGGCAAGGAGGTGGCGTCGGTATACTAGACGACTCTCGCCAGATGGCGTGAACGTCGAGGTCGAAGTCAGAGCCTATACTGCCGTGAGTATATGTTGATAAGAGGTCCACATGTACGTACCGTCCTGAACTGGATCGTTCATGTCCATCCTGTTTTATGGACGCCCGTACGGGAGAGATGGGCCTTGGTGGACTTGGCGATGTGAAGATCGCTGGAGGCAATAGAGACGTGCAGAGGCCCACAGGCCTTGAATATATTCATAAACAATAGAGAGAGAGAGATCGGGCTTTCATTTCCAAGAGACTAGCAGTAAAATGAGTAAACAATGGTGAAGATGCGATGTCCCATCACCAGGATTAACTGGAACTCACCATGGGTTCCCAACTGTTTACGCTGATGAAGATATCGAAAGGGTGCTAGACGGAGGGCGTGAGAAACGCGTGAACGCACTATTCCACTTACCTGCTTTCCATCTCAAGCTACTCGAGATCTTTCTTGAGGCCTCTCGACGCGACAGGTCCATTCTCCGCTTGCCTCCAGGACTGCAGCGATCCCGGCATGAAGGTCATGAAGCGCACGCTCCCGGCCCCACAACATCAGCGTTTGTGCATTGCAGCGATGCATGAGAATGTCATTCTCGGCTTCCAGCCACTCGTTCGACTCTTCAATTTGTTGCTGTTCTTCATCGAAGTATATCTTCTCGGCGGACTTGACGATATAGCAGTCCCACAGGCAGAAGTATAGGTCCAGAAGCTGGAGGGCAGGCATAGCGAGGTCCACGTTGTCACGGAGAATCCCTATGAGCTGCGTGGTAAGGAGACCGGCCGGACTGACAGGACTCTGTGACTTGTTAATTTCGTTCCCTAGCGGTCGGGAAGCTGGGAAGATTCTGACCTCGGGATCGATGGCCGTGCGAACTGCCTGTGGCTGATAGTCTTGCACATACACCTCATTGTCTGGCTGGTCAGAGGCCCGACGCTGTCGCTTGGCTGGCCGGCCAGCTGGGAAAGGAGAAGGAGGGCGGTCCATTTGGTTTGCGGGTAGATGAGTTGGGGTCATGCCGCAATGAGGGAGTCTTTATATATTATGCAAGGATCACAGACTGCTGTGGTCTGTCCCATTGTCGGTGAAACAGTGCGCCAGTTTCAACAAAGTGAGTTGAGCTGACCGTTGACACTTCACCTGTTGATTCACACGACTCACATGTGGCCAAGAAAAATGCACCCATAACAAAGTCAAGTACGAAGAGCTTGTTTGGTTTTAACGCAAGTGTTGTATTTAGCGACATTGATAAATCGACATGTTTGTGGTTCACCGATACCACGATCTAGTCTTCACTATCGCGCACTTGAGCTTTGTTTTGGACCTTGATGTCTACCTTTGGCGCTTGCAACGGAGTTTCAGCACCTTGGTAGCAGAGTGTTCCGATGCCCTCATAATTGGCGTCTTTCCCCGGAAAAACGCATTGACGTTGGCGTGGCAGTGAAGCAAAGCTTCTGCAAGAGAAACGTCGTTGGGTTTCGCCGCCAAATGTAGTAGAATACTGTTTTGGTATTTAACATTGAATGTCAAAACAGTCGGCCACAGAGTGGAGTATAGGCCTTGGCAAGACTGCGCGAACGCAAATAGCTCTTGGCCACCCAAGTATGCTGCGATCTCCAGCCGTATTTCGATGGGCAGATCTGGAAGACAACACTGTTGTGTACGTTAGCTAGTGTAATGGCCCATAATCAGAACGCAGGATAGTTCACAAACCATTGTGGGAAGCGCTAGATTGAGGTTATGGTATATGCTGGCGCAGCATAGGCCCATTGTAGGCTGAGAAGCAGGGCTTTATATGAAGCTCTGCAAGATAGAATTGTTGTGCTCTCCGATGCAACAAATCACCCAAGATTGACAATGCGGCGCAGGTACCCAGTCAGAAGACAATGGAGCGCCTGGAAACAATATAAAGTGCTAGGATCACTATGAAAGACCCTGGGAGCGATTTCAGTCCTGGGAGCGCCCCACGAGGCTCTAGAACCACGTGAGCAGCTCCTAGGTGACGATTGCCTTCTACTCTGATTGCTCGCGACAGGCGATTAGTTTGTCTGCATTCTCGGCTCAAAGATTCCTACCGCTATCGACGAAACTGGGAGCTATGTGACAGTATAGCCCAAGCATGTCGTCCGTTTTGGCATGATCCACAAGAGCCATTGCGCAACAGCACATTCAAAACGCAATGCCACCCGTCCGCACGCCACTTATGAACTCTGCGCCTGCAATGCTCGTGCCCTTGCGCATCGCCAGAGGAATGATCTGATGTGACCTACTATCAGCTGCCTTGAACATTGGTATGTGTCAACGCTGCTAGAAGGTCTATAAAGCTGCGGGTGGGCACTGCAGAGTCCGGCCAGGATACACTGCGATCACCTCACCGAACGTACTTCCTTCTCTCTACACTCCCCCCGCGTGCACAGCACCAATGCCATCCAGATCCCTTTGGAACCCATTAGTGGTCTGTGAGATAGAGGTTGGGCCACTTGGCCAACGCAGTCTTTGTTGTGGGATCACGGCAAACGGAATACCGTGCAGGAACTCGGTCAAAATCAAAGACATCAACCAAGGCCATCAAAAGATGACCGACCTTTCTAGGATCCCATTTGGGTTGTCAGCACTGCAGGCCTCACTCTGCGAGATCGCCAAAAACTTTCTCTGCAAGCGATGGCACCGGGATCGGCAGGCGGACCGGGTCGGTCAACGATGGTACGAAGCAGCTGTTCGGAATCAGACTCAGGCACATAGTGCTGCCGCGGACACTCCACGTTCGCCTCCTGCACCGGCCGTCCCGCGCCAGACACGATCCGCCTTCAGACGAGGCCCTTCGGAATCGGACCGGGCCCATCGACTCGTGGATACACACATTGATCACTACAGGGACCGAGAAGCCTCGCCAGCGACTTTCTGGACCAACTCTGGGCCAACCGAGCGACTTGGTCGACCAGCTCATCTCTATGTCACGGCCGCGATGCTGCGAGCGAATACTGTTCCATGGCGCGTTACTCCGGCTCAACCGGCCGTTCTTTCGTTGACGCCCAATTCCTGGGCTGGCGGGCAGGACTTCACACTCCACGGGGTCACTTGCAGCCACGAAGTGGACAACATCCACTGCGTGTTCTGCTTGGCCGAGGATGAGAGTCGCGTCGATGAACGCGTGGTCTTGCGTTGTGTCAGGTGCAAAGGGCTGGCTCACCTTGCTTGTACACAAGAGTGGTTGGAAAAGCGCGAAACCGGGCACGGCACATCATGCTGTATATGGTAAGTTCACGATCCCGTCGGGCTTCAGAATGCTAAAACATTCTAGTCGAATCGAGACCGCCTTCCATGCCCTGTATCGTGGACCCAGAGGCCCCTCGCCCTTGCCCGAAGAAAGTTCCGTCGAGGCCATCGCAGATATCTCATCTGACACAGGCACCACTCCGCCGTCAATCGACCCTCCCCGGGTTGGAGTGCCGCTCACCCAGCCAGCTGAGCCAAGGCGGCGTCACCGGGACTCCGCAGCGCCGACCGCCCAGGATGGTGTCCGTCGATCGGCCAGGCTGGCGCAAGTTCCTGCCCCACTTCGTCGATCAACCCGCCTTCGCCAGAGCGAAATGTGAATGGCGATAAGACGTCACCTTTCTGGAAACGATTGTCGTTTTTCTCCCGGCGCTGAAGTAGCAGGTACTATCTTCCACGCACTGCATGGTGGCGGAGCGCTGCATTATCAAGCTGGCGTGGTTGATTTTCGTCTTTATGGATAGTAGGCTAGGCAAAGATTGTAGGCAATAAATTCACTCATCCTCAACATCCTCATCTATCGATACGTGCGTAATTCCGTGCGGGCCTTCTTCGAAAGCGCGATTGTGTAACGACATCTCATAGCCTGAAAATGGGGCCTCACATCTAGTCCGTGCGATCGCGCCGGAATAGGTCGAACCCAGTAAACGTTCGCCGCACTTCTTCATAGGAAGTACATGTGACAGATTCCGCCAATTTACCTTGGGCATTAGGTTGGTGGAGCATCAATTGATTCATATCTCTCTCGCTCCATTGCTACACGGTACGAAGCTGGACTTGAAGTGGGAAGTCTATTTGTACCAAATAAAGTCCCATGCTCAAGTCGGCGACCCATAAAACGAACCTGAAGAGGACGGCGCGATACTAGACCGAATTCATCCTTGTGGTCCATGAAGTATCGATTCAGACGGGAGACCATAGATTGCCGACCTTTCGTTCAGACAGATCATCGCGTAGTACCTGGTAGAGATATTCATGTTGGCAAAGACACACCATCGGTGCGTTTGACAAACGACTTGCTGACGGCACCCACATGGTGCGAACGCTGTTTCGGTCGAAACTAATGCAAGTTAGCTTTGTATTCATCCGCGTGCGCTGGTAGACTGGCAAACTCACTTGTGTCCGATTGGAAAACCGCCGCTCTTGCACTGGTACACTGCTCTGCGTGGAGAACGACCACGTAATCTGCTCCAAACCCATCAAGTTTTCGAAATGATTCGGCCTCGTTATCTTCCCATGTGACCTGCAGACCTCCTGGATGGGAGCTTATTGTGATGCTATGCGGCAAAAACCGAATCAGGCGTCTGATCTGACGCATGTATCGCATCTCGGTGGCCCGCAATAATGGGGATGCTTTAAAAATTGAACAAATCGATAGAGCCAAGAGTTCTTCCACGACGTGGCCGCAGAAATAGGGTGCACTATTCCCACCTATATTGTTTGGGAACAAGGTCCGGCACGAGGTTTCTTGGTGCACGTTATCAAAGTCCAACCATCTATGGTGGATTTTCAAGGTGCTGCTCATGGCATCGTAGAACACATCAAGTTTTCCTGTCGAGCCGTTGACGTAGAGCACTCTTATATCTTTTGTTGCCTGCATGAGTGCCAGGCAGGCTCTTAAAGCCCTGTCTGTTGTTCTTGCAAAAACGGACCTGGGCAAGGCACCGATCTTGGTATCCCTGAAACACTTCCGTTGCTCCTCGTCAATAGTCCGGATGGGCGAGACCGAACGCAGCAGTCTCCAAAAGCTCTCAGGAAGTCTCGTCGGCTTTTTCCCGGTGGATTCTCGTATCATTCCTATAGACTGGCTGACGTCAGTTGGCGGCGCGTTGGCCAGAATTCATCTCACTGACCTGCGCACTTGATGTTTCACTGTAAAAGAAGAGTCCTTGCTGTGAAGCTTGTAGTATATGTTTCCAGATGCGGGCTTTAGTGGATGGTTCTAGAAGACTGTTAGCTTGTTCAACGTCGGCGACGCATGGAAAGTTCCGTAGGAGATTGACATAGATTGGGAGAAGGATTTCTTCATGCATTCGCAGGGCACTTTCCCATATTTGCCGCAACAGATCTGCTACCTCGCGCTTGGCAGACAGTCTTTGTCGATCGCGGCTGAACTAACCCAGAGCAAAATTGTACCCAAACTTGAAGACCTTGCCCCCGGAGGTAGACATGGGCAGCAGAAGCCCATGGAGAAAAATCTTTCCTTGAAACTGCGGGTCAAGAAGCAGGTCTCCGTTGGGGGTGTCAATGGTCGAGTGTGGATAGGTGAGCCCGCGAATATCGGGCGTGACTTGCAGCCATCCAAAGAACGTCTCAGATGACACCGGTTGACTTGGATTAGCATGTCCAGCCCCAATCACCACCGTGACATCTCGATCACTCTGGGACTATAAGCTCGCTATATCGTTAGCTGGCTCTCTGTGGACCGCGGCGCTCATCTTTCGGAAAGGAGTGATGATACAGCGAAGAGACTGGTACGGCCCGTGCAGGCCAAAACTCCAATTGCAGTGGTTTGCTGTCACAGTCACCTTATATCCTTCTCGGCGCATGACTAACGCAGCCACCTTCAGACCCTCACCATGGGAACCTGCCAAGTGGTCCTGCTTATCTTTGGATGTGAGTCCCATGACAAGAGACTCGACAGGCAGTTGCATGCAGGCATTGACCAAGGTGACCCTGCCGATCTTTTTCTCGTATTTGATGAATTCCAGAACTTGCCGCTGGCCATTTTCAACCGAGGCAGCTGGAACGATAGTGGAGAAACAGTCCTTCTTGTCTTCAAAATATGGCTTTAAATCCAATCGGTCGAGCTGAAACCTTTCCAGAATTGCATCTTTCCTGCTGCGTTTATCAGTTAAGGCGCAGCCCATGTCTCTTCACTAACACTGGCAAACATGGTCAGGGCGCAGCTTTCTATGACTCTATGTACTTGAGACGCACCTGTTATTCATTATATAGATAACTGCTCAAACTCTCTTTCCTGAGACGGGAATCCACATATAGCGCAAATTGGGGATGGTTTCGGGAGCATTCTTCTAGGTCCGTAAAACGAGGAATGAGTATTTTAAGCGCATTTAACAGGTCATCAACCGCTTGATTCTATGTTCGACAGGATACAGTCAGTGCGAAGAAAAAATAAAAAGTAAAAAAAAAGACTAGCTCCTGAAGGAGGCGCTCACAGATGCCACGTCCTTTGCGTCTTCCGATGAGAATTGAACGAGTCGATTCACCGACTCATGGTTTCCAAGTAAATCGTCTAACCAGTGGTCCACGGCACTGACGTCCCAGTGACCTTCAGATGACCTCAGGTACGGGTTTTGTTGAGCTACCGAGAGAGCTTTTCGCTCAATAGCGCCAATCGAGCGATTGTAGCCTCGACGCAAAAGCAGACAGCGAACAGTCTCTGGATGAATCAGCCGGGACAGGAAATAAATGGCAACAATTAACTCCTCTTCGGACCACAGAGTTCTGTTCGGCAATGCGGTGATTGGGGGATTTAAGCCCCATTTCGCATAAGGAGGTAAACGCTGCACGACGGAACAGGATCTGGTGGGGTTGAGAAATACATCTGTGCCTCCGCTCACCCACACCGCTTCCGCCAGCGGGTGCGCTTCACCCACAAGGTGTGACCTAGGGGGCCCATTAAGCCCGGTTGTCCTTGCGCTCCCGGAATGCCAGGTGGGCCTTGTGAATCGAACAAGTCATGTGGTGCTTGGCGCTTAGTCATACGTCACCAGCCTCCCGGCGGCTATTTAGGGAGCGTAGAGTTCAGTTTCTTCCCTGGTACTAGATTGTTCGCAGAGCATTACAATATCGCTTGGATAGCCCCATGCCACTTCTTCGGAATTTGTCCTTGACATCAAGGCGTACTATGTTCTCCTTCGCCCAAAAGTCACTCTGGCAGTTGCCGCCCAACTCGGGGCCGCCAATTCCTCAACAGGAACTTGTTGACGAAGAAGTTTGCCCTAACTACAATTCGGCGGCTTTCTACCCAGCAAAGCCGGGGGAAGTACTCGCTAAGAAGTTTCAACTGCTTGTCAAAATCGGATGGGGTTCACAATCAACCGTGTGGCTCGCCAGAGACATTTCCAGGTATCTACCCGCGCGTGCCTCCTTCATGTTGGCTTCTGGGAAACTGACCCCAGTCCTCGTAACTAAGACTCAAATGTCAATCTGAAAATACAGTGGCCCTGAAAATAATTAACAGTAGCAACGCTGACGATGCTCGTCATGAGAAGGCGATTGAAACCCATATTACCCAGCAACATCCAGGGCATCGTGGCTGCGTAATTCTACGGACATGCCTGGATGACTTCGAAGTGACTGGTCCGGAAGGAACGCACGTGTGTCTTGTGTACGAGCCGATGAGAGAGCCTCTCTGGATTTTACAAAGGCGTTTCGTTGACTGCAAGATTCCTTTGCCCATTGCGAAGGCCTATATCTATTTCCTCCTTGTTGGTCTTGATTATCTTCACTCGGAATGCAAAGTCGTCCACACAGGTGAGTATTTGGCGCCGTTCTTCTGTGTCTATTCTGGAATTTGTAGACCTAATCTACCTGTCAGATTTAAAGCTGGGGAATATCCTCATGAGCTTTGAAAATGAACACATTCTCACCGACTTCATTAAGCGACCACAACCAATGCAATTCAAGGTTGATAACGAGAGTGGCCGGACTGTCTACCGCTGCCATAATGACTTCGGTGCTCTTGACGGGAGAGAAATCAAGAATATGGTTCCCAAAATAGCCGATTTCGGGCTCGCAACAAGATTGGACAGGCCATCTACCCGGTTTGGAATGGTAGCAGAGCAACTGGGCATTTATCCTATCCAACCGGACTATTACCGTGCTCCGGAGGTAATCCTTGGCTGCGGTTGGGATTTCAAGGCAGATATTTGGAACTTTGGTGTGCTGGTAAGACCATGTACCTGTTTTCAGAATGTCAATCTGCAACACAACGCGCTTTTTCTCCCCTTGGCTTGGGATTAATGCTAATAATACTGTTCGGCAAGTTGTGGAATATCCTTGGGAACCAGGAATTGTTCCAGCAGGTACACAATACAAACGGCCAATACGACGCAAAGTCACACCTCGCGGAAATGATCGCCTTACTCGGCCCTCCCCCCGGAGTATTACTCGCGAAATCAAAGACCATGTCAGAGCACAACTGGCCACAGCCTGTCATGAACGACACTGGAGCACTCTGCAATAATGCTCAAGAATTCTTTGGTGGCCCCTTCTTTAGCGCAGAAAGTGGGTTGACAACTATCTCGCTCGTCAATACCTGACATACTGACCGTGTTCAAGATAAATTCCGCTATAATGAATTGATCCCGTCCAGACGTTTAAAGGATACAACCCCGTTCCTCGAAGAAAATGATCGGGAGGCATTTCTATCTTTTGTTCGAGATATGCTCACCTGGCTTCCGGAGAAGAGGAAAACAGCTCGCGAACTGATGAATCATCCGTTTCTCAAACTTGGTGGGTGAGCAACCGTCCAGTTACTTTGGGAATCAGGCGACCCTTTCTACGGATCCGGTCTCCGACCAGCCCTTTGGTGTCTAAGTTGTCAACCAAAAGCGCTCCGTGTATTTGTATACGACGAGGGTTTACTAGGGTGTTCAATGAGCCTTTTCTTGAACCTTTATCTCTTCGCAAGCGTAGTATTGAGATTATAGCAATCTAAGAGTTGGGGGTGATTGAACGTCTACACATGTACTGTACTCCGTACATCATTTCATGGTTATGAAACCAACCACTCCCCTTTCATATATGACCTATGGTTCGCGGGTTACTCCCACCACCCGCGACCCTGCAGCCCCCCGCGGTCAAAATAACCCTCGAGATCACTGAGTAGGGCCAGAGCCTTCGGGGGCCCCAGGAATCCGCGGAAGCTTCACTCGACCATACATAGCCTTCGAAAAGACCACCGTTCCATCGGGGTACACATGCGCAGATGTAACACGGGAATCCCCCTTCCCGAATGTTATAGAACCGTGGAGAGGGTCGTTATTTCTCGGGGTTGCATGAGGGTCACCCCTAGTCCGTTGTTAAGTATTCTGGTCAATTGAGGAGCTCTGGGGCGAGGGGTAATGCTTACTGCACAGTGCCTGAATCAACTTTGTCCAGTAGCTGGGGAACAAGGTCCACCGCATTTTCGGCATAGCGCTTGACCCAATCGACGTCCTGGGTTGTTCCTCTATTAATCCAGGAAAGGGACTTCAATTTCTGGGCTGCGGTGGAAAATGCGCGAGACATGTCTGTCACTGGTGGATAGAGGTAAAACTTGGTAACAACGTAGGTGAAGGACTGTCAGGTTGTCAAGGAAGGCACAGGTATGAGATTTGTAATGAGAAAGACAGTGACTGACAGCGAGGGCACGATCATTTATCTCACCCGTCACTTTCCAGCACTCAAAGTTCTTCCTGTGATGTTCGCAAGGTATGTACAGAAAAAGACCTCCTAAGCGCTCGAGTGGGATGGATTGGTACTCAACGCAGAACCCCTGCCAATTGAAGACGAGCTAGTTGAGCCTTCAGATACAAAAGCGCGTAGGACTAAAGCCTAGATATTATTTAAGGAAAGGTTGCAGCCTCTGGGTCATGATGTGCTACAACCGGGGTTTCAGCTGGCGCTTCGAGGCTAATATGGCCAGCGAAATATGCAGGTGGGTCTCGAAGTGTTCGTGTTCGTGGAAGCCATCATCACCAGTCGATTCTACGCGCCTTCTCGGGGCTCAAACACTCCAAGGGATGATGCATCGAGTTCACCATTGAGCTGATCGTCTTTGTGGAACGGAGATGGCAATGAAGGGGTTTCTGCGTGTGTTGACATTCGCTGAAACCGCCGGATTTGAGACATACTAAGTTAGAGCTCAAATTGATGCTGACTGCCGAGAAATATATAAGAAAGATTGCTCTTCTCCATAAAGTTGTCGCTAAATAGTGGGGTTGACGTTCAGCCATGTGAGGGCCTTGGGGAGCTCAGCCTCGCCGAAACGCAACGCTGCCTGACCCGACCCTACAGTGTATTTTTAAACAGTTTACCCCTCAGACTCACACTCTGCTTCTCGGCCCATACCCGTAAGATTGCACTATTTCTGGACACAGGGGTTACCAGCAAGAGTGGATTAAGCATTGTTACCAGTGACATACAGCCGCATGGTGTGAAATTAGCCTTGTGTTTTGGTTGCTTGGGTTGATTTGGAGGAGCTTAGGTTCTATCAAAAGGACAGCCAGTATTGAGTGTGATTGGTTTTGGGTTAACTCTCCTCGAGGTGGAAACCAGCTGCGGCACAGCCACGGCGCTAATTTGGCCAATATATACGCAGGTCGACCCCAGTGGGTTTGTTAGTATGATACTTCTAGTCTTGGCGCATTACTAAGATGATATATGACCGCCTTCTTAATATAGTATAGACTAATACACCCCTATTTCAGCACTCTTCACAGATACCCCTTTTATTATCCTATACACACACCCCGCGCATACACTATGGCGTCTCTCCACCATACTTCCAACGAGACTATTCCTCAGCCACCACAAACCCCTAGGCATAATGCCACCCGTGATCAACGTATCGCAGCGCGTACACTACGCGCGAAGGGCTACACCTATGCTCAAATTGCGGCAGACCTTCATATTACACAGCGTCAGGTTCAAAAGGCTTGCACTGATAATAGGCCTACACCTCGCAAGCCCCCTGGCGCGCGCCGAAAGCTATCAGAAGAACAGCTAGATGAGATTATAGATTTTATCCGCACTTCCAAAGAGACACGACGAATGCCTTTCTCTCAGCTTATACAGGAACTACACCTTTCTGTGGGCACTGAAACTCTTCGACGGGCCCTCGCAAGGCGTGGATATCACCGATGTAAGGCCCTTCGAAAGCCTCCTTTATCTGATCGTACGCGAGCATTACGTCTGACCTAGGCATTGGAGCATGTGAATTGGACTCGTGAGCAGTGGAAACGAATACTTTGGACGGATGAGACTTAGGTTACCTCGATCTATCATCGCCGGATCTTTGTTACACGCTGCGCCGGCGAGGAATTTGAAGATACCTGTCTCCGTGAGCGTGTATCTCGTACACCTGGTTGGATGTTTTGGGGCTCGTTTTATGGCGATCAAAAGGGTCCTTGTCTATTCTGGGAGAAAGAATGGGGGACTATTAATAGCGAGCGATATACGGACCGGATTGTACCTCTCATTGATGGTATGGTTACACTAGCGCGAAGATCAGATCAACATATTATTGTGATACAAGACGGCGCACCTTCTCATCGCAATCTTTTGACGATAGAAGAGCTTCACGAACGCGATATTTATCCTATCGATCGGCCTCCATACTCACCTGATCTAAACCCTATTGAACAGCTATGGGACTGGATGAAGGACTGGATAGGTGAGCGCTATTTAAGGGCGTTTGATCGGATATTATCCTATGATCAGCTTCGTGAGGTTGTACGCGCCGCATGGGATGCAATACCAGAGAGCTTTCTATCGCAACAGATTGATCTTATGCAGGCACGCTGCCAGGCGGTAATTCAGGCTAAAGGTAGTCATACACCTTACTAGAATATAGTGGTTATATGCATCATGAAGGCTAGTAATATAGTGGTTTATTTACATACAAGTGTAAAAAAAAAAGCGGCAGTATATTAGTCATTCTAATGGAGGCAAGTATCGCACTAACAAGGCTACTGGGGTCAACCTGCGTAGATAAACATGCGGAAAAGAATTTCTTTGGGTGTCCGAGATGGATTCCCATGCCGACAGCCTTTCTCTATCACGTGATGGAGCCTATCTGCGACTAGACACGTTTCCGAGGATTAATTATCTCATTGGTCATTATGGAAGGCGGTCGGGAACAGGCAACAACAGTGATAAGGGATGCCATCAAACCCGCGGTCTACTCTGCGCGAGAGATTGTCTCTTAATTGAAGTATACAGAGCAAATACGGCCAGCACAATGTTATTCATTTTTATGCACACTATCAATATTGCGCCATTGACCGTGCTTGCGCAAGAGGCTTGAAACATCTCTAACCCTAATTGTTTAAGCCTGGCAAGTGTATTCCCTATCCTTGCCTGCAGTTCAAGGGTGGGAAGACATCTGTTCCTGTGTTTTAAGTTGTCCGTTCGCTCTAGGAAATCAGTTAGACGGATGTTTAGCACCCGAGAATGTCCCTCCTGAAGCGGAGCCGCGGATCCCCAATTCTGCCGGAGCAACACCAACGTCCAGGTCGCCCAGGGACTCTTTGGACCACGCGCGAAAAACCCAATGAGACGGACGAATAGGATCACTATGCGGAAGGCTTGGCAGAGGTAGCCAGTGGAATAGGATCGGCAACAAGGAGTGCATCATCGGCCTCCTCATATAAGTGGAAATGTATTCTGCTATACCTGGAGTACCTGATATGCTTCAGTGGCATGAAAACTGGTACAACGCTAGGCATAAAACCAGCCGGAGAGGTCACAATCACAACCCCGGCTTTCTGATTGATTTTTTACCTCCCCTTTAATTGCCGCGGCATATAGACGTTCAATGATGTTCATTCCTTGGTCATACCGAGTCAATCGACCTGCCTTTTATGTACACGCACTTAATTGATCGATATCCACTAAATCACATACGCAGTCCCATCGCCATGTCCTTTTCTAGACGTAGAGTAAAGCGCCTTGGAGACCGTGTTAGTCTCAAAGCGTCACTGGTACAGCAAGCACTTTCCTATGGGCGGTCAGACATTCCGAGGTTACCCTTTCTTCGCAGGAATTCTGTGAAGTTGAACGACGCTTATGACATCAATCACCGGAAAATAAATCCGGGTCGTGCGTGTTTTATGATAGGATGATTTTCTTCTATCATGTCACGCAAGAAACGTAACGGTACCTTACCAAAGCTTTCGGACTCTTTTTCCGGCCAAGAACCCCGCCACCCGCTTCTGCTTGGAGACACTTTCCTTTTTCTAGGACTTATTCATTGGGATTGTCAAGGCCCGAGTTCAACTGGTTGAGTCTCTATACGCAAGCTACCAGAATTATGCCCTAACCGCTAGTTTCAGATTGACTGTAACAGCCTTACAACGATTTCCCTTCAAGATAACACCATTTTGAGACGCTATTCCACCCTTCCGACACCTCTGCCTCTATGAAAAACCACGGAAGGGCTGTCAACCCACCTGACAATAAACTAGGGCCCGGAAATAGCACGCAGAATGAACTGCCTGATGCTTCTAGCATTGAAAATTTCCCCTCTACCTTGGTCGCCAACACAGCTTCAACATTTGTGACGGAAGGGGTAAAAGGGGGCGATTCTGCCAATGGCAAAGTTGCCATCCCCCGTCAACGATCAAACACCGCACCGCGATACAATCGCCGGGCACCTCGGGCTTGTGAGTCTTGCCGGAAGCGCAAAACAAAGTGTAGTGGCGAGATCCCGGTGTGTCAGCAGTGCCAAGGGTTGGAGGGGACATGTCTTTATCCATTAAAGTCGGTGGAGAAAATGAAAAGGTAAGTCTCTAGCGTCCTGGACACCTTGGGTCTAGACCTGCTTGTGGCTGGCTTCATGCTGATTGATGACTACACCTAAGTAGACAAGTCATCAATCTGTCCGAAAAAGCGCAAGTTTACGAGAATGTATTAAAAGACCTGGGGAGTCTAGTAGATACGCGCATTGCCGCTCGGATCACGGGCTTACTAGACAAGGCTCGTGTCGTCTGTGTCGCTAGTCATTACTTGTAACTGACGCATTATTTCACAGCATGACTCAGACATCCGCTCGTCTCGTTCTGCAACCTTACCCGATGAGCTTATAGATGAACCAAGCTCGCCCTCGTCTATTGGCTCACTTGGCGATATTGACCAAGTGGGAGAAGACTTGAACCGCAATGAACATTCAAGAGCAACTGGGTATATGGGCAAGACCTCCGAGATAACATGGCTGCAACGTCTCCAACGAGGAGCCCAACATCATTCGCACCAATTGTTGTACCCCTCGGAGTATGGCAGAAGCAAGCGGCAAGACGATGACTTGGCCCTCTATGCAGTAAACTACCACCTAGACGAAGAAGACATATCTGTTCCCGAACCGGTGGACACATACGCTGTTCCGCCTCGCCAGCTAGCAGATAAGCTCCTCGATGATTATCTGAGGACTGTTCACCCCTTTTTCCCCATTATTCATCGACCTCTCTTCACCGCACAATATCGGACTTTTTTCGACGGCAATGCAAACCCCAGTGATAAGTGGCTTGCTATCCTAAATATGATATTTGCCATTAGCGCGCAGCATGCCCATCTCATCAGGGCTTCATGGCGCGGAGAGGAAAGAGACCATCTGATCTATCTAACCCGGTCCAGGGTCCTCAGTATGAGTGGCGACGATCTATTTAGTCACCCTGATCTCCAACAGGTTCAAGTGGAAGGCTTAGTTGCATTTTATCTCCTGTCTTCGGACCAGATAAATCGGTTAGCAATTACTTCCAGCAGTGGTAGCCCGGAGTCTGATTATAATTTCCTAGCGCCTGGAGAATCTCGGCTTTAGCAGTCCGATCAGCTGTCGCACTAGGCATCAACATGAAAAATGAGAGTCCCCGATTACCTGATATCGCCAAAGAAACCCGCTATCGAGTCTGGTGGTGTCTCTACACATTCGAGCATCTTTTAGGTATAATGACTGGCCGGGCTACTTGTATCCTAGGTGACATCTACACCACTCCTCTGCCACTTCCTCTGGAAGATGATGAGCTGTCAGGGCCCGTGGCTGCGGAAGTTCTTAGTGACACGCAACTCAGAGATAAGCGCATCAACAACATCATGGCGAGCGCATCAGTCCGACACATACCTCTCAACCCAGCCAAGGGTGCGAATACCACAAATCTAGCTCGCGTCCGTGATAACGTATGGGTGAAAAGCCTGCCTTTTAGCTTCAGCCTCTGCCATCTTTACTACTGCGACCTAACGATTATCGTCCAGGAGGTCATTAACAGAGTGTATTTCGTGGACAGTGTTATGAAGACTTGGGCTCATATTCTGAACAACATTAGGACCTTAAAGGTTCGGATTGACATGTGGTACCACAGTCTTCCAGAGATATTCAAATCATCGAAAAAGAAGGATGATGCCCCTGATTTGCTTCGCTGCAAATTAGCTTTATATCTCCACTTCTACAGTGCACGTATCACGCTTGGGCGGCCATGTCTCTGCCGGCGCGATACGCGAAGGAAAAGTTCTGCGAATAGATCGACTTTCAGCAGCGATATAGCAGAGCTTACTCTACAGTCTGCAAAGCTTATGCTTGACCTTATCTCGGATGAGCCAAATGTCATTGAGCTCTACGAGCTCTCCCCTTGGTGGTGTATCCTGCATTATCTAATGCAGGCAGCGACAGTCATACTTCTGAAGATATCGTTCTGGGACGACAAAATACCAGAGGAAGAGGCAAATTGTGTGGACTATGCCAAAAAGTCAATAAGATGGCTCTATGCTATGTCGGAGCACAGCATCGCCTCGCAGCGCGCCTGGCAGCTTTGCGATATTAGTTTGCGGCGTCTAGCTACCGGTACGGGAATCGCTGTCGACGACATGCCGTCAGCGCCCTACTTTCAGCCCGCACCTACCTTTACGCTCGGCTCCCACCACTACTCTTCACGGGGGTTTCAGCCCGTCTCAGATAGTCCGTGGGATTCACTTTCAAATGACCTTTCTCTGAACACATCGCACCTTCCGATGTATGACGCCTACCAGGCTTGTCCCAATATGGCCACAACTGATCCCACGGGGTTGAGCTCGGATAGCTCTCACGTGTCTGACCATTTGTACTTTCCCTATGATCCTATCAGTGAGGAGTTTATTCGCTCATTCTTCCCGCAGTCGAGCGAGGACAGGTAAAGAAACAAATGCAGGAGGCTTAGAAGACTTTTATCGAAGTATCTAGACCGTGCCACTAAAACATTCCTTGCAAATGACACCTACGCATTGTTTCACCGATAGACTAGGGTCGCGTAAATACAGCCGGCGGCACCACCTTTCCCAGCACACTAGACGAAGAAATGCGGGTGTTTTAGGATTGTGGCTTTGCTGCATTCGGCTTCTTTGGCCATTTGAATTGTGATCAGTGACCGGCTCCCTATCAGGTCATGTATAAAACGCAGCTTTGAAGAGAGATGTATTGGGGCCATATTGCAAGACTGGTGTAGAATATCGCTCAGAGCTACTGTACAGTATCAACAGAAGAAGCCTCTTGCTCAGAGAAAGAAAAGCAGAGTTGTATCGTATGTATAGCAAACTTCTGTAATCTACATAAGGGTATGGTTCCAACCGCGTCATTGAAATATAGCTTCTATTCAAGGAAGGAAAGGGATCGACGATAAACCATACCTGGATTAGCATGTTTCAAATTAGGGTTGGGGGATGATTGTCGAAGAGTGTGGAGGTAAATCTGATCTCGAATACTACTATAGCATTCTTGCCAGCGAACATTCTCTAACAGATAGGTAGAGCGAGGGCGAGACTATAAGGTATGAATCCCAGAGCCCACAAGCCTTGGCCTTCAACTGCCCGTCGTAGCGTGCGCTCTGCGAAAGCTTAATCCGAACTTCTGTTGCTTCTCTCATCACGGATCGTCAGAAGCCATTAGTAGGCACGCGAAGCTTGCAGCTATACAGCTCCCATATTGAGGGCAATAGCTCCACATCTTGTCGGCAATATAGTAGAAGTTCCGGTTTCAATAAACGTCATTGAAAACTTCATACCGGCCCCCTTTTTGGGAATCATGAAGCCGCTTGCCTGTATCTTTTGTAATCTGCCACAACTCTTAGCAGTATCAGACAGGTTTGGATCGTTCTTAATGCATTTGGCCAAGCCAGCTAGAAATTTCTTCGAATAATCCCGTGTCGCTAGCCCCAACAGAATGCATCCGCACCTTGCGTGTGGACGTCGATAATGTAGGTCGTGGAACGAGGGACTACATGAAGTAGTACGAGAGAGATTGAGCTAAGCCGTCCAAGATTGATACCTTCAAGGTCGAAATATAGCGAAGGTGGGTCGACTGGAAGGCCGACTAAGACGTCAAGTAGGGGAGGCAGCTCGCGGTGGTCGGAGATGACGCTGGTACTGCTCTGCATTTTTGCAGCTGGTCAAAGTATGGTAGGACGGAATGAATGTATGGCACGAATGTATGATGTATAACTATGTTGATTAAGTGATTTTAGTTAAGGAGGCGCATTGTCAGCTGTCGCGACCCCACTCGCAAGCTGATTGGACTGATACCTGTCAAACCTCCGTGCCCCTCCTCAGAATACTTGAATTTCCCCACGCCAGCGTATTAATCTGCGTATCAGTAACGACTCTTTGCGTGAGGTTTCCGTTGTGAGCTTGTCCTTAAAAATCGGTTTCGACGAGAGCGCTGCTTCGAGGACGGGCAAGGAGGTGAAATGGTGATTTAGACAGGTCAAGCAGAGTAGACCAATGGTATAAGTAAAGCGAAGTTGCTGAATTGGTTAACAAACCAAGGCAGTTGGGATTTTCTCGGGCAAGTTAGCATTCTGCAAGAGGTATCTTTCGTAGATAGCTCTAGAATCGCGCGGAGAGGCTAGCAATTGCTTGTATGCTCTGAACTGAGACGCTCGGTCGCGTCGATGATGCGCCTGGTTGGGATTCACATGACGGGTCTTGGTCTGTTGTCTGAGGTCTCTCGGGACTGACCAAATGAGATCGATTTTATTAGGTATTCGGTTGCAATTGGATAGGACTAGCTATGGCTGTGGCCTTGAGTATAGCTATATATCGTGATCTACGCAGTCGCATGGTCGTGACTCCCGTGACTAGTACTAGACGAAACTCTCATACAAACAGCCTGTTCTATTCAGAAAACACTACTTTTATTATCATTCGAGTGTTAGTCGTAATAAAGCCAGATATTCAAAGTCATTATATACATTTATCTTCAATGCTATTGGGATTGCCGGCATTCTTTTAATTCAGTCTGCCCGTGTAAGCTTAAGTGTCTCGCTGAGTTGCTTCTAAATATATCTCCGTAGTAGTACAGTACACTATCAAACTACTAGTTTAGACACATTAAAGACCATGATATTCGACAGGCGGATTTACTGTCGGAAGATATGAATAGACTAAGTAGGGCAAGAACATATTCTTTAAGATCCCACAATATCTACAGTATAGTCAATGTAGTACAGTCACGCTTTAGGGTCTTCCGCGAATCCGAGCTAAGTAGCCGGCGCGCGACCGTGACTTACGCAAATGAAGGCGCGTTGACTAGATCCTGGCCTCACAACGCGAAACGACCGAACTGGCTTAGACTTCAGGTCTACTGTTAGTATCGATAGTAAAGTGATGGTAATGACAGCTAAAAGCATATACTATTGATTCTGGTGATCTTGCTGCTGTTTGTGTCTCAACGGTTAAGGCTACGGTTGGTAAGTCAACAGCGGACTGTGAATAAACCACTTTGTGAAAACGTCGAAACTTAGAACTCTAGGTATACTTGGTGACAGAGAAGTGTTTGCTGAGGCCCGATATGCCTATACAATTCGTCTCTGTCAATCAACGTTCAATAACAATTTCCCGTGAACTTGATACACTAATCTAGTACGGCCGTAGAAGTGTGATCCGTTGACTCCCAGTCTGCAGTTGACTTTTGCTTAATACAAAAGGAGTTGAGGCAGAGGGTCCAATGTGCCTCAGTTTGGGTAAAACTCCTCACTAAGATAAAGACTTAGCTAAACCGGTGTATAATGAGGTAGACGGCGACTAGAAAATCCAGAAGTCTATAAATACCGCCTGCTGCCCTAGTCTTCTGTTGGACCAAACACTGCCTTTATTAGAAAGAGGGATTCCTTTTAGTCCTCTGAGAATACTATGCTGCAGCGAACCTATGATAAGTTCTTCCACGCTTCTACAAGCTTTTCTCAGTACTGACGCGACTAGAATATATCATAATCATATAAGTTAGCCAGTTCCTGTTAGACAATAGATATATGGGTTTTCAGTCACTATAGGCCAGCTAATTAAGAAGGCAAAGCTTTTGCCTGGCCTAAATGACTCTAATATGTCTTCTGTACGGACAAGCGCCTCTACTCAGGTATATACCTGCGCTAATCCAACGTCAACCTCTACCAGCTTTTACCCCTTGATTTCAGAACGTAGGAGACTGTCCAGCGGGAGGTATATCTACTCTTATCCTGAATCCATTCGATACTATACTAATATGGCAGATACTGTGATCGACCCAATCTATATGCATTGAACCGCTGCAGATGAGCGCAACGAGTATCACAATCGTACCCGACCAGCGTCGATTGAGATCATTCATTAACAACTACATATAAGCCAGCTTTCCCTTCTTAGAATCAGTAGCTAGTATCTGGCAGAATGTGCTTTAGAGCGAGACCCCAAGCGTTCGATTGCCCCGATACGAGTTGGGAACCCCTTTTTTTGGATACTCTCTTCAAGTCTTACGCACACGTCGTCGATATCTAGCATGATTCAGAAACCTGGCAGCGTGTCAACAACAAGACTACAGATGGGCTCCACCACGGCTTTTCAACTGACACCATGCCACCACTGCAGCTACCTCGCACGTGGTCCTATCGTCGGCAATCAGGTATGTCTGCCAAACGCCATTAGTCCAAGACCGTTCCCTCCGATCGTCGGCCACTATATTATCGTGCAGGGCAGGAAATTTAGAACAACATTGCATATTGCTGCAATAACAAGCATCGCCGGCCGATTCAAGCCAAGGACGACATCTGTGTTATCTCAGCAGTCTACTGGCCACCGTGAGGTACGCGCGGGTGAACAGAGTCGAATATGAATAACTGTGAGTATAGCCTCATATCATCCGAAGCATACTGATATATTTGGGGAGCCGCCAAGTAGCGTAGGAATTGCCAAGTCTGCGGGGCATACCGCCCTCGGACATGTACAGCGCGTCGTGCACACCCTCACCGCCTTGCCGCGCGACGCGATCGATCCGCCTGGCCATGTTACTGAGGATACCATGCAGCCACTCCCGACCGAGACGTCCTCGAGACGCCGCCACTCGATCTTCCATCGATCAGCCGTAGTAAGCTGACAACGAGCACCGACACTATGTGATATATTGCCTTATGACAAGCGGCTCAACATCAGCGAATTTCCCCGAATCCTTTCAGCGAAACGAGGTCGAATGACCCTCACCTCACGTTTTCAGGCGGGCAATCTTTCTTCGCTTCTTCGAGATGTCTTGTTCACCGAAGTCCCGCCATCCGCATGGGCTAAACAATGGCAATGAATTCCACCGCATCGGAGCCACGTCCTTGCACTTTGTCAAATAATACGCAATCGAAGCAAGCCGATCTGGGAGACTCCATCATGTCCCAGCACCAGACCACTCTCGACTTCAATGATGACTTCGATGACTATATCAAGTGACAAGTGCCTCGGAGCATGCGACGGCTGTCGTTACAAGAGATACAGGCGACGGGTTCAAGAGGCCGAGGCTGGTACTCTACAACGGCAAGCAACAGCTCAGACGAGAGAATGGACGATGCAAACCGCGTGTTCAACATGAGCACCCCTGCGCCGACTATTGATACCAAGCACGAGAAGTGTGGCCTCTGATAGGACAATTTCAGCCAATCGAGGTGTCGTGGGCCTTCATTTCCCGAAAAACGGAGCTACATATGTGCCTGACGAGATCTGGCATTCTTCTGAGGCAACCGGGCATAAAGCCGTTGTGTATCTTTTCACCTGCTGCCTCAAGGAAAAATCGTGTGGGGCTAGAAATATCGAGCGGATTCTAGTCATGCGAGAGCAGCGTTACGAGAGAAAAAGAGCAACATTCCAATCTTTCGGTGATGCTGCCGCATCATATTAGTGCAAATTCGCCTTCTCAATTGGCAGAAGATCTTGGGACGCGTTGCCAGCGGCCGCAAGTTCATCACGTGATGAAGGGGCCAGCTTGGATTTTGCTGAAGACAAGTCGAATTCAAGATTCCAAAAATCAACACGCAGGTTTTTGCATGATTGAAAAATAGAGGATTCTCTGTGTTCGGCGATACCAGTATCACATGACAGAACGCTGTGGTTGGGCGTGGAGAGCTACGAGAGAAGTGATTGTGGACGAGGAGCAGATAGACTGGAATCTCTTTAGGAACGGCAACCAGAACAGACCCGAACAACGTGTACACCCCTCAGGGCTGGCGTGCCGCATTCCGTGCATCATGACCGGCTCAGCTTCCATGGCTTTGGACTTTACATGGCAGATCAGACCCGCCATCGGCCCTGCCGTCAACTCCAACAGCCTCCGGATTATTGATCCTTTTTTATTTGTGTATAACGAATGGCCCTTGGGAGAACGTCGGCTTTGCTCGGAATTGATGGCATACTACTCTATGTCTCACATCGCTCCGTGCTGCAGCCTGAAGGGCTGTCTTGAACCTGGCCTCTCCAAGACGCTTGCATTACCCCCGCTAGGGACATGGACGGCCGGTTCAGCAGCATGAGCCCATTGCCGTTCTTTGAGCCTGCAAGAAGCCCGGGGACGATGGACTAAGGCATTCCTCCATATCAAGGGGCTGCATAGGTAGCTCGCAAGCTGATGCTGAAATTTCCAAAATCCGTCGCGGAGCCATGCCATTGACTGCAAGCGATGATTGCAGACGCTTTGGACATGTACGATGACTGAAACATCCTCTGCGACCCTTTGATGTCTAGGATCAAGTTGTTACTTCTCTCACGTTCTTTCTTTCACGACTCTCTCCGCGAGATGCTCTATCAGAAGTAGAGCTGGGTGTTGGAACGATACTCAGACGCTCTCATGCCGTTTTGCACTGCGCATACCAGATCGCCCACCGTGTTCATACCTTCATTATACCCACCACACCCTGGTTGGATACTCCAAACTTCTCTCGAAACTATTTTCGGACCCTTTGTATTCCAAATGTTGGCACAGAGTCCCTGCTAACCTTCCACGACAGGTGAAACACTAGCTTGTTCTTACCATCGGCGGCGCCTCTGCGATTCAATAGTGAGGCAGCTGGACAGCAGCATTCCTTGCGGTCCCTCCCCTTTCCAAGTGAGTGTTAGTGGAATTAGAGGCTAAGCATGAAGAACTCGCTGTTTCGCCTGCTGGGGGGTTTCTGCCTTCGGCAAGTTCATGCCATATTTCGCAGTGGGACAGCCCCTTGGAAACTCTATTATAACTGCAGATAAATTTCTGCGCTCCTAGCTCTACGCCTCACCGGCTCGGTTCCGTTGACAATGCCTCTCCTAGCCTAATCGAGCTTTTCTTAGAGCATGGGCTACTTTCTAACACAGGGTTACAGAATCTATGGCTTTTACCCGGAAAATACAGCCCCTTGTCCTCTTCTTTGATGCATGGCCCGGTTCTCGCGACTTGTTTGTGACCTGTTTCGTGACCTATTGCGTACTGTAGATCTGGGCCTGTGAATTGAGTGTTGCCCTTATAATTGACCTTGAAAGTAGCCGTTTCTACGAATTATGTTTTTGCAAGATGGTTGTATGTTGTGTATTCTTGTAGACGTACCTACTTGTCCCTAGACCGAGGTTGCACATATCGCTTTCATGACAGCGAAGTAGCGATGCGGGCGACGGCTGGCAAAAACGGCTGTAGTAGCCGGGGCGAAAATCTTTGGAAGCGAAAAGCCAATAATTAGTTCCACCAAAGTATATCTCCAGAGTCAATACTTGATATAAAAGCAGTGATCTAGTGTTGGGATTCAAGGACTGGCGATATGCTCAGTTAGGCTGTGTATACCCTATAGTGCAATCTCACCGTGTGATTCACCATTACCACGGCTAGTTATTCTGTGGGTAGGTTCGTTCACCACTCAGCTGTTCATTTATGTTAACTACTCACTGGTCGACTGTCTATTTATAACTTAATTATCTATTCACAACTTAACTATCTATTCACTAGTTAACTGTTTATTTACTAGTCAACTGTTTATTTACTGGTTAACTGTTTATTCACTGGTTAACTGTTCATTCACTGGTCAACTGTTCATTTATTGGTTAACTGTTCATTTACTAGTTAACTGTTTATTCACTGGTCAACTGTTTATTTACTGGTCAACTGTTTATTTACTAGTTAACTGTTTATTTACTGGTCAACTGTTCATTTACTGGTTAACTATTCATTTACTAGTTAACTGTTCATTCACTGGTCAACTGTTTACCAGTGAAATGTCTAGCTACCACTTAACTGTTAGCTTACTACTTAAATAATCGTTTACTAACTAACCGTTCGCTTATCACTGAACTATTCCTCTCTCTGTAGAACTCGTATTGCGCTATAATGTGTATATGTGAATCTAATAGGTAAAGACTGTGTAGAGGGTAAGGTGGCAGTTCAACCTCTAGGCCACTTTCACCGCTCAGTGATTAACGTAGTAAGTTATCTTTATATAAACCACCACTATCAACTTTAAGGACGGCTAACGTTCGCTCACCGTTGTCACTTACCGTCTTACCGTTATCACTCACCATAGTCGCTTACTATTAATACTCCCGTCGACACTTATGTCGACACCTACGTGAACGCTTATATTAACACTTACGTTAACACTTACTACCATACTTATTAATATACATTTCTGTTCGTTCTATGCCTCTATAGCACATATATTCTATTGCGGCGGGAGGGCTGTCGGACCTTAAACTATCTAAGAGAGTTGGTAATACAGTATCCGATAGCGGAAAATTTAGTCTAAAATTGTAGGATTTTAATTGATTTGTATCTATCTAAGGATTGCCCTATCCTTCGGGATATAGATAAGATAGAGATGTTGCGTAGGTCTTTGCTTCTTCGAAGACTCTCAGAATTTTCGAATACTAGTCTCTAGCACCATAGAGAGGTGCCTATACGTCGCTAGAGGCCTTATTATCGCAGCAATCCCCTGCGGAGCACACGTTTATAATATAGGGCTCGTTGGCTGTGAGGGAGCATATACTTATAACATAGGGCTCGTTAGCTGTAAGGGAGCACACGTTTATAATATAGGGCTCGTTAGCTGTGAGGGAGTATACGCTTACAACATAGGGCTCGTTAGCTGTAAGGGAGCACATACTTACAATATAGGGCTCGTTGGCTGTGAGGGAGCACACGTTTATAACATAGGGCTCGTTGGCTATAAGGGAGCACACGCTTACAATATAGGGCTCGTTAGCTATAAGGGAGCACACGTTTATAACACAGGGCTCGTTACTATGAGGGAGCACACGTTTACAACACAGGGCTCATTGCTGTGAGGGAGCGCAGGTCTTATATCGCGGGGCTCGTGGCAGCGACAGCCGTGGCCACGGGAGACTCTTAAGCCTACAGATAAGAGAGGGACACCATGGCATATCGGAGTATAAGGAGCGAAGTCCTGGTTTTTTCTGGGCTAGGAATATGGCTCCTTTTATGTCCACTCGGCTCCGTCTCTACGCAGCGACCGCTTGCGCACATCTTAGTCATGTTCACTGCTGGTCGATATATATTAAGATGTTTAAACGGACGTTAAAATAGCCGTTTTAAGAGTTGGTGGCCGTACGAGGCACGTCTTAGCTGACCCGCGGTTGGCCTCAGTTCGCCAAGAGGCACAGTCCCTTATTTCCATAAAAATCACCCATCTAGAACTTTCTCGATTTCTACGGTGAGATACATTCGGTAATTCTGTGTGAGAACACTACGAAGAAGAGACTGAGTTCATAGATCTGCACCGCTGCTGCAATTAAATCGCGCAATTCACATGGTATTGAGCAAGATTGGGTGGCGAAGACTAGTGAAATGAGTAGTCAAAAGCAATGGCCTTGACCGTGATTTCTGTGTACCAGGGAGGGGTCAACCCTATTCTTTAGACCAACCTTTGCGTCCTTTTGGCCGCAAATTTCTCATATTTTTTAAAAAAAACTTCACGGTCACAAGGACGGTACCTCAGGACTCTGGAAGACTGTTCCAGCTCAGAAGACTTATGACGAGATGTTCAATAAACGCTGCAAAAGTTGAGTAGAATGAGCGATTTTGCAAGAATTATGTTATAATCAACGGTCTTTGGTGCCCCAAAGTTTATCTTTGGGTAATGCCTTCTCTCATAAAAATCAATTTCGAAGTAACAGTGAGCGTCAAAGGCGGGTAAATAAAATGTGCTCAAGTGATTGAAATACCTTTTAACTCAAGCGAGAACTGAAATCTACATATCGTCAAGTTTCCAGGCAAGAAGCCCCTACTTGATGTAAGCTTCCTTCTATGAGAGACATCATTCTTATTTAGGATCTCGTTCGAGTCATTGATGACATCTGTTAGAGCATATCAACGTCCGCTGAAATAGAGAAGGCGATGAAAACCTCGAGCAACCAGAACCATACTCGATGACAACCGAACAAGCATGCTGCCATCAATATCAGGCTTCGAGGATCAAAACTCATTCAAGAAGTCCCCGGAATACCTGGTGGTTCGTCTCATGGAGCCCTAAGTCGAGGCACCTTTTGGAGTGCAAGCTGGTCCTCGACAAGACCGCATAGATGCCTGCGTCTTTTTGACACTCTTCACCTCCTCTCTGAGAGACCTGAGGTCGCAAGTGAGCTTCTCTATACTGTCAGAGAGAGTCTCGATATTGCTGGCAAGGTCCCTTCGATGACGACTTTTGACCTTGCTTTCCAACAGCCTGTATGTATCTTGAATCAGCTCCTTCTCGAACTTGAGCGTCGATGCTCAATACAGCAAAAAGACAAATAGCACAAGACAAAGCAGACAAGTGTACTTACTTGGCTCGCTTGATAGCTCTGGTAATGCATGATCAGAGATATAGAAACGAAGGCGGTAGGTGAATAAGGAGGGCAACTTACTGTCTGGACGCAGATTGCGAGTGGTCAAACGATCTGGTGGACAACCTCTCGTCTGATTCTCTTTCTCGAGTGGGCGCTGATCGGACCTTCTGGTAGTGCCTTTTCTCAGGTCGGCTGTGGTGAGATAACTCGCGGTGGCGGTCGGTCTGGATGGGGTCAGAACAGGACGTGATCCCATCTTCATGGCCGGAGCTCTCCCCGCTCATATCTTTTTCTAGCATCTTTCGAAGTTTGGCAATATAACTTCCTCGCTGATACTGAGCATCAACACGTTTTGCCATTGGCACAGCAATAGGGAAATCAGAGAGATGGGTAAACCTAGGGCAGAGAGATGTTGGAGCGTCTCAAGTGTGCTCAGAGATGGAAGTGTGGCCACGCCTCGATTGATCCGTGACTGGCCTTTTTTACTGTATGCCAAGAGATCACGCGCTTTGGTTCCATTGGAATCACCCATCTCTAACCCCCTACATTTTCTGCGAAAATCGGTCCCCGGTGTAAAATTGACTCTTGCCTTACTGGCTAGAACTCGGGAACTGACACGATACGACGTTCCATTTAAGCTTTTCGCTGCCTGCCGATCGTTAATTTTTGCATCCACCCGCGCCTCTTTTCCGCCCAGATCCCATTACCCTAATTTAACTGTCAAATACCAGGTCCGAGAATTCACAAAGTCAGAGCGTTATTCGGAAACTCTCACCCGATGAAAACCGTCTAAGTCATCGCAGCCGGGTATGCAAAGGCAGGATTAGTTCGACATACATTCCTTGGCAGTCCGCTTGTGGCACAGCATTGTAAATCGCACGACCCGCGGAACCCTTCCAATTGACTTTCGCTAAATTTAGCTGGGTCGGTCTGTCTATTATCTACGAAGTGGCAACCTTGGTTGAGCAAAGCGTGCGAGTACCGTAAATTTCTAAGTGGAACTCGCAGAGGGAAGCTTCGCAGCGCTTACGTCGAGTTACCCTCTGATGCGTGACTAAAACCAGACAACCTAAGACATGGAGCGTGGACTGTATTCATTTCTGAGTTCTCTTGTTGCCACATCAGGAAAGCTGCCTGGGGAGTTTGGGGTGGGGAAAGCAGAGCGAACGACGATCAAGCCACCCAGTTGTGGGCCCTGCTACTAACCAAATCCAGCGGCCATGAAACCAATGTACTGTGCTTTTCTTGCGCTTGCCAGCTTTATTTGTCGAGAAAGCCTTGCATCGAAGAATCCCACCAGAGTGGTACATCAATCGACGTATGGAATCTATCTTCTATTTTCATATGTTGTCATAGCATGGCAATAGTGCGAGGATGCTGTCATGAATATTTACTTGTGAGGTAACTTATCATCCAAACAATGTAGACCCGCCAAAGTAGGTTCCGGGTTCCATACTTGACCACCCGCCCTTCACACAAGCGAGCTATATACATTGGCCGGAGCGGGCTCTTGCTGAGTAACCTGCGGGAGATTACCCGATGCGGAGAACCCGGGGAGGTCACTGTGACTTAGGGTTCCCAGTGGGCCGCCCTGCTCGGTCCAATCGCCGTGGATCACTCCGGATCCGGGCAAATAAGATGCCAGCCTGCGGTTCTGGAAGGCCTCGGTCGTGTTCCAGAATCGCGTGGTCGCGGACACCAGCTCGCCATGTGTCTGATGCAAGACTAGCTGAACATCGTTCCATGAGACCTGATCCTGCATCGTGGCGTTCGTGGATTCCACCTGCTGTTGCAGTTGACAGAGTTCCCTTTGCAGTCTCTCGTTTTCAGCCACGGCGGTTTCTCTAACTGTGATGGCTTCCTGTAACTTGGAAGTCTCTCTGGCCTTTTCGGCACGCAGCTTTTCCAACAGCTGAGAGTCACGGGCTCTCTCGTCATATTTCTCTGCGAAAGCCAATTGAAGATCCTCTTGAAGCTTGTCCATCATAGCGAAACATTTTCGATGAGTGGTTTCGCGGTCTTTTCTCCGGGCCTGTTTCACGGAAGGTCCCTGGAACTATGGTCAATCCAGAGTGTATAATATAAGCCATGCTGAGCGCGGTCGTAGGTATCCCAAGACATAAAGAAGCGATGAGGAGACAAATATCAACGTACCGGTTCCTTGTAAGTCTTTCGTCTGGGTCCGAGAGCGTCACGGTCCGTGTGAGACGCAGAGGCTGCCGACCGAACAGAACAGGGAGATCCGGCACGAGACCCCCTAGCACGCGACGTGGCTTTGGAGATCCCATTGTCCGGTCCCCTGCGTGAGACTTTGAGGTCCCTTGTCATGATGTGCCTTTGAGAGGGTACTTAATGGTTCGGCCAGTCGTAAGAAGATTGAAAAGGTTCATCGGGTGACCTCTTGGGGAATTGAGCTTTTAAGAGCTAGCTGGAGAGTCAATAGACAGATCTGAAACGAGGTCAAGGCGCAGTCTGTCCCTGCCAAGCAAAGCCTGCCAAGCAAATGTGCCGGCATCAAGATCATGAGTCTAGAAACCGGAGTGGCCACTTCCACACCAGAATCCTGTGGGGTGCTAGCGCGAAATATGATTAGACTGCCATTTGATGGTGGATGCAATGATCGACCGGCCCGCAGAAAAATCGACATCGATGCACTTAGTGATGCCGCAACATTAGCTTGAATACATAATGTAAAGTTGTTTTTGTACGCAGGAAAAGCCATTCAACCTCACTATGATGGCAGTGCATGTTTCGCCCTACCTCCCTTCGACATGTACTATCTAACTGATCTATAGTGAGTTTCGCGTTTATTTCAAGAGGATCGAAGTTTCAAATCTAACTTTGATTGACCAATGCCATCGTCAACCATAGCAGATCGCTGCAATATCCTTCTTCATAGCCCACCAGGCTCTACATCGAAGGATCTAGACCTTGCTGAAACAGGCTAGGAAACCCGAGTGTAGTACCTATGGCAACCGCGTAAGGCATTTCCTCCCGCCAAGGCTTATTATCTGGGATCCCTATCTCCATCGATTGTTACCTCCTGTAAAATCATTCTCCAAGGGCACAGGGACTTAGCAATCACCACTGCCACCAATAAAGTACCACGTGGGAGAGAAGAACCACGGAAATCCCCTCTCCAGTCTGAGCTCCTATGGAACCATGCGAGTAAGGGGCCTCTGCCTTAGGAGCTATAACGCAGATATAGCTGGAACAACTGAAGTGCTGGGGATAATGTATAACCTGCTGTATCTTTATCTATTGCCCGTCTACTGGGTTGTCTCTAATTATTCCTGTTGTACTATTTGCTTCCTTTTCTGTAGTCGACTTCGACCGCTAAGTCGATAATACTTACCGACAACTACTGCGATCTTATACTTCTATTTGATATACTGAGGGGACTAGAGATATTATTTCTAGGTTATAATAAAAGCTGAGAGACCAATTGTAATTAATATTATAGGTCCGAGTATATATAGATCCGGTACTCTACTTCCTAGGCATACTAGCAAATGCCCATGACTTTATCGACTAGAGGTAATTATCAGTAGATTATTACTATCTAAAGTTACTGTATAGCTAGCTATATTATTGTGATTATGACTCTCGTACCCCCGGTATAGTTATTAGCCCTCTGAGTAGTGATTTGAGTAGTAAGTCTAAGTAGAGGTCTGCCGATAAGGTATCTGATTGGTTATAAAGCTGAACTCTAATTTATATATATAGACGTATTTTCTTACCGACCGAGTGTTTCTATAGTCCGAGATTTGTTATTAGTACTATCTAGATGATTTTTATAGATCTTATATAAAATATATAGCGAGGTAGTATCTACGACTACGCGGTTCTAGAACGCGATCGATACCTTCTAGAACCATAGGCTGGTATCCTATTTACTAGGCTCTAGAATAATCTATAGAACCTAGCCTAATTAAGGCGGCCTACTCGGAACTCTGTTACTATACTCCCTAGGATTCTCTATATCTACAAATCTCCTACTAGTTACTTAGGAAGACCCTGCTCTAGCTAATACCTACAGTTTGCTTATAATATAATATTAAGATATAAGATAAAGTCATTTAATAGTTAAATACTAAGTTTTATTATATAAACTTTTTTAGGGGTGAATTTTTCTAGTAAGTAGAGTAGTAGATATATTAATTCCCTAGCTGCTAAAGTCAATTCGTAGTAAGGCCTATAATCTAGCTACCTCTATTACTTAAAATCCCTACGTTTTTTTCTTTTCCTATATAAAACGCGATATAAACTTCTATAGTTCTATCTATAATAGTGGTTCTTATAGATTACTTATAAGACTATATATTCTAGACTCTGCTAAGCTTTTAGTCTACTACGAGCTATATATAGAGATTTAGGCTTTACTTATAGGTTTCGTATAACTTCAGAACGCACTTACCCCTCCCTAAATAACGGATATTTAAAGGAAGGTAAATTATAAACTAATATTATTTAATTTCTACTAGTAACTTAGCTGAGCTAAATATAATTAAAGTTAATTATATAAGTGCCTGTAGATTAAATAATTGGTAGTACTCTACTATAGGCGACTGCTAAGTAATATAGTGATATATAGGATTTATTTATATATTTTATTTCTAGAATATTCTATAATTAATACTTTAGCTTTAGTGATTCTTAAACTCAGTATTTAATAATTAGGTATAGGCCTTAGGGATCTACGAAGTAGGGAATAAGAAGTAGATAGGCTAAAAAATGATTAACTAGTACTAAAAAAATAAATAGTAGATCCTTATATCAGTCTATAAGGTCTAACCGGCTAAAGTAGGAGCTAACTTTCTATACTAGGGACCGATTCTAGAGTCTATTATATTTTATAGCTATACTAATATAGTATATAGAGAGAGAGTCTAGTAATATCTAGTACTAAGTAATAAGATATATAGATATAATATTTATACCTATTTTAAGGAACAGAGGCTTTTAAAGGATAAGAGCTAATATAGAACCTTAATAGGAAATAGAATTAATTATATTATAGCCTCTAGGAACAATACGTACGCCTAGTTATATTACCCTCGGCTATAGTATTCTCTCCCTCTTTAGTTATTATTTCTATAGCTACCTCTATAACTACTAGCTAACTACGAATCTTATCTAGGTTACTGTAGATAGTTTTATTCTAGGTAGTCTGATCGCTTAGTAAATTCTATATAGACCTAAAATCCTATTAGTAGTATAATTCTCTCTAGAGGGTAATAAACCTAACTTTATTTAGGTATCGAGTCTAGTAATTATTAATAAGTAGGCTATAAGAATTTATTATAAAGTAGATTATAATACTTACTCTACTATATATTAGAAAGTGATTATATTTACTCTTTCTAAGAGATTAGGCTCTTATAGTAGGCTTAGCTCTACTCTAAGTCTTAGACCTAAGTCCTAGTTATATCGAGTATTATCCTTAATACTATATATAGCGTTACCCTATCTCTAACGGCTAGTGTAGCTATTCTCTTCCTAAGTAAACTTGTTATTCTCTATAGTATTACCCGAAGCCGATCTTAATAGGCTCTAGCGATCCTTAGGCTTAGATGATAATAAGGATAACGCGCGGTACAATCGACTCTAAAAGCTTTCTTATCGATCGGGGTAGGGAAGTTTTCGAATAGCAGCCATACTTATATACAAGTAGTGCTAGAATATTAGAATAAGTTTCTATAACTCTACTATATTATATAGGTGACGTCTCGCTCTTTATAAATACTAGTTTATATAACCAGAGCTAAGCCATCTACTTATTTATAACGAAAGGTCACTAGGCCCACTTTCTTCTATCTATACTTTCTACACTCGCCGCTTTATCTATTAGCTAAGTAATCATAAAAGGTAAGCAAAACTTAGGCTATCGGTACTTACCGGTAAAGTCGACTAGAATTACTAATAGATAGAGTACTTTTCTACATAATATCCCTCTAGTCTAATTATATATAATATACAGTAAGATCCGGTTAAGAACTTATTATTATATTAAGCGAATATCGTTAGGTCTCTCTAACTAATCTTCCAATAGTACGCCGATAAAGTAAGAACCCGTTGAACTTAAATGTCTGGGCTTAGTTAAAATGGTGAAAAAGTGAAATATAGGTCTAATAGTTTAGTATCTAGACTCACTAAATAGCTTAATAAACGGACCTATAGGTTATAATTAAGCTTTAAGTAATATCTTATAAGGTAGCGATATTCTACTCAGCTTTTAAGTAAGCCCTAGAGGAAGTTTAAACCTTACCATACCTATCTAAGTGATATTCACTGTCCTACCATCATTTTAACCGGCCCTCCTACTACTACTATTTAATAAAGAGCATGTCTCCGCGTAGTACAGTGGGCTGGTCCAAATGGGAAGAAGAAAACCTTCTTCCTTAGTTAGATGAGAATCGGACCTTGTTATAGAAGGCCCTATAGGATATATATTATAAACAGTACGGGGTAAAGCGAAGCCCTGAATCTCTTCGAGGGAAGATATACCATATTCTGTGGAAGTAAGGCCCTACGGTTGCCCGACCTTCTGAAGATACAGGCCGCCGAAAACGATTAGGAGCCATTTACCCGCGGGTAGGAATTAGGCGCTCACTGTCAAAGCTTCTAAGCAAAAATGCGGCCTAAAGTAACATCGACCGGTGGTTTAAGACAATTCTCACGACCGACCCTAGCCCTACTGACAGCAGTAGCTCAATGAACTCAAAAGGATTAGCATTAGGTACAAAACGGCCTTAATACATCTCTCGGTATATACTGACTTTCCTTATAGAATGCGCAACGCCAGTGCCTACCTACTTAGCGCCTAAAGAAAACCAGTCGTTGGGTTGGATGTGGGAATATATACATCGTGTTTACGCGACTGGGAAGCTAGATTTCTAGAGTGCATAGCATGGACCGATTGTCAGAAGTTACCGGAGAGCAGTAGTTCAATGTTATCTATAACAAAGATAATACGTGATAATATGTAAATTAAAATAGCACGCGTCACCTCGTAGAACAAATTAGAGACAAGATCAATCCTTAGGCCTTGAACAACAAAAATGAAAGGCTGTACTGCAAACTATGCCGTTCAAATATGCTCACTGTTGTACTTCGTTTCATCTAATATTCTCGATATGCCTTATTGGCCTCATCGCCTTGGAACGAGACTCGTTTTATCTTACATCGCTCAGACAGGAGTCTTCGCAAAGCGATGCAGTTTCTCCCCAACGTGCGCAAATAACTCTAATGGTGCGGTTCGATTCCTCATCTGCACCAGCATTATATTACAACAATTACAACACAATGATATGTTTTATTTGCTTGTAATGGGAGGGAAATAGCATATGATACCACTTGAAGTTATGTCGTAGTTCCTTTCAGCTCCACAGGATCAGCCACATCCATGGGTCGAGCCCAATCGCCTCGAGTTCACCTACTCAGGTACGCGCGGGCCAACTTCCCTCCAGAACTGACAGCGTCCACCCCGTCCCCCCTCCCAGCTATTCGCACTCGCTAGACGAAAGTCATTTGTGACCCCAGGTTCTTCACGAAGCCAATAAGCAAGATCATTAGTCACCGTATGGTGTACCAGTTTCCCTCCCGTCGTATTCAAATTCGTCATCATTGGCGACGAAGCATTCCACGGCGGCCAAATTATATTACCATCCGAGTCCTCAGGCACGGTGGCATTACTTACATCGCCCTTCGCATCCTGAATAGAGATCACTGGGAAGTCATTGATAATAAAGCTTCCCCACATTTTCTGGACGGCATGCCTGATACCTCTTGTTGGTGTTGTTGTGCCAACGGAGAAATACGCCGTCAAGTCTGCTCTATGATATGCCGGAGTGACCGAGTACTGATACAGTACTTCCAGCTTTCTTTGTCGTTATTCCCGGAAAAGGCATCCGCCAGCCAATAGGAAGGGCAGTCGAAGGCTGTCTCAGCAAAGAGGTTGAACGCCGTCTGTTGGTAACCAGTTGCAAACTCTGACTGATTTAACGCAGTAGGCCCACGATCGCCGAGGGTATTGTAGAGAGAATCGAGGCGGTCGGGAGAAGAGGAGGAAGCAAACCCATAGAGTTCCAAGAGGCGACTGAAATCCGAGGCGATGAATCGTGGAAATGCACCCTTCACGTAGGTCATAAATTCTGCGCTGGTCCCCACGTTCGGCAAGCCAAGAGGAATGCCATAATTGGCGTTATTCTGCGCGAGGTCAGCAGGTGTACCACCTATGCGAGCTGGCTTCCCCTACACCCATGCAACCCGGTAACACTTACCCCAGACAAGACACGTTTACCGCTCACTCGTTTCTCCAGCAGTTGTTTTGATGGAAGCTCTCGAATGAAGTCTCCATCAATGACAGGTGGGAAAGCAAATGTTCCCCAGGCCCCTGAAGTTGAAATAAGCCCGCTTGCATTTTGTAAGGTGTTGGTGTCTGTTTCCATCAAACATGCAAAGGTCCGCGGACCAACACTTTCGTCGCCGGCAAGGCAGCCTGCCTGTCGGGCAAACGCTCGATAATGTCCAGTTGGTACGTCGTCGTCGTAACGATACTGGGTCACAGTATATGGGCTCGATGCGATGATCTAGAAAGGCAAGAATGGATCAATGCGCATCAATGCTTAAGGAAGCGCCTTACGTTGCTGAACAGGTGATCTTCCCGGCCACCATAAGCCATTGCTTGTAGCATCGCCGCACCTGCACCCGACGACTCACCCCCGAGAGTGACCCGAAAAGGATCACCACCAAATTTAGAAATATGTTCTTGCACCCATTCGAGCGCGGGACGCATGTCCAATAAGCCCACGTTTGTCTGGCCATACTTTGACACGTCTGCCGAAGCCAGAAAGCCAAACGCACCTAATCTGTACTGGATCATAACCGAGATGAAACCATCTTCGTTACTATTAATCCATTCACTCGGATCGTAAATCGCTCCATTGAGACCATAGCCTCCACCGTCTATTGCGAGCCTCAGCTCAGGTGTCCCGCATTTGAGCTCCATAGGAATTTCAAGACGGACATCAACTTACGGATCCAGACAAGAACAGGAAGATCTCGCCCACCTGGTGGCGCGTAGACGTTCAAAAATAGACAGTCCTCATCACCTAATGCTGAGTTGAACCCGTAGATCTTAGGGAGCTGTGCGGCCCCCGATTGAGGGCAAAGTGGTGGCTGCTCAGTTGCGGGAATGATAGTGGTCCGGTTCACAAGAGAAGGCTGCGGAGCTTGCCATCGCAGCCTTCCGACCGGAGGAGCCGCATATCGGATTCTGGCGAAAGCATGAATGTATCAGTGCGTTAGAGTGACATTTTTCCGGTAGTAGGTAGTAAGCTACTTACCCTAAGAATACGTTCAGACCCGAGGTTCTGTTATAATATCCCTGGTATTTCGCGTAACCCAAATCCACCACGGTTTTGCTTTCATGCAGGCGTTCCCCTAAACAAGCTGTTATCAATATCACGATCATACGAGGAATGCTGCCGAGGGAAGCGAGGAGGACCATAGCGATGCGTCCGCCAGTGGCTAGGATATTAGAGTTGAAGAGAAGGAGAGAGAATATGTGTAGGCTGTGAAAGAAGAGAAACTGGATGCTGCTAGTCCAGATACCGAGTGCATATTTATACAAAATTTTGGTAGAACAAATGGCGGGCCCGTGAGTACAACAGTAACATACTGAAATAGGGTTGGCTCGATGGGACCCTGAAAATGCAGAACTGTTTAAACACTAACACAGAGAATACACACAATCACTCGAATGGCGAGAAGAGTGGTGAGAGTGGTGAGAAGAGTGTAGAACTTGCCTTGTTTACATTGTGAGGCCATCTCCAAAGAATGTCTAGATAGCTTGTTACTCAATTTGCCTATACTTTACATTACGTTCAAGGTGCTCGAATCAATGTATGGACAATATAGTTCTTGGCAGCAGTAGTCAAGAGTTGAGAAACAGTGAATGGGAGAATTAGCTGGGTTGCTCAGCAGAGCCAAAGAAACGGCGAAGGGGAAATCTCAACGGTAAGTACCAAAGCTAAGCTGAGCTGCTAACGAAGATGACTTTGTTGAAAGCAAGGCCCACATAACGTACCTTTTGTTACAGTGCGTCATCCATGGACCTCAGGTATAGAAATGTCTATTTCTTCCTTTTAGTTTGAAGGCTGTTGAATACAGCAATCGCCCAAATTCACCTTCACCCTCACCACCTTGGACTAATCGAGTCTAATCACTGGTGAGATTCTAAGAAGAATATGCATAAGAGGTGATATTTCCAGGGTCCTTAATGACCTCAAAGATAATCCTGATGGCGTGGATTCTTTCCTGGTGAGCACTAGCCTCATTATTCGATCTATCTGATGGATGCTCATCTATTTGTTTGGTCCTGGAACCATCAGGTGAATCTGATTTCTAACGGCGGCGAGGAAAGCTGATGGCTAGAGTGTAAAGTTAACAGCCTATGAATACCTACCTTAAGATCGCAAGACTTATAAAAGACCACATTACCACCAGCTAATCATTCTCCAAACAAAATTCTCTTGACCAGCGTCATAAAATCTCAGACATATTACCCCGGAGACTATCTGATATTCTCGTGATCACAATGGCTGCATACAAAGTCTCCATGAAAGCCATTGACGAAGAGTTCGAACGTCTCATGAAAATCCGACAAATTGAACTCGCCATAGAAGACCGAAAATTTCTCAAGACTGCCTGGGACTCGCTGGCATCGAAGACTCTGGTAGACCTTCGAGGACCTATGAACAGATCGCTTATCCACTACGCGTCCATGGGTGATTGCTCCGAGCTCATAAGATACCTGCTGCTCAGCAACGTAGCAGTGGATGCGCGTGACCGGAACAAACGGACTCCTCTCTCGTGGGCTGCAGAGTATGCTTCTTTGAATGTTGTGAAAATTCTCTTGCTCAATGGAGCAGAAATAAATTCAACCGATGACATGTACACTACACCATTAAGTTGGCTGCTAGGAGCAGGACCATTGAATAAGAGCGCTGAAACAGAAGCTTATTTGAGAAAGATGGGAGGGAAAGAAAAGGGGATGAAGCGACGGTGGATTCTGAAGAAATTGCACTTGTTCTGACGGAACTGAAGACCATTCTCAGCCGCGTAAAACGACTCGGCAGCTGTGGAAACATGATAGACCGCCCACTTGGATGGAGCGTGATATATATACACGCCAAGGAGGTCTCTTGTATTGATATTCTGTATATCTAGTGCATCATGATTTACTATGGCATGCTTGCTACAGTACTTAATACAGTTGTTGCAATTGACTCCACCACTGGTAACACGATCCAAGACTTCAGATATTGGTAGTAAATTTCCGTCGAAGGGGTCGAATCTTATTTTTCTTTTCGTCTACATTCTACCTACTGACTGACTGGTACAGTATGAGGAGTAAGCTATCTGGTACTGTACTTTCTGTGAACTCACAAAGAGGTCTTTCACTCTTTGCTTTTCATACGTTTTTCGACGTAAAGAGCAAATTTGACCAGATGAAGCCGACCAAAGTTGTGCGAGCTGCTCTCCAGCATGTTTAACGCTCAATCCCTGCTTTTCAATAAAGTCACCTTCATTCTTATGTCTGCTTAGGCCAAGAGACTTCTGGTAGTCTTAGTATGACTACCAATACAATTTCGAAGGTGACTAGTCTCACTGGTTACACAAAGTCGCTCAACTTCATGTTCGATATCTGACAATTGAGGCCAGAAAATAAATAGTAGAACCGGTCACCCGGATGACGAGCGCCTAAGTGTGAAACTGAAAGCGAGTCCGCATCAGTGAAGGTCTTTGGAAGACTTTGCTGGAGTGTAAAGTCGACTCACTCTGCCAAGAACGGCGTAACACGAGAATGGACCCATGGCATAACGATTCATCTTGATGGGTTGGCATTCGAGTATTCATGTCTGGCTGGCCTTGTCATGCTTAGTCTGGTTGTATGTGCACTTGTAATATTGGTGGCCAAACATCTCTTAATGAAATGATATAGACGATCATATGAGGCGAAGAACTGATGACTCGGTATATCGCCGAGCTCGGTTCTCAGGACGGGCCCAGAGCCTATTGAACCATGATACACAAGACCCGCATACAGTATCGTCTATCTAAAGACCTCAGCTCTGAAAGGTCAATGCTTGGAATGGGCAAATCACTCCTGGAGACCCAATTCGGGTTCCGAGAGCCTCTGAGGGCCCCACGGGAGCATGGATGAAGGATCAATGTTTTACACAGCTACAGTGGACCCCGAATACAATACTGTACTTACCCGGGGGGCGAGGGGGGGGGTGGGAAGGGAGAAAGGCAAAGAAAAAGGGGCTCTCACTTCAAGGCAAATTAAGATTCGTCATGTGAATTTGCCCATAGCCATCCTCACTCATCGTATATGCTTTATTATATCTTTCATAAAGCGCGAGAGCAGATCTGCTCCCAGGGCTTTTGACCTAGATCCTCGAGTCAACTACAGGCCCCTGGGATCGAGAAACGGAGTTTCAGGATGGGCTTGCCTTGTTTGACGATACAGTACACACGAGGCGTAAAGTAAGTGTAAAAATGAATAGGGTATTGGGCCTCATCGTTTGTTTTGGCTCTGTTGGACGCTCATGGCGTATATCTTGTGATTGAAAGATATTAGAGCTTTTATTCGTACTAATCAAGCTGTTCTTCATCGTGTGCCGGGTAAACATGGAGCATAGAAAATCCTCTTCGCCACTGGCATGCGCTCCGTTAGGTGGCGATTTGGTGAGTCTGCATGCCTGAGAACCCCCCGCGTGGGGCTGACGATGTTTATTGTGCAAACCTAGGGAATAGCGTAATGTTCCAATGATATCAAGCAAGGAGCAATGTAAAACCCAGTCCAATCATTAGAATTGAAAATGTGATGCTCCAAAACGGCCATGAGATTCCGGAAAACATAATTCCCATACTCCGGGTCATCGACACTTCAGCAATTCCAGTCATGTGAGAAGTCGTTGTAGGACTTGTAAAAGTCTCTCTATCGACAGATTTTGTGGAAAAATCGGTGCCATAGGTTGACTTCGGTTCTGCTGGAACCACTGAGATGTTCATCCAGTTGAGGTCCTTCGATTTTAGTGTGCCGTGAACAAACATTGTCTGCTGAGCCTCACAAGACGCATATGTTGTTCCGGTAACGTCACAGGACACAGAAGCAGTACTGAGATGATGTGGTTAGCATCAATGTTCTCAATAAGGGATTCACCCGGTCACAGACCTGTTCCTTTTGTTGATTTGTCGCAACTCAGCGGAGTTTTGTGCAACAACTGCCGTCATCCCTCCCTCAGGAATACCGCAGGCAGAGGCAGCCACAGTCTGGGGACAGGTAACCAGAAAAGTTGTCACATCTCCGTCCTGAGACCTAATAGATTACTTGCCATGTTCTTCCACAAACGGAATCACTACATCACATACCTGTGTTAATATGCTCGCTTCAAGTTGACGATCTTGAAATCCGGGCAGGAGAAGGTTGACTGCTTGCGCCGAGAAAACACCTGCCATGACCAAAAAGCCGATCCAGTCATTGAAGAGCATGGTCACTGATGCCTTTATTTGCGTGAGAGTCTTAAGAGCTTCCGTGGAGTGTTAATGAGACTGTTCCATGAACTAAAAATTAATTGGATATCTGCACTCATATATTGATGGTCCACTAGATCTCTTATAGTCACAGTTGAGCATGAGCACTGAAATCGCTTCCGGTCAGAAATTTTTCCTGGTGAAAAGCCAACGGCTCTTCACTCACCACATACAAAAATTGCAAGTGTACCAATGTTTCAAATTAGAACAAGAAACGCCATGGAAATTGGGACTGTGCATCTGCATTTATGTTCAGATAACTTACAGTCGAACCGCCACTTTCACCGCTCCTCCATTCAGCACAACAAAACGCAACATAGAACACATCAACAGAGTTGCTTGCCCAAATCGAGCTAATCTAACAATATGAAATCAGATACTTTAAAAGAAAAAGCTACAATAAGCGGCGGTGTTGAAGTGTTGATGCTGACGTTGAACTCAAACGAAGTACTTCCTTTTTGTACTCAGTTCACAGTATTCAACAACTGTTGAGCGATTCAAAATTGAGTGAGGGGAGTGGAGAGTTTCCTTGCTATTTTTCAATTCCCGTCTTATGTCTATATAAGACGCAGCAGTATCAGAGGGCTAGAGAAGTTTTTGCTCTCTATCTTATAGTTACTCAAACCAGGTATTATTCAGAATACACACGATATGGTACACACAAGCCGTCCTAAGCGCCAAAGACCCCCCACCATATGGGCCGATGAAGGTGCAATCTGCCAAGAGGATTCGGAGCCATGCACAAATGCATCAAACACTGCGTCTACAACAGATCGAGCTGTGGCGGCAACTCCTTCCATTCGCCCTAATACGACCAAAAATGAGACACAAGGACAACTTTCGAAGGCCGGGACCATGTACGAAGATCCCTGGAACACATTCGAGCCAATTGCGGAGCTCGTTCTTGATCGGTCGCTTCTTCTTGCCCGACACAAAAAAGACAAAAGCAAACTTGTCCACATCCAGAACGTTGAAGCCAAGGCGTTCGCGAACGTTGAGTTCCAAAGAATGCTAGATGAGATCTCGCATTCAAGTTTTCGTTCGTTGCTTGGACGCTACCATCACAGGGATTGCGTGTTTTTAGTCTGGGAGCATGTGGAGGTTTCGGTCGGTCAAATAGTGGCATCGAGGCTTATGGTTACTGCGAGTGAGATCATCGCAATTGCAAAGCCGGTGAGATATCATACTAGCAAGTTAAGTTAGATTAGTCGCTGACAGCTAGCAGGTACTTGAAGGTATTCAGTACTTGGCCAATCGCGGGAGAGTTCTGGCCACTTTGACTCTGGATACTGTTTTCCTCACGCAATCTGGCAAGGTCAGAATTGGTACGTAAGGCATAACGAGAGGATGGCTTCTCAGTACAATCACTAACACTATGTTCGGCAGTGGGTGTCGAGAATAGCTGCGAGATTCACGCTTCGGAAATGGATGCTGCGACGTTGAAATTGTACGCCCTAGCAGATATTGTTATCAGGCTCATGGGAAAATGTCCTTTGGAACATAAATGGCCCGTCGAGATTGACGATTTGCCTAGTCAACTGAGATCGCGTTCCCTCGGAGAACTTTTGCAGGTGAATCTCCTCCTCTTGTAGCAAAGCCAAGACTAATCTAGCAGATGAATGTCTTTCGCCAAGTGCCATGCGCAGAAGAATTGAAATTGCTTGTCAATTTCACCAACAAAACTGCTTTCCACCGAGTCAAATCTCATTCCCATCGCATGTGAGAAAATGGGTATTCTCGAACTTGTTCTAACCGACATTCGTACCAGAGAGCCTCACAAGTCATGATATAGGTAACCGATTACTCTCAGCACTCTGACAGACCATGACTGTTGATTGCTTGGGAGACATGGTAACGCGCCCCTCGGCAGCTCCCTGCGCCTTCCTTTTGACGGAGCGATGTTGTTTTCTGACAGCCCGAGGTATACTAGCGATACCTGTTCAGAGCAGCCACTGTTATCATTGCAAAATCCCCTTCTTATTTTCGAATTCTTTCATACTCATGTAGTTATTGCCTGCAATTATTGCAAAAAGTTCCACTTCACTATTGTGGTAAGGACCTCGGGCCTCGCAGACTAATGTTTTACACCCTGAGCTGGCCAACATAAAGCTGAAAGCTTCATGAAACAAACCGAGGTGACGATGGTAAGCTTAGAGGAACTGACACAGAAACACCCTTAGACGTGGAATTGCTTAATCGAACACCCTGTTCCCTTAACCGTTTCAATAGTGAGCTGCCCCTATTAAGGAGAGCCTGGAAGAGTACCTCTAGAAAACACCATTTAGCATTGTCTACGGCGCTTCGGAAATTAGGGACTCGGTATTTTATGGACGGCGTCTGGTCTTGCTAGCACGTAGCACCATGATTCACTTGACAACCTCTTAAAATAGGCGACGCGCGTTTCCCAAAAGTGAAGACCCATATCGGGGCGATTGATTGACCTCGAGGTTACCGTAATGAAATTCAGCGGCTCACAACTCGGATATGTAGCTAGGTTCTGTTTCACACTCATTTAATGTTTATGGGCAAAGTGTGACATGAAACAGTACGTTAGAAAACAAAAGTTACTTGAAGTACTGTACAATTAGGGTAAACAAACTTGGATTGGGACTGAAACTCCAAAACCGATCACAGAAGCGATAAGCACTCAATGCTAAGTATTCTTTCAACCAGTTCCATCGGGCCATCCAAGCTATCGGGCTTCCACTATTCATTTTCACCAACATATAAATCTTCATTGTGCCTTGAGTGCGCAAGATTTTTATGATCAATGGTCCGAATTGCGATGTAGAGCACGACAAGAGCAAGCTGAGGGAATGCGAGCGAGAGTAGATGACGTGGAAGATGAAACAGTCTCTCCTAGAACACTCTTGGCAGCATCTGGAATATTTGAGCCGATGGCTGCCAAGGCACTGAAAGTAGGTGATCCGGTGCATGGTGGCTCGAATTCTTGGAGAAGATTATTCGGTTGACCATTGTACTCAACAATGCTTCCTGGCTGGGGAAACCGAATGTCCACTCCCTCTTTGGTTATACAGCCGTTGATGTTGGCGATGAACATGGCAGGGAAATTAGGCATTTGATCTTGCATACTCTTGCAGGATTGTGGCGACGAGCCACTGGTCACGGTGATTGGAGCGCAATTCATGTACATCTCACGATTCCCGATTCGGTTAAACCACGTCCAGGCCAAGGTATACTTCCCGAGGTGAATGCTCTCAGGGATCGCGAACTCGAGCTGAAGGCCATTGTCGGCAGAAGCGTCCCCGGCAAGATTCTTTCCTACATTCGCGGGGCAGCCTCCTTCGTAAGACTTAATGACCTTCCATTTGGATTCTTTGCTAGGCATTAGATCTTCCGTGAGGCTCAATTGGCATGATCCGCCGCCGTGAGTCGCACTGCCTTCGAACTTCATTGTATTTACACCGCCGATCTGGTAGATAGTCTCTGTTGAAGGGGCTGAAAATGCATCTGCGCGCAGCTTGCAAGGGAAATCACTACCGTCCACAGCAAGAGGCGAGTTGTTCAGCGTTTGATTGCTGTAAGGTTCGGGCGAAATCATGATTAGGTGTCCACTGACTGCCCGTAAGGCAATCATCTCGAACAGTAGAAAATATTTATTGAGCATCATAAGGGCGACAAGCTCGGTTGATTTTCGTTTTGATCAAATTATTCGCGCGCCACTTGACCAATCTAGATTCACGCAGAGGTCACGTAATTTGGAAGTCGGCGAAACTGTCAATTTATACAGGGCATGAGCAAGCCATAGCACCAACACTATTATTTTATCGAGGTCACTGCAAAGAGAAAGTGATGCGAGTCAATTCCTACTTGTCTGATTAGTGATACCACAAAAGATATTTGATTTGGAGCTTACACGACGGATATTGCGAGTGGGTTGAAAGCGAAACAGCGCAAGCCAGTTGCAGGAAGAAACAACGGCGAGAGACAGTGGTGAGCCACAAGGTAAAAAGTCGACGGACTCCCTGGCTACAACAGCAGTTGATTCAAGCCTGCATCCTTTTCATAAGCCCAACCAGCTTCGCCGCAAGAATGTAAAGTTAACGTTTCTGGTGATGCAACAGAACATTTAGTGTTAACAAAACACTGTAGGATTTCACAGACCGTTGATGATTTTCTAGAGGGTTGTTTCGGAGAGTTAAGGGCTTGGAATAACTCGCGATGCCCGCTGGCATTCAGTCAACAGGTATGGACGCACGTTTCTAGCTACTGAGCGTCTGAGACTCTGTATATTGATGCTGTCCATTGCGTCCTTTAGGAGATCACCTATCTCAACTTTTATCTAAATAACAATCACGTCGCTCGGTAGAATACACTTTCCACCAGGAACTTTTTTTGTCTTCGCTTTTGCCAGCATCTCACTAGGCCTTTGAAATGAGCACTCAAACAAAGTCGGAGACGAACCTGGCAGACTCAGTCAGCCAAAAAGCACGCAGAAGAAGAGAAACATTGTTCAAAAAGGCGACAGAATACTGTTCTGAATGTGTTGCAGACATTCAGCTTGTCCTTCGCATGAAGAAAACTGGCCAGGTGTACATTCTGACATCAAACTCAGAAGGCTGGCCTCTCTCAGAAGACCAACTGGTACGTTATTTCTCTCCTTACATCAATAGAAAGCTACACGAATACTTACTTCATATCTAGAGATTTTATCACCCTATTCCTGTTAAAAGGGTTTTGGATATAGGACTGGGGGATAGTTTTACTGAAGCTAGAGTCCAGACCAAGACTTGATGGACGTAGGAAAGCTTCTTAAAAACAACGATCTTACTAAGCTCATCCCCTATTTATTCTGCACTTTATAGTCTCTAGAAATCGCACTCTCAAGTACTTAATTGGCTATGCCCGTACTAGTCCATACTGTAACGACCACGTTCCGACAGCTATGAGCATTTTGATTATCTACCATACAGTAGGTATTTCAAATAGTGGAATGGGGATGGCTCGGTCACAGCCCCGCGGACCAGACCGGGCAACACCAATGAAGAGAACACAGACACCCACACTCGAGTTCTATAAGTGGCAGGAGGAAGGCTTCCTTAAAGAAGGGATCGAAATACCCTCATTATTGCATCATGAATCAGGGAATGTGTTGAGATCTATTTTGTATGAGATAGCTGCTTGCTCCATCCCGATCTCAATGGGGAGCATACCTTCGAGGCATTTGTAACACCTCAGGTCGCAACTCCACTAATTTGTGTGATTTACGTAACAGTGAACAGACTGAGCGCGATCGTGTTTTAATCTAGTCATTTTCAAAATTCTTCCTCTTGCTCGGCCACCGCAGTGACAGATATAGACGCCGCGATTGTAAAAGCTCGAATTCGCATTCGTAGGTAAGAGAAGTGGTGGCCTGGAACTGACTTGGGCGTGGTAGTCGAGTCCGGCATCTGTACGGTACTTTCATGTTATTTACATCGTGTAACGTTTTCCTTGAGTACTGTATATTACAGAAGCCGTGCAAGAGGCGGTCTGTAGGCGGTCCCAAGAGCGGTGCAACGAGCGGTGCAACGAGCGGTGCGACGAGCGGTGCTATGAGCGGTCTTGAGAGCGGTCTCCAAGCGTCCCAAAGACTGGTCCCCAGGCGGTCCCAAGAGCGGTCTCAAAAGCGGTCTCCATCCGTTCCAAGGACTAGTCCCCAAGCGGTCCTAAAAGTGGTCCCGTAAGGCGGCCACGGGAGCGGTCTCGAGAGCGGAGTTAATGAGGAGAATTCTCTTGGACGGCTTCCCAGGCAACTACAAGATGACCCCATTAATTGCTACCTGCCCGCTGATATATATGTAAACAAATCATGGGCTAGTATCATTTCGAGTCTCAATATAAGCTATCTGTCGCTGTGGAGATAGTTGAGTGCCAATAGGCTTGGGGCACACCGCCTTTGCACCTGTTCAAAATTCTAGTTATCTCAGTAATTCCACCGGTTCGGGAGACTTATTCCCGACACTATTCGACAGACACTTATCATTCATCGTAATAAACGCAGTGTAGCATGTTTAACAGAGCGTTTTTAAGAGCCTATCATGAGCTTACGCCGAGTCATTGACACCCCGAGCTTACCCTGAGCCTACCCTGAGCCTACCCTGAGCTAACCCTGAGCATCTGAGCCAATACTGTTTTCCACATTTGGCTTACTCTCCTCGACTCCACCAAAATATTCAATCTACAGAACAAGGTTGTCAGAAAATTATCTTCACATCATTTTACCAACGTGCTGCGCATTCCGTCTCTCATGCCCTGTCTTTCATCGAATATTAAAAGAGCACCATTCATGCCTACGCACGTCACGCTTATATAAGGCTCATACAAAACACGAGAAATGTATTCAAGGAGAGTTCAAAAATCATAGAAGCGATTTACAATTAGTTTAGTGCAAAGCCATGAATGTTTGACTACGCGATGTTGAGTCCAATACCCCCGACTTCGGTACGCTAGTTCTTGGCTGTGTGCAAAGACGGTGAACCTCCTCAGCATGTCTTCGAAGATGCATCTCATGCAGAAGGTCAACATTGCACATGTGACACCTTCGGTCGCCTAGGTGCTTCCTGCGAAAATGTCTCAGCGTCGACTTGTATTCGCTCCATTCCTGCATCCGGCGATGGTCTGGCTCCTTGGTGTTGCCGTAACACTGAAAACATCGTAGCGGTTTGTCAGAAGCCTTGATATGTTCTTCGGCCTGCTGCAATAGTACATCCCTCTGTGACATCCCGCGAGATGCGCACTTTATCTTCGGCGGGCGGATTGCATCTGATGTTTGCGTTTCATCGAACCCGTCATGGGGCGATGGTCGTTTCCGTCGTCCACGCAGCGGGCCGCCTTCTTGGACGGAGCAATACTGTGAAATAGCAGCTACCGCGGCATTTCGCCGTTCCCATTCGGCTTCCAGGGATTGGGAAGTGGGCCAGGTAAGCAGCCTTTCTATAAGATTGATCTGCTCTGGGGACATATGATCCTGAGTTCGGAGCAACTCTTTCGCGACCTCGTCATTAACAGCCGACCCGGATAACTGCCGCTTGATATCAATGACTGCCTGCTCTCGGTCAAAGTCCTTCCTTATCTTGTCTCTCAGCCTGCGCTCCAGTCGACCGAAGGTGTTCGCCACGTCACGCGTCAGCTTGTCTAATCGTAGTTGACTTTGGAAATTGGGCGATTCTCTGTGAGCATCCATTTGCTCGTCCCTTTGCTGCTTGGCTGTCAGGTATTCAGGGTGATTGCGAATGGACTTCCGCTGCTCTTCTGTTAAATGTCGAGGCCGCCTTTTGTCTATCCACCGACTCATGCGCGTGATGGCACGCATCAGGGGTTTGTTGGATTTGCGACCATTCATGATATTCTGCATATCAGTGTTGATGTGCCGTGGCAGGTAGTGATCGAGAAAGGTTTTGGTGTCCGAATGTTTCATGATCAGGTTCTGCTGCGCTTGGCTGACCTCATCGCTTTCATTCAGCATTTTTCCTCCTGCGTAACGGAATCGATGAGAAAACATTGAGTGCAGCCATCCGTGGATTTCTCCTGTGGTTTTCAGGCGGCCGGACATCGTTCCTGCGGGCATTGGGCGATCCCAGAGCATTTCTGGCTTCCCATTAACAATCTCTGTACGGCAGAAGATATAATACTCTTCGACTTCAGGTCGTATAGGCAATGGCATTTGCTGCCGTCCACCCTCGATTGACAGCCCTCGAAGCGTCTCCATCGAGGATAGCTCCGGGACTTGAAAAGCCTCAAGCCAGAATAGGATGCCAAATATGAATGTGTGAGGGCTGAAGATAAGCGATGGATCATCGATAATTTCGGGAAGCGGGAAATTGTTTCTGGTAAGTCTGTCTTAGTTCGATGGCTACTCGGAGAGAATGGAGAGCACGCACTTTTGAGACCTGCCGAGAAACTTCTTCGTGTGTTCCGCTTTGATCTCCACCAACAATATGGGAGGGCCGTCGTCAGGATCCTTTTGAATAGAGAACTGCAGGTGTTTGAACTGCAGTGAGAGCAGCGCACTGAGACGATTGATCGTAAATATTCCCAACATCGTGAACAGGCAAAGCTGAATACGCTCATATCCAAGATGGAAGCGCTTCTCCTGGGTACGGAGGATGGTCTCGTTGAATTCGGTCAAGTCTTGAACGTAGACCGGCTCCTTGCCGCGTTCGTCATCATCGAGCTCGAACTTGTCGACAAGGCTCCGAATACCCTGGGTTTGTCAGCTCGATCCAAGGCTTCTCAGAAGGTGGCTTACGGCATTGATTTCTTCGCTGTCCTCGGGGCTAATTTGCCTTCCATTGACTCTTTTATAGTAGCACCGAAACAACTTCCAGTCGAGTCGCAGGGCGCTCGCTTTCCGCACGCCTTTCAGATGTCTACCGTCTTTTCCCTTTTTGAGTTTGAGACAGAAATTGAGAAACCGATGAACGTCGCCTGGTGTCACCTGACGAATCGCCTCCTCGGCGCTCTTCCACTTGGGCAGCGCATCGGGCTCTTTATTTTTGACGTGACAGTACCTACACAAGTGTCAACAGGACCATAGCATGGGGAACCGGGACGCGCTCTTACGTTTGCCAGCGGGTTTGGATGCGAAGCATCAGTGCTTTGGTACCTTCTGATCGTCCATAGTCAAGAGGAATATTGGCAAGGTCTTCATCGGTATCGTCATCGGGATTGTCGTTACAGTCGAGGCTGAGACCAGGTCGTGCTTGGGGACTCACAGCACGTGGTGGATCATATGATGAACGCTTGCCAGCATCGGTGGGTGATGGCTTCCTTGAGGAAATTCGAGTCACAGAGTTGTTGGTGTCTGATGCTCCAGAGTCCTCGGTGGCCGGCTGAACAGATGCGCTTGAATCATCACCACCAGATTCTGGCGACTTGTTGGACTCTGAGGGCATCTCTTGTTTGGTCACGCGCCTCGTTCTCGACAACGAAGAAACTCGGTCTTTCACAGAAGGAAACGACCATGACAAGGGAACTTCAGATCACGTAGCGTAGTAGAAGACGGAGAAGGAAAGGCGAAAGGAGAGGAGCTGTAGAGCACGAAGCTGTGAGAGTTACTGAGCAGGATGGCGCGAGACGTCGACTCGTTTTATAACACCCCAAGCCAGAGGGCAGCTCCCCCGAGGCGTGCCTGGCTCAGCCATGTCCCCCGGGAGTCTTGGCAGGGGTTTGGTGTGACCCATCTGGGTTGACCGAAGAGGTGAGCCGAAGATGAGCAGAAGAGGATGGAAGCCCATCACCACGGGGCAACCGGCCAGGCGCTGGCTAGGTGGGTCGTCCGGTTTCGAGGACTTTACGGTACGAGCAACAAGAGGCCGGACGTGGTGGTAGCGGAGGGGTGCGTGGGCGGGCGGACCGGTGCCGGGCAGGCTGGATACGGCCGCCCTCCAGGCTGGATACGGCCGCCTCAGCACAAATGGTTTTTCTTCTGTAGTATAACCAGATTATTTACGTCCGGCATCACGAGTTTGAGACCTCTGTACACTCTAAGAATGCCCTTCTCGTCCTCCTGGTCCTTCTAACTGTACGAAGTAGTAATGGTGATCTGTGTCCATCGCGACCCCACCCAATTCCAGTTTTCCAATTACTATAGTTATTCAAAGGACCATGGGTGGTCAGAGAAGACACAAGAGGAAGACGAAGTCCCGTGTTAGTCCCGATATAGGAAGAGGCCACGGCTTGAAATGGCCTTGATGAAAGTTTTGGAAGACTCGGAATTTCAGAGTTCGAACACGAAAGTCGAAGTTTTTCTGGGATTGATATAAGTTGAAGGGCCAAGGCTAAAATATAGATGAATAGGAAGAAAAAGAGTGATCGGGTTTTCCCGGCGCTTAAAAGTGACACCTAAGGTTCGAGCACATGTAATTATTCCGCGGTATTCGCATAGGATGAAAGCTAGCGATTCTCTTGTTGAATACTGGCATGGAATTTTTACATGTCTAGCTCGATGGCTAGTTGATTTCTTTCTCCCTGACCTACTTCGCTTACTGAGCAAATTTACCAGAACTAGATAATCAAGAGATCTAGTAAATGAAGATATCGAATTGCACCATGAATGTGTGGATGGATATAGAAGTGCAGAGCTATGGGTTATCGGAAAAATGAAACACAGGAGCAAGTAATTTCTCTTTTACATGACATCGCTGTCTGATGATGCTCAACTTTGTCCCACTATTCAGCATACTTTTTCCTTAGGAGAGAGTAGCTTTGAGACCATGAATGTCTAGTTCTTCGCTGACTTCAAGCAACACACGTGCATCTTCTTGTACTAAAATAGTTGTACACAAAATATGTGTAGAGTTATCGTGACCCCGACCCATAAAAGAAGCTTTGGGACTACTTGCTAGTCGCCGAAACCCCCATATGCCCGAAAGAGCGGTAAAGGGGATCGTGCTGAAAACGGTGCTCAAAATGATCTTCTAGCTAACTACGTAGGTATGGATCTCGGAGCCTATGGACGACTTGTTTATAACGGATCCTTCAATGTCTATCAACATGTAAAGCTGGAACCACTCCCCGGGTGATATGTTCGACAGTATCGAGTTTATTCATACCTCAAAGTAGACTGGTCCTCAAGTCACCCCCGTGCTAAAGCTGATATTCACATCTGAAGAAAGTCAGACATCCGAAAGAGGCTGACGTTGTCTACCTTAGGATGACAGAGTCACACACCCACCCCTCACACGGTGGCGCACGCTTCATAAAGCATGCCAAGAGATCAGCGTTGGGTGACGATCGGATTGGACAACGTCTGGCAGAAGGATTCCCTCAGCTGGGCGGATGCTCCTAGTTTAGTAACCCAAAGAGATACTTCCCCAATCAACTAACTAGCTATGATACCTCGATGCTCTCGTTTATCGTCAATGATTCATCAGTGTGTGGAATGTACATTCGCGATTCGACGTGATGCAGCCACTCTAGGCGTAGTGACCTTGTTCATCTTGATCAGCTGGGTCAAAGTGTCCATTGCGACAGGCATGCTCTCCTGTATATATATTGTAGGGCAGGATGTAAGTATACCTATGTACCCCGTGCTCGCGACGCCACTCTGGACGTGCAGCGGCACCCCGGGATTCGTTTCGAGATGTTGATCGTAGGAAAAAAGCAGGGAGAGAGACCATCAAACCACCAGCACAACATGCCGAGCATTGAACATTCAGTAAAATATATTAAAGATACGCAAAATGACTCTAGTGGCTGGTGGGTCACTCTCACCTGACGCGTCCCCGCCGTTTCGATGGTCACCTCATCTTAAGACTCGGACCCTCTTTTCTCACCGTCCATCTTTTTGTGTTTTTGTGTTTTTGTGTTTTTGTGTTTTGTTTTTATCTTTCCGAAGAATATAACTTTTGGAAAGAGAATATGCTACCTAGTAAGTCGAGCTCCTTGATTTCTTTGCTCGTGTGAGTTGTTTGATGTGGATCATCTCTAGATGTCAAAACTGACTCCTTGCTAGCCCCACTGCATATAATTGAAGCATAAAGGCTTCTCGGCGACATGCCTCGCTCCCTTCCAAAGTCCAGTTTTGCCTCGCGCGAACAGGACGACACCGAAAACGTGCGCGTTCCCCAAACAGCTCCTCCCTCACCGAGTATCTACAGACGATCTCAAAGCTACCTCTCCGAAACACATACCGAATACCAGTCCCTCGATGCGCCGTTCGAGGTTACAGAAACAACGAGCCTCCTTGGGCCCGCCCAAGCCTTCCGCCGACGAGGTCCGCGACGGTCTTACACCAGCACCTCCGGGGTTTCGGACACCGGTCCGGACTCATTTAGACACGTTCTGGCGGCTGGTAGCCTGCGGCGGACGCTAAATCATAGCCGTGCCAACTCCATGAGTAGGGGGTTCAGCCGGCGAGGGAGCATGGACGGCGACAGCAGACCCGCTAGTCTTCCTCCGTCTATGAAGGACAATCTTACTGCCTCTTCATTTCTGGATGAACGGACTTGGTATGATCAATTCACTTCCACAGATTGGGTGCATGACAGTATCGCCGATGGAGCGCGGCTTCGCCTACTCCGTCAGCGGAAAGATGTGCGAGGCCGATTGCTGGCGGCTTTCGACGGTGCGCAAGGATGGATCTTGGTCGCGCTCATTGGGTGCATCACGGCCTCCATTGCTTACTTCGTCGATGTCACCGAAGGATCGGTCTTTGATCTGAAGGAAGGCTTCTGCACGACCCGGATTTTCCGCAATCGAAGGACGTGCTGTGAAGGGCTGGCTGCTTGTGATGCGTGGCGGTCCTGGTCGAGGATCTTCTCACCATCGGGTACAGAAAGCCAGTGGGTTGACTTTGTCATTTTTGTCTTTTGGGTTGTGGCATTAGCTCTCATATCGTGTGCTTTGACTCTACTCACAAAGACTGTTGTTCCTTCTTCCATTTCTCTTGCGACGCTTGATGAAAACCTGGGCGCTGACCCCCGTGGTACAAAATCTGGGAATGGCCTTGGTGCCTCGGATTCTCCTCTTTCGGAGACAGAGACAAGCCCACTACATGGAACTTTGCCTAATTATCCGTCCCGTCCAGCTATGATCTACTACTCTGCTGCTGGCAGTGGAGTGGCAGAAGTCAAAGTCATTAACAGTGGTTTTGTCCTTCATGGATATCTGGGCTTGAAGACACTAGTCATTAAAACCATTGGCTTGATTTTTAGTGTTTCGTCTGGTTTGAGCTTAGGCAAAGAAGGCCCATACGTTCATATTGCTACCTGCGTGGGCAATATCTGTTGTCGTCTGTTCGCCAAGTATAACAAAAACGATGGAAAGCGACGAGAGGTTCTGAGTGCCAGTGCCGCTAGTGGTGTTGCTGTTGCCTTTGGTGCTCCGATTGGCGGCGTCCTCTTCAGCTTGGAAGAAGTCAGCTATTATTTCCCACCCAAAACCCTTTTCCGGACGTTCTTTTGTTGTATTGCAGCTACGTTGTCCCTCAAGTTCCTAAACCCCTATGGAACAGGCAAGATCGTTTTATTCGAAGTCCGGTACCTTTCAGACTGGCAAATCTTCGAGATTTTCATTTTCATCCTTCTCGGTATTATGGGAGGCGCCGCTGGTGCGCTCTTCATCAAAGCCTCGAATCTATGGGCACGATCATTCCGTCGCATTCCAGCTATCAAGCGCTGGCCAATGCTTGAGGTTTTCCTCGTTGCGTTGTTTACGGGTCTTGTCAGTTTCTGGAATCGGTACACCAGGCTTGCTGTCACCGAACTTCTATTTGAGCTAGCTTCTCCGTGTGAATCAGATGTGGAAAGTACGGGCCTCTGTCCCCGCACTGACGGCATTCTTGAAATTGTCCAGGACCTTCTGGTGGCGTTTGTCATCAAGAGTTTCTTGACCATTATTACGTTCGGCATCAAAGTTCCTGCGGGAATCTACGTGCCATCTATGGTTGTTGGTGGCTTGATGGGGCGAATTGTTGGACATTTGATCCAGTACTGGGCTCTTAGACACCCGACTTTTTTCTTATTCGACTCTTGCCCTGCAGTTGCTGGAATTGAGTCGTGCGTGACTCCAGGAGTCTACGCATTGGTTGCCGCTGGAGCGACCATGTGCGGCGTGACAAGACTGTCGGTTACATTGCCTGTGATCCTGTTCGAATTGACAGGAAGTCTCAACCACGTGCTTCCTTTTTCGCTGTCGGTGCTCTGCGCTAAGTGGACTGCGGATGCCATTGAACCTCGCAGCATTTATGTAAGTTTTGAGATCCGCCTCGTAACTTAAATTTGACATTATACTAATTGAAACCAGGATCTCTTGACCGACATGAACTCCTACCCCTTCCTTGATAGCAAACTCCAACCGACCACCGATGCCTTGCTGGGGGATATAGTCCGACCAGTGCGGAAGAATCGCATCATCGATATCTCTGCATCACCATTTTTGCCAGCCACAGACCTCCGTTTGAAACTGGAACACCTGCTCATGGCAGGCGAGCTAGACAGCGGACTTCCTATTCTACGGGACGGTGTCCTAGCTGGTCTGATCCCGGCACCGGATCTCGAGTACGCACTAGATACGCTGGGCGAGGAAGAAGAAAATACGATCTGTCTGATGGCCATGGACGCTTCTTCAGCCGTCTTGGACAGCGATAACGAGGATGCCGACGAGGTGGATTTCAGTCAATTCATTGACCCTGTAAGTTTGGTTAACTTCTTCAATATCTTGGCCCATACTAATTTGTTTATACATAGGCTCCAATCGCTCTTGATGTTCATTCCCCTATCGATCTGGTCTACCAATGCTTCGCCAAGCTAGGTCTTCGTTACCTCTGCGTTACTCGGGACGGAAAATATGCCGGCCTGGTACACAAGAAAGCATTCGTGAAATTCATGAAGGAGAATAGCGACTAGGCCGTGGAAATCGGTCGACCACTGTACTACTTCTCATTTGCATTTTCCGGCGTTGCCTAGGCATTCTACTTCAATTGTTTGTATAGCCTTGCATATCCTCTCGTTTCATTCCATGTCTATCGATTATGTGTGCCTACTCAACCAACATTGGCACTGTGCATAGTTTTGTTGTATATATCTTTCTTTTGGACAGCTAGGCATGAAGTACAAACTTTGGAACATACTTGACTAGTCATTTATCAGGGAAGACCATATCCTACCCATGTCTAAATCAATTTTTCAAATCCAACCATCTGAACCTCAACATCCCCGTCCTTCTTCCACTCCAAATCAACACCCTCTCCAACCCACTCGGAAACCTCCCCGGGGCTAACAGGCCGCCACCCATTCTTCTTGTGAAGCCCATCCAACGGGAAGAATGTATCACACTCAAACGAAGTAGGCACATCTACAGCCCCCTTTCGCACAACATTCGTCATGACAACCCTAACAGGCCGACCACGTAGCTCCTCGGCACCCATATTCAACGTAGCATTATAAATCTCGGCCCCACCTATAACAAAAATCTTGCCAAGCGTCCCCTGCGCCCCATACACAGAGTCCAACTGCTCCAAAGCTGCGCCCAGACTCGGTGTAACAATCGCATCCGTCACCGGGCCCACCGGCGGAGCTGGAACAGCATCCTTGGGCGGCTCAAGAGCTTCCTTTTCCGCACTTGTGGCCTGTGCCTGAGCGGCCTTAGCCGCAATCTTTCTCCTCATATTCCCTAATTCGGCAGTCACGCTCTCGCGAACAGACCCGGATGTGTCACGCGTGACCACAACGTTAATGCGCTTCGCGAGTGGGCGCAGTGAGGCTGGCACTGAGTCATACGTCTTGCGGCCCATGATGATGGCGTTCGTCGTGCCTGGACCCGGTGGGCGGGATGTTACGCGAGCGAAGAATGACATGTCTGTTTTTATGCGCGGCCATGGGAGCGTGCCATTTAAGCCGATTCCTAGGCGCGTGATTTCGTCTTTTGTGGTTGTCGACGCGGTGCGGATCGGGGTCGTCGCCACGATCAGGGTGAGGGAGGGAAGGGGTTGCGGGTTGTGCGGTGGCATTTTGGTTTGCGAGGTGATCGTAGTTGCAATTAGAGAACAAAATATTGTTATTCAGAGACGGGGAGTGTGATATTTGGGTTGTGAGGGAGGTTGTTGAATAGTGGAGTGGAGGCTCGCGTCGCGAACAGAGAAATCGTTATCGGAGTTGGGCCGCTTATCGCCTCGCAGCTCCAGGTACACGATCCAATGCCAACAGGGAAACATTACACTACTCTATTCTAACTCGGTCAGCGAAGCAGCAGAGTGATAGTCAAAAATGTGTTTGTATTCAACATCACAGGAAAACCGAATACGCCACAACACCAGTCGAACGCCAGATTAAAGGGACCAAGTGGGTATCACGCGCGAGACAGCTCCAAGAACCAACGACCAAAATGCTTAAAGGAGATCCTCGGAAAATTATCGTTACTTATCGGATTGCTCAGAGTTCTTGGAATTCTCAGGGTCTTCCGTTTCGTGGTCCTCAGGTTCATCCGACGATGGCATCAACAATCCTTTGTCAAGTGCGCTCTGGATGGCCGTCACATCCTCCTCGAGCTTTTCACGACGCTGGACATCCCGCTCGTCTTCGCCAAGAGTATCGAGCTTACCGAAGAGCCAGAGCTCCTTCATGAGACGGTGCAAGGCGAGCAGGTCCTCCGAGGCACGGATCTGAGATAGCATAATGTCAATTTCGTGCTCTGGTGTGAATTCAGAAGCTCAACTGCATTTTTCTTGGGAAGGGGAGAGGTGGCCGGGTATGACCGGGGCGGCGCATGTCAACATACCAGCGCAGTGGATTCTACATCAATCTGGAATGCTTCTACAGCAGCATCAACGTGACTGGTGCCGTCGAACTTGTTGGCAGCAATGGCGACGATATTTTCGAACCGCTGCAGCAGCTGCGAGATATCATAGTCGACGCGATCTGCCGCAATACATCGTTAGCGGAAAGGTATGGGAGCATGGTATAGTTGCAGTGGCTCAAATATAGTACGCACCAAGCAACTCCTTGGCAGTTGGACACGAATCCATGGTTGGAGCGTACTTTTTGTTGTCTTCGGATGATGAAGGTAAATCCGCGATCCATGTTGATTACGATAAGAAAAATTGTGGGGCTGGAAGATACGGGTAGACACGGGACGGGAACAAAACCGACATTATCCGAACTTAACATCCTAACAAGCCAAGGAGTAAGCCATCGTCGCTCCATATCTTGAGGGCCTTGCTCTTCAATGCCTCCCATTCCTCGTCTTGGAATTGAAGACCCATCGAAGTGCTATGAATAGACGTGAAAGTGTCTGCATATCTAGGAAAGAGCTTTGAGGCCCAAGAGCGAAGAAGAGTCTTTGGGCCTTTCGGCCCTCGAGGACATACATAGTTGGTAAGATCTTCGCGGCCCTTCTCACGAAAGATAGCAGCTAGCCGCAATTGCTCCCCAGCTAGCTCATTAGAGCCGTTGTAGAACTCGGCCAGCGGCCACATCATGCACGGGAACAAAATGCGGTTTGGGTCCATTCCCAGTCTATGACTCCCACAACATCGAAACAATCATTAACCAAATATGGTCACCCTTACCATCCAGATTTTGCTAAGCCGTCAGGCGGTGAAGACTAATAAGTCACATTGATCACCTAGGCACTTCAGATAGGCTATAGCCATAGATGTATGTAACTAGAAATACTGAATATGCTTGCCAAATAACTCCAACGTATTGAGTAATGACTTGTATAGGAGCCCACAGTTTTTACAGTATAGGCTGTATCACACGGGAAAATGTGATATTTAGCCGTCAAGTGGTGGAATACCCGAAGCAGCAACACTAGTCTTCAAGCTGATATCCTCATTCAAATCTGATGGTGGTCATGTACTTTGCAGATCGGGAGGATGCCAGCTTGGTATTGAAATAAGACCGTATGACACTGGCCTGTGGCAATAGTTGTATATCTTAATTGGCCATGTACTTCGACATCTCCTACATAGTAGACTTCTCTTAGCACAAACGTTGTGCTCACTTTGTTATCGTAGTGTGCGAATAGTACCAGCGGTGCAAGTTGGAAGACATTGCACTGCTAGATATTGAGTAACATATGTTATGTAGAATACGAAATATGAATAGACGTTATGGAATGGTGGAGTATACAGCCTTGGAATGCGCGTATAGTAGAAGGTCTAGCCCTGGGGCCTATGATCGTCCTTTTTCCTCCACTTTAACTCTCCGCTTTACTCTCCGCCCCTACCGTGCGTCACCGCCTACACCCTTCGACAATGGTTCCTCTCTAAATTACTCCTCACAACAATAATCCTTTCCTCCTGTTGCTAGGTTTGCTACCTGGAACCCTTTCTCTCCGTGTCTGTATCATCCTCTTGAGGCCTCTATAGTCGCAACCTTGTGTTACTTTGGTCTCGATTTCGCATCACTTCGCTTGCACCGACGGCCCAATCATCCGCGACTCAACTTGTGCCTGGCACATCATATACCATACGTCACCGAATACTTCATCGCGTCTTTCTGTGGACTTGAGATTGCTCGTGAATCGCCTCAAACCCATCAATAATCTCGATTACGATACCAACCATCTTGAAACGCGTTCCCTTCATCTGTGCCAATACCATCGTCTATCTTCCCTCAACTCCCTGCTGGATGTTCTGATCAGGTCTCCAGATATTTGTCCTTCGAAGACAGGGTGGACGGCCGGTGGGCCGTCTCACAGATTGAAGGCGGCAGGAGATATTGGAGAAAAAGGTGTCGAATTGAAGTAACGCCGTTCGCGCCCCTGCTCTTAGGGTGGACTATTCCAACTACCCCGCGTCACCTTCTCTGCTTTATTTTCTTTTTATCTTGAGTTCTCAACACTGGAAACTGGACTGGCGATGGACGCGCAGTATCCCTTTGCTTCCCGTGACGACATTTGGCGTGTTTTTGACGAGTTGAAGGAGCTCCACATTGCCCAGTACGAGCAAGGAGAACGGCTCGCGCAACTGGAGCGTCGCCGGGACGAGGATGCCCGACTGAGAAGTCCTTGGTGTCCTGTCTCGCCGTTTCCGCACTCGGTTGGGGCAATCGCTCCAGGTAGTCCACCTCTGCCCTTCACGATCAGCTCGCCACTTACCAAGACATCCCTTCCAGACCCCACTTTCCACTCCCCCCCGGATGCTTTCAAAGGATTCGATCAAGGTCATCATTCCGCAATGGCCAGTTCTGCGATCGGATTCGATGGCGAAGACGAGCCTAGACGGGGTACGTCACGAGCCAACAGTGTCCGTTTTGACGAAAGTGCTATCCACGGGAACGGCCAGGCTAGCCGTTCCAGCAATGACCTTCCTCTGCGGACCGGCAGCGGCTTGAGCACCCACCCGCTTCTTGAGCGGACATTTTCACACCAATCTGATGGACGATTGAGCTCCTCTGGCCACTCACACCATTCCGCTCGGACTAACAGCCTGCGCCTGAACACCGCTCGGCTGCTTGGTACTACGCCTATCGAGTCCCCTCTGATTCCCCCTCCTGGACTCTTCTTGCTTGGACCGGTCCCGTCCATCATTCGCTGCTGGTTGACTGATACTTTCACTAATGGCTCTCTCCTCTATGCAGCCGTTTGCTCGGGCTCTTACATCTCAAGTTTGGGTCTCTCTATGGTCCGCGAATTCGGGTTGGAGAACATGATTGTGTGCGAGGGCGATGTAGAGTACATCAAGCTCCCGCTTTATCTTCCCGAAGCACTTATTCATCCATCTTCATCACGCCCCGGAACCCCTACTCACCAAGTTCCTGCCGTGACCATTCGCTTTGTGGTTTGCGAGACAGAAGTCGGCGATAATTCGATTCAAATCATCATTGGAAGCGATGTGATGCGTGCGCACAATGCTGATATTTTATTCTCACAAGATAAACTGATCATGGTGGACGATGACCACAACCGCGTGTCTGTTCCCCTCGTTCGTCCCGAGAAGGACTCCGTGTTTAAGTCCCTCCGCACTTCTCCTAATACTGGAGACATACGGGAACCTCCTACTAACGGACATCCATCCGTTGGTATCATTGGCCGGCCTGCCAATGTTCAACAGAAACAGGCCTCAGCGCCCCCATCGACTAGTCTGTCTGGCAGCGAGAATAGCGATCCTCACAAGTCCCACCTACAGAACCTCCAGGCTCATGCTCACATTTCAGCTGAAACGCGCTCAGCTACTGTCAATCCACCGACTCCTGAGCCTACTAAAACTGAGGATATGCCATCTTGGGGTGGCCCATGGCGTCGCGATGCCAAGAAATCCGCCAGCACTGCCCAGAAGGTGGCGGATAAACGCGAGATGAAGGTCTTCCGCACCGGAAAATCCACGAGCCATGCAAACTCCACAACTTCGGGCTCGGGTCCTGGCAGTGCTACCACTGAGCAGGCCGACAAGTCGTCTTTGCCGATTGCTTCTGTCCACCACCCAAATACTCCTTCGGACAAGTATGGCACGCTAAATCCCGTGGGTGGTGCATCGGCGTTTGGATGGCTCAACCCACCCCATCATAATGCCTCCTCCTAGATGAAACAGACTAGGCTTGGCTTTTATGTTTGATTACAACCGAATCTGAAATGATCTCGGCTTATGGCATGATACGCAAGGGTTGCGATTCCCTGGAAATCAGGAAAAGTGAGAGGCGCTGAGTTAAAAGGCTGCCAACATAGAAGGGGAACCACTTTTTCTTTTTAGCTTGTAGTATTGCTGGAATGACCTACTAAGTAAAAGAGAAAAAATTGAGGAAAAAATGATATTCTTACCATTTAATTCGCATGACCAGGACAATATCAACTGATTCGATTCTATTAGTATATGTATAATCCTCCTCATCTCCCATACATTCATAGGTACAGGGCTGGACGTTAGTAAATATTAGTAATCAATACTCCAGGGGGCTGGAGTGCAAAATTTACGGGAGGAATTTCAGCTTCTGCCTGGCAAGAATACGTTTTACTCGTTCGTTTAAAATCACAGCCAAAATCGAGATCCAGAATCAGGACGATTGGCCTTGAGAGCAATAATAATGGCAGGTCTGCTGGATCTTCCAGCTGAATTGATTCTAGCCATCGGTGACTACCTACAAATGGGTACGAGACAGATACCACTGCCATTCCATGAGCTTGGAGATGCCTACCGCTACGCAATAGAGCGTGATCCACCACCTAGCTCCAAATCCCTTCATTCTTTCCTACTCGCCACCTGTCGCCTGAATAGTCTTCTACAACCACTTTTCTATCGTGATATATTTGTCCGCAGATATGGTCATGTCGGCGCACCATCGCCACTGCAGCAGCTAAATCGGAGTCTTGAAAAGGACCCAGGTCTCCAAGAGCACATCATCTCAGCGATCATTCCATGTGACGACTCTATTTATGATATCCATCATTTCTTTTGGTTTTCCAACATACGAGACCTTACTATTCACAAGTTCAGTGATTGGGAGCCTTTAGAATTTCCAAACAACTCACATATTGGCACTTCACCTGTGGAATGTCTAAAGCTGATTGATTGTGGGGCGCATGAGGGAGCTCTAGCCGCTGTATTAAGCTGGCCGGCATCTTTGAAGACGCTTCACTACGACGCCGAGCAAGGTGAGTGGGAGGGCCATATTGGAGACGAACCAGCCAAAACCTGGACATGTGCTGCTTTTGTGCGCACGCTGCAACCGCAAAAAACAACGTTGGTAGAACTGACGATGACACGGCCACCGCTTGTCCATGAAGGACTGGGCAATGGACCTCGCATTGATCTGAGCGAGTTCATGGCCCTTAGAATCCTGCGCATTTATCATGTCTTCCTCTGTGGGTGGGATGCTCCGCATGGGGTCTGGAAAGGCTTACCTCACAGTCTGGAGGTGTTGGAGATCTTTTATGACGATACCGAGCTCACTGAATTCCTGAGTGAGACTGATAATTTGGAGCACGACAATTTCATGCTCGATTTGATCCAGCATAAGAGGGTGCATCTTCCATATTTACACACAGTGAACATCTACTCGACTGAAACAGTTCCTAATTCTGAAACAGAGGAGGATGTGCTCGAGGGAAGCTGGAGGCTGGCACCATCTTTGCTCGCGCGCGAAGCGAAATCTGCTGGTGTAAAGCTGAAAGTATGGCTGGGATACGGGGATAATCAAGACTTCGAGAAACCGACGTTTTCGAGTCACTAGTCAAACCAAATAATGTATTCAGCCAAGTGGTAACCACTTATCACATGCATTCTTTCCTAGAACATCTACTATGAAAGATTAGTTAAGCACTGTACGTTACTTAAACCAGGTCCCATCAAATCAAATCTTTGAAAAAACCCCCAAAGCCCCCTTCGTATTATCCTTCGTTTCCTTAACAAGCCCACTAACAGCCCGGAACGCTTCGTGCGAAGCATCACCAAGAATCTCAAAAAGGACACTCTCACTACTCGTAACAACAGCCCCAGCATCCCTCAACCTGGAAAGCGCAATCCCCCTCTCCTCGGTGTTCATACTGCTGACGCCATCAACAAGGATGTAAACGCGGTGACCGCGCTCGAGAAGATCAAGCGTCGTCTGCGTCACACAGATATGAGTCTCGATCCCGACGATTATCACGTCAAGGGGCGCAGAGCCGGGGGCCGGGAGCAGCTTCTCGATCTCCGGGGTTATCATTGAGAAGAGGGTTTTATCTACGTCAGCTCGGACGTGTGTGTCGCTGAGGTGTTGCTGGAGTTCTGGCACGGTGTTGCCGAGTTTCGCGCGGTTCTGGGTTGTTACGAACACGGGGATTTTGAGGGCTGAGGCTGCGCGGAGCATTTTTTCAGCCGTTAAGACCCTGTTGGTTGGTTGGCTTTTTGGTTTCAATTGTTCTTGGGATATGGGATTCGTACAGTTTGGGGAACTCGTAGATTCCATTGCGGAATTTTTCTTGGATGTCGCAGATGCTTTGGAATTGAGTCAGATTTTGAAGCTATATATCCTTGTTTGATACTGGGGTTTTGCATACAAGAGTGCCGGATTGCCTGGTCTAGTGTTAACTTGCACTGCATTAGGATTCGGGGGTTTCTTACGGATCCGAGATGAGCGCGCAAGGGTAGCCATTACTGCAACAGTTTGTGGTTCCTATGTGAGGTTTTAGGGACTCGGTAAAATGTAAAGAAGAGAAGAATTGGCGGGGACGTGGGGAGTCGGAGAAGTCGGAAATGCGGGGAAGAAGCCGAGGGAAGACGAGCTGGTAGACTATCTTTGTTTCTTTTACCGTAAATTTCAATCGATTATGGTCATATTTGGATCGGTATATATCGCTCGTCTACTAATCTAGGGATCTATAGCTTCACCTCATGCACCTTGGCCCGACCGACAAACCAGCTGTCATCACCGTTTGCCGCCGCTGTGCGAATGGCATAAAGCTCGTCGACGAATGCCGGGACGAAGCTTCCCGGGCCGCGAACATAATCTTTGGCCGCTGCGTTCTCCGCTGCAATCTCGTACATGAGAATCCCAGACAGCACTGCGAGGAGTCTGTCAGAGCGGTGGGCAACCAGGAAACAGCCGGAGATTGTGCCGATGGCACAGCCGGTCTGTAAATTCATGTTAGCTGTGTACTAAAAGGATGTGTTTGGGGAGGTTGCATACTCCGGTCACTTGCCCCAGGTATGGGTGGCCATTCTCGACGGCAATGACCCGCTCGCCATCGCTGAGGTAGTCCGTTGCTCCGGTCAAAAGCACAACGTTCCCTATCTTAAATTAGAAAAGAGGAATCACAGCTAGAAAGCCTAGAGAGTCACTTACGCTCCCGGCGAGCCAGGTCCCGAGCCAAGGTGGCTTTTTGATTGCCGTCAAGGGTACTAGGTCCACTGTCGACACCGCGCTGTTGAACAGTACTGCTACCCCAAGCTTGGCGAATTTCGCCCTCGTTGCCTTTGATCAGATCAAAATAACCCCCGGCCATAAGCTGGGTCACTGCATTGCGGCGAATGTGTGTCGCAGCCGCACCGACCGGGTCGTAGACGACTGGGTTGCCCCGCTCATTGTACGCCTTGATGGCTTTTAAGTAGTTTGAGACACTCTCGCTAGTCAATGTACCCATGTTGATCAAAAGAGCACCATCAAACTTGCACAAGTCGGTGGCTTCATCGCCATATGGAGACATGATGGGAGATGCACCACTGTAGAACGGTTAGCATGAAAAATGGCTGGCCAGGTACAGTATACTGACATAGAAAGGGCAACGTTGGCTACGAAGTTTGACACAACAAAATTGATCATGTTGTGTACGAGAGGATGCACCTCGACCATCTTACGGATGATTTGGGGCACCTCATCCAACAAGGCCTCGCTCTCGTTAGCACGAGGAGGATTGAGAGCCTGTGCAAACCGGGGAGGGTTTCTGATGAGCCCGGCGAGTTTCTCGGCGGATGCTTTGGGGTCATCAGCTGCCACGATCGCACTAACAATGGCTACTCCATCCAGTGATTTCTTTGGTGACTGAGACTGATAGAGCACTCGTTGCACATTAGAGTGGTTGATGCCGCCGATAGAAACCGTGCCTATGGCGGAAGATTTAATCGCATCTAGGATGGCTTGAGTACCTGCTGTTCCGATGACTGACTTGGTATTGGTTTTGCTATGGGTGGTTAGCGTCTATTGATGGGTGTTGGCATATTGAAAATGTGGACTTACGTGGGGGTGGCAAACATAGTACCAATTCCGATATAGTCGGCGCCATCTGCGGTGGCTTTTATAGCCTCCTCGACTGAGGACGTACTGATACCAATAATGGCATTCTCGGGAAGAAGCTTCTTTGCTTCCGCGAAGCCTATATTTGACATTAATACATATATTTTTGTAGAATTGTAGCAACGAACTCATGTCATCTTGACCTAGATGCACGCCCTCGGCACCAATGGCAAGAGCCACATCGACCCGGTCATTAATCAAAAGAGGCACATTGTACTTCTTGGTTATCTGGTGTAGTTTCCGGGCAGTTTCCACCAAGAGACCAGTGTCATTGGTTTTGTCCCGGTATTGCACCACTGTCACGCCTGCAGTAGGGGTTAGTTGAATAATTGGCAGGAAGGCTGGAGCACCGTTCACCTCCTTGCAAAGCACTTTCTACCACTGTGCATAAATCTCGTCCCTTGAGAATGGCCGGCGTCGAATCCGTGACCAAATAGAGCGACAGATCTACGGGCATGGTGTGTTGGCCTTGGGCCGGACAAAAGCGGGGAGTTTCGGGGTAATAGATCCGAAGTCGTTCTGACGAAGAGAATCAAACCGAAATGAACAACGGATTGACAAGTCCAGCAGAGGCTGTACAACGCAAGACACTGTACTTAAGTCACTGAGGAAGATTGCCGTTTATCGTTGTGTGGTCATGGTGGGGTCTTGCAAGGTTCGGCCTGTACTCGTCCGGGTGTAGAGAACATTGTAAAATTCACTCATAGCACCTATATATGCTTCAATATTGCCAATGGTTTGCTTTCAAAGTGAAGAGACTCAAACATAAGGCAATTCTTGTCAAAAGTCACCTCCCATGTACTACTATACCCAACGTTCAGTGGCCATTTATACTCCGAGTTATTTCCGGCACGTGCCCGCTGACATAACCGTGATTTGTCAAATTCTGCTTTTCATTTTCTTCTTCTACTTTTTCCCAACAACACACAAACACTGACAGGCATCGAGAGATTTTCGAAGCCTTTATCTATCTACCGCGTGGACTTCCAGTTCTACGCTATTCATTATTGATCACTGGTTAGTTCGGCCTCGCCATCATCACTTTTCACCGTCCGCCCCAAGGTCTCCGACCTCTGACTCGGATTCCCGAAAGAACTTCGATCGTTCCCAGCAAGCAACACGTTGAGAAGTTTCCCGCGAACTTGTCTATGTATTCGTCCTCCGTCCAAAATTTCGAACATCACCTGCCGCTCAAGCTGCAAACGTTTCGCGCGCCGAAACCTTGCAGCATACACCTTCGATCCTGTGGCTGAATACCCCGGATCTTTCCTCCCCAATTTGTTGTGACTTTTCCTAAAGAAATCACATTCTATAATCTTCAAAAAAGAAACTTGACACGCATGTCTTGTCTCGTCAACAAAATTCTCATCCAGAATCCTCCCAGCTTTCCCTCAAGCAAGCCCACTGTTTCATTCTAGTGAACCAACCGCTCAGTTAAACCGTCATCATGGCCACCGTCAATATTCGCCGGGATATCACGGATCCCTTCTATCGCTACAAGATGGAAAAGCTCCAGGCTAAAGTCGAGGGCAAGGGCAACGGTATTAAGACCGTTGTCGTCAACTTGAACTCGGTCGCCCAGTCTCTCAGTCGGCCTCCTGCCTATCTCATCAAGTACTTCGGGTTTGAACTTGGTGCCCAGGCCAACGCTAAGCCCTCCGACGAGCGTTGGATCATCAACGGTTCTCACGATGCCCCCAAGCTCCAGGACTACCTTGACGGCTTCATCTCCAAGTTTGTGCTATGCAAGAAGTGCAAGAACCCTGAGACCGACGTCTCTATCAAGGACGACAAAATTACCCTGGACTGCAAGGCCTGTGGGCAGCGGTCTGATGTTGACCCTCGCCTCAAGCTAAGCACTTTCATTGTTCGCAACAACCCTAAGGGTGGCAAGAAGGAGAAAAAGAAGTCCCGCCGTGAGCGAAACAAGGAGAAGGCTGCCAATGGCGAGGATGCTAGTCCAGGTGACAGCAACAACTCCGAGAATGGTGATGATGGAGATTATGCTCTCGAGGCCAACAGCGATGATGAAGTGACCCGTCAAGCTCAGGCCATCGAGGCCGAGGCCGAGATCAAGGATCACGAGTGGGCCGTTGACGTTTCCGAAGAGGCCGTGAAGGCTCGTGCTAAGGAGCTCCCCTTGGACCTCAAGCGTGCCCTTGTCCTTGAGGATGTCGACGACGAGGGAGCTGATGGACCCTCGTCCTACGAGCAGTTGGGCAGCTGGATCGTTGAAACCGCTGCTGAGAAGGGCGGTGTTACCAACGTTAGTGATGTTGAGATCTACATGAAGGCTAAGGAGTTCGGCATTGAGAGCAAGCACAAGACTGTTGCCGTTCTGGCACAGAGCATCTTCGATGAGAAGATTGCTAAGCAGATTGAAGGTCGCGCTGGTTTGCTCAAGAAGTTGATCACCTCCGATCGCCATGAGAAGGCTTTCCTCGGTGGTACCGAGCGCTTCGTTGGCCAGGATCATCCAGAGCTTGTCGTCCAGATCCCTGCCATATTGCTGGGCTACTACCAGAATGACCTTGTGTCTGAGGAAACCCTCAAGGCGTGGGGTGCCAAGACCAGCAAGAAGTACGTTGATATCTCGACCAGCAAAAAGATCCACAAAGCTGCTAAGCCCTTCATTGAGTGGCTCGAGAATGCCGAGAGTGACGAGGAGAGCGAAGAAGACAGCGAGTAGACGGTCCACGCTGCGTATGCTATTCTGTACCCTTGGCTATTTGCTTTTTGCCTCTATTCTTAATTGAAAATGCAGTTTTGGGCCTTGGTCTGCCCATCTGGCATTAAGTGCTCGGTTCGATTTTCATGTTAGTTTAGCTCATCAATCCCCACTCCTTTACAATGAATATCTATATGGTATCAACCATCATCAATTTTCATCCACACTAGTCGTACTTGAGTACTTGTACAAGTTATGTACGAAAGCAGAAACTTTTTGTCATGCAATGCTATCAACGACGAAAAGCAATAACTAGAACATTATCTCAGCAAGTCTGACTTGCGACTCCTCCCCATTGACAAGGATATTAGTAGCACCACCACAGTTACTAGCATTGCCTGTAGGGACCACATCCGCCCTTAGGCGATGCCGCATAAAGATAAACCACGTTAAATCCACATTCCAAGTCTCCATCGCCCGAATCGCTTCCTCGACAGAAACCATATTTTCACCATAAGTATCATTCACAGACATAGTCGTCCTCGAAGAGAAGAAATAGTACTCTGGCCCCACAAACAACGCAATCCAGCCACCAAGGATCTCGCAAACCCTATCACCCACTTCCAACGGTAACCGGACATGCAAAAGGACAGTGATAAAAAGAGAGACCAACGCGCGCCACAGACGGTGGTGCGGCGTGAAGAATCTCGATCCCGGCGTTGAGGGGGAGAGCGAAAGGGACGAATATAGGGCTAAGTGTAGAGTGGACGCCAGATCTCCTGATTCAGCGGCAGTCACGGTCATGGTCGTAGCCTGGGACCGGGCACGGCGTTCGTTCGCGGCCACGGCGTCAACGCGCACTTTATCCCATACTTGGCGGTACAGCCGATCCCAGCGGGAGAATTCGGTTTCGACGCGCGTGGCCATAAAATCACCCGCGCCTTTGCACATTGCTTCCATGGCCTCGCAGGCTGCTACCGTAACGAATGTTTCTTCTTGGTGGTCTGGGATTTCGGGGTTGCGGGTTGATTCTGTGGATGAAGTGGCGATGAGGGATTTGGAGGTTTCATTTTTTTGTGACGAGGGGAAGATTATTCGGCTTGCTACTGTCGGCCAGAGGTCGTTTATTAGAGGAAGAAAGCTCGTTTCGTTTTGGGATAGGGCGGGTAGGACATCGATAAGGATTGAGAGGAGGGAGCGTCGAAGGTAGGGAGATGGTGAGGTTAGGTGGGACGGGATAGATTTGACAATGTGGAGGAGGAGGGCATGGGTTTTGCTAAGCGGCTTCTCGGCATCTTCTGGCTCTTTGGGGGGTGGGAGTGACGGCTCGTCCGATTCGGCTTGGTTCAGAAGCTCTTCAATGGACGGCTCTGGAGGAGGCTTGTCGTATGTTTCTGACCATGGCTTTTTGGGGTGAGGGATTTTGCCATCAGCATCTACTAATTCGTCCTCGGCATGCCGTTTGGCTTTGCGGTTGGCAATTTTCGCGGCGATGATTGAGATTGAGAGATTCTCGTATCGAGACTTGCGGGTGTCGTGGGAGCCATTCTCTTTGCTTTCCTCGATTGTGAGCAAAGAGGGTTTCTTCGCCCCTTCCTCGACGACTGCAGCTAGTGTTTTGAACATCACCTCAACGAGTTTGGGATAACCGTGATATAGATCCAAAATACCAAATATAGAATCAACCAGATCATCCAGATAAGGTATCAACGGGGCACCGCAAAGCTTGACCATCATAAACAGGACTTGTGGCGGGTAGGGTGACACGTCAAATGTATTGAGTTTCAAGGCTACCGAGTTCACCAAATAGTCCACGTTCTCAATGATCATCGTACTCGTGTCTGGGTAGTTGCAGGCATTGGTCAAGATATTTAGGCATGTCATGGCGTGGCGTTGAAGGTTAGGATTATGTGATGCCAGCAGCTGTAAAGTTGGGTAGAGCGCATCTATGAGCTCAGGTCGGAAATCCTGGCCAAGTTGCTGAGCTTGGAGAGCCACGGATTCCAAAGCCAGTGCTGATATACGCCAGTCATCTGTTCCATCGACTGACAGTTCGTTCAGTATATTTAATGAGATATAATACAACTCTTCAATCATGCCGCCACGGTCAGTTGATGAGACAGACGCCTCAACATGCTCAAGACAGATGAAATCGTCAAAGCTGGCTGTTGCTGTAGTGCTGTCCCGCAAGAAAGTCATCGCCAACCAGAAAGGCGCAATAACAGAATCACTTGATGTCGTGTGCATACGGTTGACAATCGATCGAGTGATCTCATTTCCAGACTCAGACAAATTCAATCTAGTAATCATTGACTGTAGATCTTTGAGAGTTTGTTGCTGGCTTTGGTGTTCCAAAATGATGGGAGGAAATAGCTTCGATCTAGCGTCGGTGTTGAGCACCTCCCAGTTGAAGCTATCATCCATTGAGGCTAACGGCTGGAGAGCATTGGTGTTTCGCTTGACAACGGCACCGAGGCTATCACATAGGCCGGATGCCAAACCGCTGGTAAGCAAATCTGATCCAGATTGAACTTGAGATAGGACCTGAAAGACCGTGGAGATCTGACGAAGCCCCCACTGCTTAGCAATCTCATCGTTTCCTTGCATGATTCGAGGGAAAGAAGTGAGCCAGGTATGCAGAGATTCTTTTAAACAATCCAATACTGTGGGGTATGTTGTGGCAAGATGAGTTACGTTCTTAAAGGCTTCATTCGCTCCCTCGTCCTCTTTATCTGCCAGAACAACAACCGTTTCAATCATCATAGGCAGAGAATCTGAAAGTGTGGTTTGGCACTCTTCAATTACCATCAGGGAGAGGTCTAGGACGGCAGACTGAACCTCTGGCCGTTGATGGCGGCGAACTTGGATAATACTGGCCAGCGCGAGCTTGATCTGCGTTGTGGTGGCTTTCAGCCAGGCTTCATCCAGAGCTATCTTGTCGCTTCGCAGCTCGGGCGGGGAGACTTCCAAGGCGACACGGTCGTTGAGAACAGCTCTTAGGAGCCCCGAGAGAATCTGCAAGGAAGTCTGGAGGAGCTTGTATGACCTGCGAGTCTGTGTTGACGGCCTTAGAATCTTAGCCAGTGCCGACACAGTCCGGGGCATGATGCTGGCAAGCACAACGCGGTCCGTAACTCGAGCATAAAGTGCTTGCAAAGCCTTAGCAGCTGCCAGGGAGATCTCATCTGATCTATCATCGACAATTCCCTCTAGCAGGATATATACTGTTTGGTCGACAACCGTCGCCGTGCCGATCTCGTGATAAATTGTCCGTTCTGGGACAGGCCCTTCCAAGACCGTAAATATAGCACCGAGGCAGTCGAATCCAGCAATACACAGTTCTTCCGGAACCTTGGGCTTCGGTAGTTGCTTTTCTTCCGTCTTGTTCGGAGATCCCCCCACGATCAACGTCAACAGGATTATGAGTTGCTTGCCCATCGCAGGAGATAGCCTCTGCCGCCATCCATCGGCGACCAGTATTCGCAAACAGTGGACAGCGGACTCTAAGCATCGTGTGGGTAGTCTTTGTGTTTCATTGAAGATATGCGACAATGGAAAGAATGCATATTCAGCGAGCTTCTCGTCGAGCGTATTGTTCCCCGCAAGTTCCTTTAAACAGTTGTGTACCGGCTCAAGGGCTCGGAGTATGTCGGCAGCGGAAGCTTGATTTCCTCGGAAACGGAGGCCCACGGAGCTGAGTTCAATGCATGGTGCTCGAAGCTATTCAGAAATCAGCATTGGTCGTCCTAAGAGCCGAAGAAGCATATCGTACCTGCTTGAAAGATTCCTGCCGGAGGTTTTCCATTGCAGCCGAACAAGGTCGGACGGCGTCAGAGTTGCAAGAAAGTAGGCTAAGTGTTGAGTAGTATCAAATCAGTAGTGCGCCATGGAACACCGTCTAGCAGAGCCATCGTGATCGAACTGCATCCCCAAGCTGCACCGCTCTGTCATCTGCCGGCATAATAATAAAGCGGTGAGTGTAATCTATCCCAAACGGGCAAGATAGCACTGCACGTGATACGTTAGCGCGTCTCAACGCGTGGGAAACCCGACAGCTGCCTGCGACACAGAGTAACTAGCCACTGTTGCCTTGGCTATTTCCATTGCGGTTCTTGTCTGCTCGGGGTATTTATTGAGCCGTATTTCGTGCCCATTTGACTTCGACAGAAACTTCTATGCGGGTGTTGCGAATTCGAGAGCTTGCGCTGTTATCGCTCTCACGCTCGCGACCAAGCTTCTACATACGATCTGCAGGACAACACAATTCCTTGACCACATCAATTGCCAAGCTATCTACGGTCTTGTTATATGCCAGTAGTATAGCTCACCAAAATCCTACTTTGAAGAAAACAGCATCCTCACAACCGCGAATCATGGCCGATGACAAGAGCAGGAAACAGGCTACCCTGGGGTATGTACGGGATGGCCAGCAAACGATTGGGTGCGTCGACAATATTCGATGGCGCATGCGCCCTCTTAATCTGACCTATTTTGACTCTTATTTTCATTCACTCGGCTAATTCGTTGTGTTTGTCTTGTAGGAGGTTCTTCGGTTCGGGCGCCAACCAACCGCCGAAAAAGCAGACCACATTAGCTTTTGGCGGAAAGAGACAAGCAGCAAGCAGTAATGCCGCTGATACTGAGCTCACGGATAACACCAATGGATTTAAGGTGGAGGACGCTAGCAATTCAGCACCAACTGCAGAGCCAACGAAGGGCGTGAAGCGGGAAAAAAGCCCCGAGGCGGAAGAAAGCGATGGTTCTGATATTCAGCCTGTCTCTAAGAGGCGACGAAAGGCTTCGTCGAAGAGCTCTCCCGCTGCTAAGAAACAATCGGCATCCCCGGAGAAGCCTGAGTCTATAAAGCCAAAAGTTGAATCGCCATCACCAAAACCAGCAATGAAAAAGCTCTCCGATGTTACTCCTGAAGAGAAGTCACCTTCAGTAGTAGAAGACGAGGACCCACTGGAAAGCGAAGATGAAGATGACCTCAAGCCGGAGCTCACGAGGAAATCAATCGA